GCTGTCCTATTTGACCGACCCTGGTAAACTTGATGATGTATGTTGGTTGTCACCCCAAGATCCCCCCCTTCACACTCGAATAGGCATGTCACTGACAACTGTTTTCTCCCCAGCTCCGCTGTTCTCCGAGATTCGACTACCAATCAACGTCTGTACAATCACCTCAAACCCCGAAAACATCCAAAGTCTGGTACTTCTGTCGCCCTGCTCGCGAGAGAGCACATTCTACCCCCATATCCACCCGCAAAGGTGCCGGCTGTGTCTTTCTTCTCTTCATTTGACCCAACGAATAGTGCCAGATCTTATGCTGTGCCCTCATCGCTGAAATCAAGCTGTAACAGAATAGCTTCTTCATCAACGAACCAAGGAACAGCAACGAGCCAGCATCAGATTGAGACCCGTCCATCATGTACGGCACAAGGCTCCCGTACCGTATCACAGAGAAGGATCGCAAAGACTTTTTCCTCTGTGGTCCTGCCTTGACGGAGGAGATGAGGCAACAACTCTTTGAACTAGTCCGCGCCGATGAGCACAACTTTAACATTCCGCCATTTACACTCGTGCAAGCGATAGACCCGGATACCGAGGACTCGCTTCTGCATGTAGCAGTCCGGGCAGGGTCCATGAACGGCGTCGTCAGTCTAATGGCAAGGTTCGACCTTGTCATGCGTACATGTGGTGGTGGTCCTCAAAACCCGTTTTATATCTGGGAACGCCATGCCTTCATCGCCCATCAGAACCGTAATGGCGACACCGTCCTTCACGTAGCCGCGCGTATGGGCAACCTCAAACTCGTGATTATGCTTTATCGCTTCCTATATAACCACTGGTCGGCAACTTGTCCGGATGTGGAGGATCCGGAGGACCTGGACGGCGAGGAGGCCCCAGAAAATGTCGAGTTCCCAGAAACCGCCGGCGAAGCCGAGTCTGCGCCTTATTTGATGCTGCTCATTACCAGGAACCTAGCCGGTCGTGATGCTGCGTCTGAGGCTTGCTGTGTGGGAAATTACGAGATAGCCGAATGGCTGGATGCCGTGGCTAACAGGCTGGATCCCGAGGGCAATAGGCGCAGTAAGAAGGGCATTTCAGACATGGTGCGTATGGTGAAGAAGGGGTTTGGTTACGCCTTGATGGCTGGAAGAAAGAAAAGGGAGACACGGCAAAATTTGTCAAATTCGTTCAGAAAGCTCCGGTTCTAGCTCTATTATCGACTTATATTCCATGTCCTTAAATGCCACTGAGCCGCTTCCTAACCCTGCGTCGCATGACCCGAGAAAACTTCAACCTTGTTACCAGCTTCATCCTGCCCGCTGTTCAGCGAGTAATGATACCCTACGGCTACGACAGTAAAAGTCTCAAGGTGTTTTAGACCCATCCTGAACGCCCAATTGCAGAATATTATATATATCATAAATTTCGCCTAAACTAGAATATATTGCACCGCTCCAAAGCACCAACTGGAACAGGTCATGAAACGAAGTCGCCGAAGTAGGAGTGTACGAGCCAAGGTCGTCACCCGTGTTGCCAAGCTGGGCTCGCTTGACTGACGCGGGAGGTTTGAAGTCAATTTTTGTTATTTTAATATCAGAAAGAGGGTGGTTCTCAATTTCGAAGGACGCAGAACAAAGCGTAATTGTACTATTTGATGTCGTGTGTTGGGTTGCTGCTAGCCTTTGTTTATTACGGCAGAATCCTATTGATAGCTTGCGACTGTACGCACTATTGAGCAAATATTCCCTCGGCTTGTCTGGCCAGTATTGTAATGAAACTTTCAAGACAGCTCAACTCCTTTCTTGTTTATCCTCTCCAGGCCATCGTCAACATCAAGGTCGTATGTTGGGGGGATACCAACCGGAACAGCTATGCCACTGGGCTTGATTGCTGAGCACTTCGCTGACAGCATGCGAAACGGTAGCACGAGCCGCTGGTCATGTTGTCGCCTGCGAAGCCATGGAGATAGGCTAAACGCCAAGTACTGCCCCGGGCGCGGTGTCAGCAAAGCCTGTTCAACGGCATGATGCCGAGAATAGAAGCGAGAGCGGTACAATCGTAGTATCGTCGCCGGCCAGACAAGTACCATCTCGAAGTATTGATGCTGAGCCGGCTCCAGGGAGATGTATTCCCATAAACTTGGACGAAAGCGGGAATATTAGCAGAGCGGTGTCGGTTTTTTCGAGCAGCAGCCCGCTGCCCGCCATGGACTTGTCACCTCCCGGGGATTCAGGCACTACAGTGCCCTTTTCTATCTGTCAAGGGCCTGACACCACGTGTGTAAATATTCTGGTTGAGAAATACCATCACTTTGCATTCGGTGTCCTTTTCATTGTACGAGTGCGAGAGATTGGTCAAATGAGGTGCGATAGTAAAATCCATTGTCAAAATTGCAATATTGGACACATGGAGTGTATAGACGGCAGTGGGGTTGAGTGGATGAATTAAGAAGTGCGGTATTATAGCAAAATAAGGACTTTACATTCGTTGTGCGGCTGATTGAGGTTCAGTCCTCCGGTCGTCGTTGGGGTAAGGCGGACTCTCTGAATCTGTTGTCGCAGTCATAGTCGCGGTCTATGCTAACGGAAGTCTTTGCAACAGGGAGTCTCTTTGACTCTTGCTCCCAACGTTACTTCTTGTCAGATGATTACCGCAAGCCAAACGGACATTCATTCTGAGCAGGAATCGATACGGGACCCGGTCAGTGATGCACCGTTTATTATCGTCATCTGGAGTGAGATGCACATCTACAACGCAATGGCCGCCATGTCTCGACAAAAAGATTGCCTGAAACTTGCGGAGTGCAATATAGGGACACGATTTGAAGTCACTCCGGACAAGGCTGTTGAACTCTGAATATTTCGTTTCTTGGTCAAGCTGCGCATACGTCTTGTTGCCCGTGAGATGGCTCAGGTTGACGATTATGCACCTCTGGCCTGGTGATTAGACAGGGCATATCAAGACATGCCGGCCTCTATTACCAAAAATGGGCCTGATACTTCCCGATACATCAATAGTCTGCGAAGCAATTAATAAAAGTTGTAGATGGGATTTCTGGATAAAGATCGTAAAGATGAGCCACCCCTGTGCCGGGAGTATTGATGATTTTCCGTCTCGAACATTTGAATGCAGGCAAAAGAATCGTCAACTCTTACAAGTTGGGAAGTAAGAAAACTCGGCATTATAACATCATCCAGGGCCTTGTGCTGAATGATGCGTCGAGGTTTCGATGCCAAGTTTTGCAGGTGCATCTTCGCCAACTGCAGTAGCAGAGGGGCGAGCCGAACTTGGTACAAGTATCGATGCTATCCCCCTCTTTGACCAGACACCAGCATCCATGGCGGCTTGTGGTTGAAAATCTGGTTGTCGGGATCCTCTTCCCCTCAGCTCGCCCTTGTTGCCATGCTTGCCACAGTTTGGGCGCATGTTGTCAACTTCTTCCAGAGACATGATTTGTCCGTCGTCTGGGATGCACATTCCAGCAGACTGTCTTGACTCTTGGGAGCAGAAACTTGGATCGGGTTACCGGGTTGCCATTGGCATGAGAGTTGTGGAACCTCGAAATGGTTGACTGGGAGCGCCGTTGCCTTGTGGTATCGCATGCAATTGCAGCTTATACTTAGCTTGTTGGCAGAGAAGAAAAGGGTCTGGTCTGATATGCGATGTTTGTCTTTGATTGGGTGAATACTGGAGCCAAAAGGATATGCATTTACTTGGATTGGTGTGAAGCGGCGCAGCATCTCTTTTGCCACATGCGACATCTGCGTCTGGTTCGGCATGGCTAGAGAAGGCTTCCCCTGGACATTGAACAACGACGAAGTGAAGTAACGTGCTTGTTTCCAACCGGATTTACGGTGAAAACACGGGGCGGGAAACGCAGCAGCGTGGTGAGTCTGTGACTCTTGTCAAGGCGCGTTTCATTCTGCATATCAAGGTTGTCTGTTTCGCAATATATTATTATATGATTGATGGCTTGTCGGCTATTCCGAAGCAAATGTTACAGCATAGAGGCTGTTTAGTAACTATGTGGCAAGAGCAATCTCCACCGGCTGCTGGGGACAGCGACAAGGTCGCATCTACCTGTTGCGTCATATGAAAACGGAAATAGTTTCTCTTCAACTCGTAGCACAACGAGACGCGGATGGTTGTCTGGAGCAGTTTGTTGCACGGCGTGCATGCTAACTCGTTGGTTGAACAGAGAGGGCATAAACGGCACAGACAGAGCGCACAAGGATCCAGTTGCACCATCAACGTTCAAGCATTGAACACAATTTATCGGCAACTTAGCGCCGAAACTCCATGTCAGTTGTTACTGGACATGTATGAACTAAAGCCTTGGCCTGGGCGCCCTGATTAGAAGACACGCCGCGCCGAGTCATGTCAACTGGTCTGGTTTGCACTCCCTTGGCATAACTGACTGCTCATTGGGCCATGGTCATGGACCAATCTCTTGACCTCATTCCGCGTCGGCAGCACGCCAAAGTTCCTCCTTCTTCGTCATGTGGCTGGAGGGCAGCTCCCGTGATGCCTGGACGCTGCCCTCCTGACTGCCACACCGTCATCTCCCGCAGACTCGCCATGAAACGCCATTCAAATGTTACTAGTCACGGCGAGCATGTCCTCTTTCGGCCGATCGCATCCCGTCCACAAGGTCGTATCGAGACACCACGTGTAGAACCTGTGATGCCGGTCGCATTGACGACGTGATTTGTAAACGCAAACTCAAAGCAAGATTAATTTATTAAACAATGCAATTGATGCAGTTGCCCCCTCGGCGCATCCAGGCCCCATGTTGCATCAGGAACGTCTGGTGGCTTGGACACGATGAATGAACATTGCATGCAATGTCTTGGAGTAGCACCCTGGGAAATTGGGATGCCACCACGCGACGCAGCATCTCAGTGCCGTGGTTCACTTAAAAGGGGCCCTTGGAATCCGCGAATCAATGTTTCTCTCAATCGACCAAGCAGGGCTTTCACGGGTCGCGCGTATCAATCATGGTCTTCAAAATGCCGTCGCCGTCGGTGTGTGCCGTTGCCGCACTTCTCGCCAGTCCAGCACTCGGAAATCCAACAAGGTCGCTGCTCAACAGAGGCGCAATGGAAGCCGACACCTCCAAGGCCTCGCAAGTACAAGATGTCTTTCGCACGGCGTGGAACGGCTATTATGACCACGCGTTTCCTCACGACACTCTTTTGCCGCTTACCGGCGGCAACTATGACGACAGGTGAGAATCTGCAAACAGTCAATGCATGCATCTTTGCAACAGTACCTAACAAAATGCAGAAACGCATGGGGTGTGACGCCAATCGACTCGTTGAGCACGGCGATCATCATGGAGGAGACCGATATTGTGAACCAGATTCTCAAGTACGCGGCCACGGTTGACTTTACCACCACCAAGGAAGTCAACTCGTCCATCTCCCTGTTTGAAACCAACATTCGATACCTCGGCGGACTACTAGCCGGTAAGCGCGGCTTCCTCACCGACATAAGCATTCAATATTATTTGCGCTAACCACCCCCAAGGCTACGACTTGTTAAAGGGCCCCATGAAGAACCTCGTCGACGACACCAACAAGGCCCACGTCGACGCCCTGCTCAAACAGGCCACCACCCTCGCTGACAGTCTCAGCATCGCCTTTGACACGCCGAGCGGCGTCCCCGACGACGCCGTCTTCCTCAATCCCACCCGCCGCATCGGCGGCTCAACCTCCAACGGCCCAGCCGGCTTCGGCACCCTGGTCCTCGAATGGACACGCCTGAGCGACCTCACGGGCAACAAGACGTATGCGCAGCTCGCCCAGAAAGCCCAAGAGTACCTCGTCAAGCCAAAGGGCAAGCCCGAGCCGTTCCCCGGCCTCATCGGGTACACCGTCTCCATCGCCGACGGCACGTTCCAAGACCAGAGCGGCGGCTGGGGCGGCGGCACCGACAGCTTCTACGAGTACCTCATCAAGATGTACCTCTACGACCCGAAAGAGTTCTCCTTCTACAAGGACCGCTGGGTCACGGCCGCCGACTCGACCATCAAGCACCTCGCCTCGCACCCCACGACCCGAAGCGACTTGACCTTCCTGGCGGGATACAACGGGCAGACCATCAACCACTGGTCCGGACACTGTAAGTGAAGCCATCCCGTAATCAACGCGTCTGCTAACAGGCCCAGTGGCCTCCTTCGCCGGCGGCAACTTCATCCTCGCGGGCGTCGTGCTCAACGAGCCCAAGTACACCGACTTCGGGCTCGCCCTCGCAGCCTCCTACTACGAGACGTACAAGCAGACGCCGGCGCGCATCGGGCCCGAAGGGTTCCAGTGGGTAGCCGCCGACGGGGGCAGCCCGCCCAACGGCGACCAGGCCGACTTTTACCAAAAGGCCGGCTTCTGGTCCTTCTCGGGCGGGTACATCCTGCGTCCCGAGACCATCGAGAGCCTGTACTACGCGTACCGCGTCACCGGGGACAACAAGTACCGCGACATGGTGTGGGAGGCGTTCACTGCCGTGCGCGACTTGTGCAGGGCCAAGCATGGCTTCGCGGGGATCAGGGACGTGATGAAGAAGGATGGCGGGGGGCAGGATAATTTCCAGCAGAGCTTTTTCCTGGCCGAGACGCTCAAGTATGCGTATCTCACGTTTGCGGGGGACTCTGCGGTGCAGTTTCACGGCAAGGGGGGGAACGAGTTTGTGTTTAATACCGAGGCTCATCCGTTCAGGGTGCGTCACTGATGGACGAGGTGGATGGGTTTTTTTACGGTTATATAATGCATTTGGTAGAGGCATCGGAAGTGGTTCGTTTAGAAGTACATGATAGATCTAATATAAAGTCATAGTATTAGTTTTTGAATCAAAGGCAAGAAGCTTGTGTGATGGTCCGCTGCGCTCTTATTGGTGAATTTGACCGGTGCGACTTACATGTCGCGTCGCAACTCGATGATTGACGGCAATGCGAATGCGTGAATGAACCGTCGACATTGGAAGGCGGCGGGGTGGCGGTTCGAGTGCGCGCATACTTGCCACAAACTGGTGTTTTGAGCGTCAAGGTTGTCTCATGTTTGTCTTTATCGAATCGCATTAGCAGGCCTGAGAACGAGGAGCCCGACATTCTTCATTCGCCAGGGGCTCGATGGTTCCTTGACATCATATACTTGAAACGACTCGCAGATATTAAACTCCTCGAAGCGTTCCAACTATCCATAGCTAACTACGCATTCTTTCACAAGTTTGCAAAGTAAGCCGTAACGAGGGCAATAGTAATCACAAAGAAACACGGCAGCGCGTCATTTGCATCACACCACAGAGCGCACTACCAACTTAAAGCGCAGAGTTGATTGCGAGTAAGTGGCAGACCAAGCAACAACATGCTACCGCCCTGCTACACTGCCAGCGCACCCAACTTGTCCTTCAGCTCTTGTATCCCATCATCGTTTCCGAAGATCAGTGCATAAAACGCCCTGGCATCCATCCTCACAATCTGCGTAAATATGCCTTCTATCCGCTCTACTTCGCTCGCCTCTGCACCCAGCGCGGCCGTCTCCCCCATCAGATCCTTCATCATCACCGCCGTCCCGCACACATGCTGCGTAGTCCAACTGCCGTAATCGTGTCGCAAGACGATGCGCTTCATCGGCGCTCCTTGAACGCGGCATATGAAATCCGCGAGCCGCGCAGTCGGCGGGACAATTGCGATTTTATACGGCAGCGTCTCTGAACTAGATTCCTTGACGATTGCTAAACGCGGCTCGTCGGAAATCGCGGACGCGTAATTCCAGGATCCTTCAAACTCGGGCGAGATGCGGTCGTCCTCGTCGCTCCCGTCGGGGTCGTACTTTGAGTACGGATACAGAGAATGCATGTGGTCTGTCGTGATAAAGTCTATTCGGTGATTTTCAAAACACGTCAACCCGGGCAGCTTTGAGTCCGTGTCGTCCAGGATATGCTGCATCAGCACGTCGTGCTCTTGGTGCGCCGCATCGAGGACATCTTCATACTCGTTGCGATAGACGCGCTGCAGCTCCGCCTCCCACTTGTCCGTGAGGTCAAGCGACGCGCGCAACTCAGAAATCGCAGGCCCCACGGATATGATCCTGCCCAGGCACGTCGTCGCAAGTTCGACAGAAGATGCCGCCCACTCGTCTCTTCCTTCGGCGCGCAGGTGATCATAGAGAGACTGGCTGCCCGGCTTGTGCTGGAACTGAACAACGCCGCCGAGACTCGGCATATTGTCCCCGCCCAGCAAGTTCCTGAGCAGCGTGCAAAAGGCTGCTTTTTCGTCATTCCTCTCTGGCAGGAGATTCTTGCGACCCATGAAGTGGACTGTGTCTGCCCAGACGTCCAGAACGGATTTGCTGTAGTCGATGGGAAAGTCACGGCCGTCGACTGACAGGCCGACGAGGCCGTAAATCTTATCCCTGGGGTCCTTGCACAAGGCGTCGAGGTGGTTTTCCAAAAGTCTCTTCAGAGAGCAGCTGCCGCTGTACTTGTTCCGCCGCATGGCCTGCAAGGCAAGCGGACCAATGTTGCGTTCCTTGCTCTCGGCATGCTTCTTGACATGACGCACAAAGCAATCCCAATCCAGCGGGCCAGCACTGCCGAAACAGACCTGAATCTTGCGAGCCTTTCCAATCTCCTGAAGAATCCACACCCGCTGCCAGTATTCGTCGCCGTTCACGTCTTGTATTGCTTGCTGGAGATGGCTCTCGACGTCAACATCTACAGTGGTGTACTGCGTACCCAGCCAAACGAGCACAGATGCAGCGCGAGAGTAAATATGCGGCATGATTCGCAGCTGGCGACTCTTCTCGGGAACATCTTTCTGGTTGATGGACACAGCATCAATCCAGAGAGGACAGCCGCGCGGGTGGGCGTGAAGATATTGCAGAGCCGCGTGCAGGTTTTCTGTAACGGTCACGCTGATGCCGTCGACGATGATGGTCTTCTGAACAGACTCGTCGCCCCATCGGTAGGACAGGGCTTCGTACTTTTGTGGCGGAGAGAATGCGGCGACCTGAATACTGCACACGAGGTATCCTTGGTTGCTCAGCTCGCGCTCAATTGTGAGGAGCCTGATGGTGTCGGTTGAGGTGCTCAGGGGTCGACTAGCGTAAGGCTCTGAGGGAACAACAGGAAGTTGTCCTGTGGCATTCGCCGAGGCCGTTGATGACATTGTGAGTGAGTGTCGAGATTTTATGTTGCGTGTCTCGTGTGTCCGGCAAGCCGACTAGACTTGCTAGGTTATTGCACCAGGAACATCAATGACTTAATAGTCACGAAGATAATACGCTCTGGCGTCCAAACATAACGCCTCGGATGCCTGTCGTGTGCATGAACATGGGTGCTCTGTGGATCGTCACGCCGCTGAGAATGCTGAACAGCGGCGAGAGCTGAAAGTTTGCGGCATGATGAAGTACTGCATCTGGTCAAGGAGTGAGTAGACCATTCACAGCTACAGTACGAGACGCGTGGTAACTCGACACCTCGATGGCGGTAAATGCATCGCCCACAAAAGACGTCCGGGGCGTGTGGTGACCTCGGAAGTATAAGCTGACATCTGGACTGTTGAAAAGTCAAGACCGGGCGAGAATCAACGGAAAACAAGGCAAGACAGGTTGATCTTTTACAGAAACTGGGAGCTTACTCAACGCTCCATCAAATCCGAGCTCGTCTCATCATTGGCCGTGTTCCAATAAAAAAAGCAGCCACAATATGCAACCTCCACCTCGTCTCCACATTGGATTTGAACGGGCCTAAGCTCATGCCCCGTCGAAAAAGAGCTGCGTCGCTCGTCAATCCAGCGCTGGCTGCGTGAGATGCGTGTAAGTCGGTGCGGGACCCGGGTTGAGTAGCATCCATCATGCCATGAATATAAAATGGGAAATCTCATTCCTTCACATTCCACCACGACATTGAGAGCATAACTATACACTGCCCTAAATAAAAAGAATATTTCTAAACCTGCAATTTACCAATACTGTCTAATTGTCCAGACTCCAGAGGCACATTCGGCCTACACCCTCCACACATCAATATCAGCTCAGGCATCTAGACGCACAAGAGCCATTGTCCATCATGTCGACACCACCCGTATTCGCCTCGGAAATCCGGCAGGTAGGGGATTTCAGTCCCATGATTGATCGTCAGTCTAATCTGAAATAGATGATGTACGTCGCGGGGGAGACTGAGAGCGCATCCACAGAAGCCGTGTCCCTGATCGAGAGCATCATCAGAAATCAAGTCATTCACCTGGTACCATACCCGCCATGGCACCTAGTTCAGCTTGAACAGAAACTGCAGCTAAGCCATTCGCCTAGATAACCACAGCTGACGAGTATGCTTCCCGGCGTGGCAGTCGGGTCTTCTCCAACAACGACCTAATCTTCCAATTTCGACACGACGCTGCGCGAGTCGAAAGAGTACAAAAGTTTCTCGCGTTAAAGGCCCTGCGAAGATCATCAAAGGCCGATGACGAAGACGTGGAAAAAGTGGAGGTTGAAGATGCCGACACGATGCAAAGCGGTTTGGGCGATGCATTGGAGACGAGCAGAGCTGTTGCCGCCTCAGCCAGGCTTCCTTGGGACATCAACACTCTGTACGGTGAGCTCCCACCAGGTCCAGCGGATTCGGCCGCATGCGAGGAGCAAGATGCGACGAATCTAGAAAAGTTGCGGGCTGCCGATGCCAAGACACTCAACATGACTGTCGCCGAGTATACAACATGGTCAGAATACCGCCACGCTTCCTTTACCAGGCGTCGTGTGGTGAAATTCCGGCAATGGTGCGGACTGGGTGTCGTGGCGGACCACAAGGCCAGCGACGACGTGTTGGATATTCTGGGCTTCTTGACAAGCGAGATGGTGCACCGACTGACCGTCATGGCCCTGGGCCTGCAGGAACGTGAGACTCGTCGGAGGCTCCTCCTATACGGGGAGCAGAATACCGAAATGCGAGGCTTCGCATCGCTGATGGGGTTGAATCAGGACCAACAGGCGAGATTGCCAGTAGAGTGCCGTCATATTCGACATGCATATGATATGACGCAAAGCGCGAGTACAGCTCACGGCGCCAGGCGGAAGGGGATACGGTCCACGAAGATGCTGTGCCTTATATGAGCAGTAACTTGTCCCTAAATAGATTGTTCAGTCAATTTTCACCAGGTAAAACCCTAAATCCCACGCAAGCCGACAGGCGCCGAAGATAGCGCTGTTCTACAAAGGCCGCCTACTCCTCTTTTTCTCGATTCCCGTCCATCATGTAGTCATCAACAGTATAGCCAGCCACAACCTCTGACTCAGTCCTCGTCTGAATGTCCTCAATCGCTGGCTGTGCGGACAGCCAGGCTGCAACCAGCATGCTCTTCAACGTCCAGCTGGACTTGAACCTGCTGGGCGTGTACCACTCGACTCCGTTGCGGCTCAACTCGCCGTGGTATGGGAAATTGGCCAGAAGATGAAGCCTCAATAGTGACGGGTACCTATACAGGTCAAACAAGGCAGCTCTTTCGGCGGACATGTACCACCGCAGACTGCCGATGGTGAAGCCGAGGGATGAGCCGAGCACGAACGGAAGGGCAGCTGTGCCCCAGAGAGCGCTGGCGACGAGGGTGGCGCTGATGCCGACGACCACGGCTGTGTATGTACCCGCCAAGAGGCTGCGAAACATTCTGCCGTCAGTCAGTAGAGTTCAAGGTAGTTGGCCTGGCTCTATGCCGCGAGCAATTTTCAACGGCATCGCGACGGGGTGCATACACTAATCCGGGACCGCTGAAAGCTGTTAGAAGGCACTCCGTGCAATTCAACGTCGGAAATAACGGACCTGACATTTCCCCAGCCACCAATGATCTTGAGCAGGCTGAATGGGTGTTGGGAATTCGAGGCGAAGTCGGCGACCTGGGGGGACATTAGCAACGTGTTGACGTCTCGTGAACTGGCCGACAGCTCACACTCATTTCCTGCATTCTGGCTAGGGTGGTCCTGCGCCCAGGAACAGCTCGGGAAAGAGAAAAAAAAGAGTCAACTCTTTGGAACAGGCGATGAGTTGCTGTTTCAGCGCCGTGAGTATTCCACCTGATTCAGGCCCGATGCATTGACGGCAGACGTGATGCAGGAGGCACGTTTGTGATATGGATGTGGCGCACTGAGCGCGTGGGAATACCGGCAGAGCCCAGGCCTACGAGACTGGCACTAGCATCCCGCCAGCTGCCACACAAACTGACACAACTTGATTCCAACTGACCGTGCCCCCAAGGTAGTCTCATTCCCCCTCAATCCTCTCGGATCAACATTTTTCCGTAATAATAAATCTTTGCGTAGCCGTCTTATTTCCTTTGAGCCCACTACGCGTTCGCAACGAGTGGGTAAACTCCTTGGTTCAAAGACAAAAATGGACCAGATTCAAATACCTTCTCGCGATGTTGTGTCAAGTCTTTGTGATAGCAACGGACCCGAAACCCGCGGCTTTGCATACAACGATCAGATTTGGATCAAATACGGCAAGTCAGTGAGGTTGGCGGAAGCTGCGATGCAAAAATATGTACACGAAAATGCTGATCCTAGCATCGTCCATATTCCCAAGGTTTTCGACGCTTTCAGCATCCCATTAGGGCCGGACGAAATATCAATTATCGTCATGGAGAATGTGAAGGGCAGTGATTTCGTTGACTTCAAAAAGGAGCACCCGCAAGAAGCCGAGGAAGCAATGGAGGCCATCGCGACCGCCGTCCGTCACATTTGGGATCTCCCACTACCACCGGGCGTACCACTAGGACCTTTCTACCAAGAGATGCCTGTTGATAGATTCTTTGCGGATTTTGGGGCATACCGCAGTTTTAACGATTTGTCAGAGTTGGAGGATTGGATCAACAATAAGCTGGACAAGGGAGAGTTCCAAGATCGGGTGGCATTGCAGGGGGAGCGGCTTTACATATGCCATTGCGATCTTACTCAGTTCAACATCAGAGTGGGCGAGCGAATCGCCATTCTAGACTGGGGGTTCTCGGGTGTCTATCCACTGATATTTGAAGAATTTGCTCTGTTTCACCAATTCTGCCTTCCTGGCTCTAAATTTGCGAGAGCTCTATGCAAGGAGCTCTTTGGGCCAAAGCTCTCTACGCCTATGCGTGCGATGTCACGCGCAGCAAATTATCACATGTTTGGGATCTGCGCGAGGAAGAAATGATACTGCATTTGAAGCCGTATCATGCCGTGGGACTGGTGATTTGACTTCAAGCTCCAGGGTTATTCGGTGATGTCATTAGTTGGATCGACACATAGGATCTGCAAACGCTGATGCCGCTATTGACAAAAAGACGTTTAGGGCAGCACTGATATTTTCGCACATTTTATTTTATTGAACTCAGCAATGGAGCCTGAGAATAGGACTGGACATGTAATTGCAAGACATAGCGGTTAAGAGCTAAGCGCCGAGTATGGTCAGGAGCTAGACGCAGCTGTTTGTATTCCTAGATTAGACCTCTACAGTATAATGTCAGCGGAAATATATTGTATTTTCACTTCTAATTGAATAGTTATGGCAAGAGGAGATCTCGTATTATTTGGCCATCTGTAAAGCAAGGTGATGGACTCGTCGTGGCGCCATGCATTTCTTTTTTTTTCTTTTTTGGTTTGCAACACCTAGTGTTGGTTGGCTTGTTGGGATGCAAAGCTCGAGGCGGTTAAATTAAAAAGGTGACAAGGCAGTTTTCGTGGCAAATCGAAGCGACCTTCCCTCCGATTCTCAATGAATCGATCATCCTGAGACCTTATCAAGGTCCACAGGAGCATGAGCCGGCTAATGATCTGACCGGCCTGGTACACGAGTAGTGTTGCTCAAGTGCAGGCTTGATAGGCCTTGAATTTGGACCCAAATTAGGAACGAAATACGGTAAAGCTGCAGGATACCATCATGACAGTTCATATTTAGTCCCATTAGCGCCTATTAAAGAGTTCCGTAGCCAATGACTCCCCTTCCACAACAAGGACATGACGCAAACCGGCACGCTGCCTGACAAGTGCTTGGTGTTGATGTGCCAGAGTAAATTGACTTGACTTGTTTGCAACCAGCATGATGGCCTTTGCACTGTTGGCCGAGTTCGGCTCTCAGGCCACCTGGCCACGTATGTACTTGGCGTTGTTGCTGCCTATCTCGTCCGCGGTATCGAATGGTCTCCGATAACAAGCACCTTGACGCCCGGCCACCTTCATCAACCAGGGAGGCATGAGACAACGGAAATATCTAGACTGCTGAATAACGGTGGTTGGTTGTGAACGGCTCTGGTTGGCTGCTTCCAGGAGATGAACCAACCGAGAGAACAGCTCTGAAACAGTCAAGAAGGGGGGGAAGTCTGAGTGATTGGGGCCAACATTGAAGGGTTGACCACCGTGGCATCAATGCGACTAGACACCATGTGCACCCTGCGCACCCCCTATGCCCCCTGAAGGGCGAGAGTGGCTCGCTAATGTTGGACCTCGGGGCCTACCAGGCTGCATTTGACCACAATAACGGCAAGAAGAAGTTCCTATGGCAGAGAAGTTCGAGTCACTAAACACGAGTTATCTGCATACATGACGAGGAAGCGATACTTGGCCTTGCCTGGCCTTGCCTGGCCTTGCCTGGCCTTGGCAGGCCGCTGTTCCCATGAGGAAATACTTACAGCTGTTTGCCTTGGGCGCTTAAACACCACATCAAGAAATCAAGAGGGGAAGTTGGCCATGCTTTCTAGCCAAAGAGTTTCACACATCATGTCTTAACCTAGAGTCGATTGGCTCAAGTATCCTCGAAAATAGAAGTCCGTGAGCCTCATGAATGTATCAGCACTTTCAAGATCAATCCTGTCATTCCCGGTCCAACCGCGCGGTTATATCCCGTAAACAGTGGACATCAAGCCTTGTTTACATTCTCCTACTCTAACCCTCTCAAGTAGCTTCTTGGACCAAGAGTCAAAACCAGGCTCATGATATTCAAGATGTATAAATGGGAGCCAAATCGCTTTCCATGGCCGAATTAATCAGTATTGAACTCGTCTAATCCTGCTCATGACATCTACTTCATAGAGGTTGCTCTCGGATATCACTCCCATCCTTCGTTTGTCTAATATCTTCCTCTCACACAAGCAATGGCCCGGGAAGAATACGAGCTCATTCAAGATACTATTGCTGGGAATAATATCTTGGCGAATACCAAGTTCCTGGGATTTCGTATTCGCAGGGTTCACCCTGATGAATTCACTTTGGGAATATATGCAGATGAAGAGGGTAACTTTGACGAGAGTAAGAATCATTGGGCTCTCGTTTTCGAGACGGCTGATAAATATATCCTCCTGAGTATGGAGAGTCGCAAGAACAGCAGGACCGGCAAGCATGGGGTGCTCGTGTTGCATCCGCAGAGCTACAAAGGCGAGTCGAGAAGCGTTGTTCACCGCCAAACTTATTCGTTCAAGAATCCCGATATTACTATCAAGTAGCTCTTGTAATTCACTCTCACCCGCGGATTGCACCGGTATAAGATGATCACCACCAAGGATGGAGCCAAGAAAGGATGTCGGTACCACTTGTAGGTGAAATATACCCATTGCGCTGCTCCTGAATGCTAATAATTATTAGGAAAACCATGTTGCTAGGCCTCGAGGCTGCTGGGTGGATTGGGAGCAAGTCAGACGCCGGTAAACGAATCAATGACTTTCTCCCTTATGTTTACAAGAGAGATGAGGAAAACTTCGACAAGACGTATATTTCGACTAAGCTGTTACACGGGTGACACGTTGCCACGAAGGCACGGGCCGGACCTTGAACCCGATAATAGTTACACAGGGGCTCTGATCATGAGACCTAGGGCAAGGTCCCTCACCGCCTCTTAATATAAATAAAGGTCTTCCGCTCTCAGGGCTTCAAGGAAAATTAAGGACCTTTAATATCAAAGCAAAGTATTAGCTGAATACGAACTTTGTTCTAATCCCTATAATGATAGCCCTTGTCACACAAGCCTATCGACGTCGGCCATTTCTGTGAGTAATTTATCACTCACAATCCGTATGGTATTTTCCGGCAACTACCATGGAAAGGAGGAATGAGGAGAGAAACCGGGTTTGGTGAAAGCTCAGGAGACTTGTCATTATGTGAGGGACCACGGGAGTGATTAGCGATGAGGGCACAAGGGCTCGTGATGCAAAGGCAAGTCTGCTATTGCGAGCTAGGCAGAGAGAAATGGGAAGCACGACTTGAACATGCATGTGATGTAGAAAGAACAAGGGTAGCTGGAAGGTGCCCGCCGTGTGCTGTTATGTAGAATGGTAAATAGATGATTGACCGTTTTAGCTATTATTGCCCAGCGAGTCTGCTTATAAAGTGTCTTATATTTTATGGCCTAAACTATTCCGGTAATAATATAATTAAAGCCTTTTACGTTCAGAAATATAACTTGGTATATTAATATAAATAAATATATTTATATATCTTCGAATATATATAAATATATTATAATAGAATATCTAATTTCCAGGTATTAATTAAATAAGGCATTAGTTAATATATCTAGTAATAGCAAAAATAGTGTAAGCCCGCCAAGAAATTCACAAAAAAATTGACACTAGACTTCCTAACTAACCTCCCGAAAACGTAGAGGAGATAGACTAAAAAGTTGGGTCTGGCCGGGGATTGAACCCGGGACCTCTCGCAAGCAATGCATTAGGGTTTTCCCTAAGCGAGAATCATACCACTAGACCACCAGACCGAGTTAAGGACCAAGGAACTTGGATGAGAACACGAAGCCGAAAAGAAGTTTATGAAGTCGTCGCATCTTCCGTTTCTCACGCCGCTAGCTTGGCGCGCTAGAACTGCGTTTCGTTTCGAAACGCCAGGCCAGGCGGTAGTGGAACTCGCACATCAATTGGCACCCAGCTCATGGATGCCATTGCTGAGATGCCTAGCGGATAGCTGGTTAATCGTGCACACAGTCTAATGCTCTATTTCTGTTGCATAAGTATAAATGCTGTGTGGACTTCGAGAACGTTTACGAAGCGACCGATGACTACCTACCAGCACTTGAAAGTGGCAGGGCCCAATTATTTATTGTTCTCTTGCTTGGAGAAGAAAACCTCAATCGCACTGCCAACTACCTTGTCATAGTCCTTTATTGTTGCAATTATGCCAGGTCTCACTGCGTCATGACACCGAGAATAATATTCCCTGTGATATACCGCACAAGGTAAAAGCTGGCTTCTCGCTGCTTAGCACGGCATGCTGGTGTGTGACAAGGCTGATGGCAGCGCATATTCTGCGGACTCTACTCATCCACGTTAGTTTGCATACTTTAATTTCCTCAGTAGCGCAAAAGGGTGGATGATAAACTCTTCTGCTTGTCTCCCCATCACCGCCGGATATTATATAAATATAACAAGGCTTGCAGAGCTACACCAGAGCTTGAAGGCCCTCGATTCAGATGCGCTTGAGTGCTCTTTATCTCGACCTCCAAAAGGTCCTGGGGTGAGCTATTTCAGAAAGATGAGCCCCTGGGGCAGGGTCCCAGAAGAGAAATCAGCTCCAATAATTTGTCTCGCTTTAATAACCCTTTACGTTAAGGCGCGTTGGATGTAATGGCCCCACCGTATCTGAGATACCCGTCGGGTACCTTTTTTACAACTAGCACCAAGGTACCTACGTCGGCAGGTAGGTAGGCCAGCCCTCATTACATTAGATATAGGTGTAATAAATGCAATATAGCTCTTTATACCTCAGGAAACTATTAGAACTTTTCTTATTATATCAGTTCTTAGTGGAATAATGTACCTTTTAATACTAGGCTTCTGATTAGCTAAAATCCCAGCTCACCTTAACACCAGCTGTTCAAGGGATTATAGGTCCCCGGAGCAGACCCAGCCGTTGCGGACTTCCGAAGCCGCATGAGCGTGCCGGGGGCCTCCTTAAGTGGGCCCTGTATGAGTCGTCTCGAGAGCGTTGCGAGGATCGGAAAACCCATTCCATTGAGTCATAAACTGTTTGCTTCAGTAAAGTCGTAGGCTTATTCATAAAATGAGCTTTAATAACCCTCCTGAATCTCTAATACTAGGTAGTTGCCTAAGGCACACATCCAAATTGCGTCCGCGCCTGAGTTCTTTATATAAATACCATTAATTCCCAAACACATCGTACCCTCCGCATAAGTATTTTTGGCTTGCAGCACATAAACAAACAGATCACCATCAAATGCTACAGCAGGCACCATGGCAACAGCTGATAACCCAATCTCACACCACACGAGCCATACGATGGGCAATGGCGCCAGCAGCAGCAATAACGGCGCCCATGGGGACGGCGCGACCTCCTCTGCCAATGGTGAGATTTTACTTTTACTTTTTTTTTTTTTGCATAGGCCTTCTGCTAACCGTCGGCTTGTAGGACGAAATCAGGACGATGTCTTGGATGCCCCCCTAACGACCCCCGTTGCCGACTTGTATAAGTGTAATATGGACGAAACCGAAGCTGATCAGCGCCCTCTGACGGGAATCTCGCATTCCTCTCCCATTTCGTGTAATATCCTGGACTCCAAGGCTGGGACAATAATGAGCAATGCCACTCTCGTGGACTCCTCTGTCAACCTGGCCAGCTTCAGCATTATCGACAGTACTCTGCGCGAGGGCGAGCAGTTCAGTACCGCCCACTTCAACACGGCACAGAAGATCAAAATTGCCCAGGGCCTGGATGATTTTGGAGTGGACTATGTAAGACTCTCACTCAGCCAAGCCATGAGCTCTGAAACGTACTGTGTATATCTAACGCCATGTATTAGATCGAGTTGACGTCGCCCGCTGCTTCTGAACAGTCGAGAGCTGACTGCGAGGCCATCTGCAAGCTGGGTCTACGGGCCAAGGTGAGCCAAGCTTAGACCGGAATATCATCTATCCCATGCCTGACAACAAGTCAGATAGTATGCCACATTCGATGCCACATGGACGACGCACGACTCGCCATTCAGACGGGCGTGGATGGAATGTAGGTTCTCTTCCCTCTAGAAACACACACACCGTGACTAATGGTCCCGACACAGAAACATGTTCATCGGAACCTCTTCCCTGCTCATGAAGCATTCGCACGGAAAGGACATGAGCTACATTGCCGCCAAGGCGCAGGAAATTATCGAATATGTCAAGTCGAACAATGTCGAGATTCGCTTCTCTGGGGAGGACTCGTTCCGCTCGGACTTTTCGGACATCTTGAAGCTGTATTCCCTCGTCGACCGGCTGGGCGTGGACCGCGTAGGCATTGCCGACACTGTGGGTGGTGCCACGCCCATGGAAGTGTACGATAAAATCGACGCCCTGAGAAAGGTTGTCGGCTGCGACATCGAGACGCACTTCCACAATGACACGGGGTGTGCCATCGCGAATGCCTTGGTTGCTCTCGAGGCTGGCGCTACCCATATCGACACTACGGTGCTTGGTATCGGCGAACGAAACGGCATCACGCCTCTCGGCGGTCTTATGGCCTGTGTGGTTCCTACTGATCGCAATTTCATCTCGAGCAAGTACAGGCTTGAGAAGCTGGACTACCTGGAAGAATTGGTTGCCCAGATTGTCGGGGTGGAAATCCCCTTCAACAATGTTACGTGGTCTCTGAAGAATAAGGACTGAACGAGACTGGGACGCTGGTAGTAATCGAAAAGCCAGTAACATGGTTTATTCAGATTATTAGCTCACGGAGCAGTCCTTGCGGTGCGATTGTGCATCAGATAGTCATTACTGGAAAAATCATGCCTACATGACCCCCTTTGAGCCTGAATTATTTTGAGTGAATTGCCAACACGTATTGTGTACGTAGGGGGCTCACACGAACCTTGACGGATAAAGACTCATTCGTATAACTTGTCTTTGTAACTTATTGCTTACCACCCTCTGGGTCATCAGTTGCGCATCCTCCTGTGCACTACCTATCCACTGCCCGCTTAGACACGTTCTGCCTCCGTAAATTTCTGCGGCTCAAATGGCAGGATACATGCAACAAGGGCAATAAGCCCGTACATTCCCACTAGAACCCAAATTGGAACCCCGGACGTCAAGTCCCCAAATGTTTCAATAAAAGGAGATGACAACGAGGCAATCCGCCCCAATCCCAGAGCCAAGCCAGCCCCGGTGCCTCGATTCGCAGTTGGCGTCACCTCCAAAGTATATCTATTTTGGTCATCGTTTATCAATCCAGCAGCAGTTACAGGCGAGGAGAAAAGAGAGGCGGTTGACCCACGCATAGAGGATGCCGCAAAAGGCGCTTTGCCAGAAACTAATCATGCTCGAGAAGGCGATATTGGCAGCCTCGGTGCGAACAGCGGTAAAGCCGCCACAAAACGCGGCCGCGCAAAGAGCCGTCAATGCCATGGAGCGGCGGCGACCAAGAAATGGCACATTGACAAGATACGTTGCGAAGATGGGGCCGAAGATGCCGACTGTTGCTGAGATGACGTAGTCGCGATACGTCTGAGCAATGCTGCCGTTTCCAAAATTGGTGCCGTTGTGCTGGAGATAGGCTGGGAGGTACAGCACGAAAACGGGATAACTGCCATCACGATATTAGCTTTCATGAGACCTGCTGCGGCAACCAAACCCAAAGGGAGAGGGCCTAGAGTAAAAGTTGACCTACGCTACGCCAATGCAGATCCACAAGAATATAATGGTTACAGTAGAGTAACTCTGCATCTTGTTTATAAACAATCCCTTCACGTGCAGAGAGCTGAAGAGCGTGCACTTCTTGCCACGGGCTGGAAGATGGACGACTGGTTCGAAATCACCAGCCGTGATGGTTGTGGCACGTTTATTGACATGGGCCATCCGTGACAGTGAAGTCATGGCGTCGTCGAAACGGCCCTGCGAGATGAGCCATTTGGGCGACTCTTCCATCTTGAGGAGGAAGATGCGAACCGAGGCCATGATGAACGAAAGCGCTCCAATGGCAATGTACTGGTACCGCCAACCCATGTTTTGAGAGCTGTGACAAGTTTCCGGGGTGCTATCCTGAGGACAGGAGAAGTTTACAGTAAGTGGCCATACTGCACAGGGCCGCTGTTAGTACAGAAGCCGTCAAGTTGAACAAGATGGTCATGTTGGGCCAAATCTTACTGATTAGACAGCCGACAACACCGCCCAGACTCCACCAAAGTGGGATTGCAGCTAGAATATAGTCCTTGGATTTGGGAAGCGCCTCGATGAAAACAGTGAGATCAATGGCAACTGTAAAAGTCAGCACAATCCTCTCTTGACGAGTCTGGTAATTATGCAGTTGTAGCTGGTTCAAGACGAAACTCACAGTTTCCACCTCCACCTCCTGCCTGCAGCCCTACAAAGACGGCCAGTACAGCGAAATTGGGGGACGCAGCACAGTCAAGGGTCCAAATCGACACAAATATAAGTGAAACTTGCCAAACCAGCCTGCGGCCAATAATGTCCACGGAGAAGCCGCACAGAATGGAACCCAGCAGCGCGCCTACGTAGACGGCGCAAATAATCATGGCGGGATACTTGACGTGCCATTGCTTGACAACTTGAGGCTGCGTCAAGGCCAAGGAGACGATGATTAACTATTTCCCCAAATCAAGTCAGTCGACAGGACGCAGCTAGGAGATTGAAAGGGACGGGAGTTTGTCACCTGATCCATGACGAAACCAAAACCACACGTCATAAAGAGCTGCCATTGGTATCTGCCGAATCCAATTTGCTCAATGGCATGGTTTGTTGTGGCTATATTCCTTGCTTCTACGGCCTGCCGTGCGGCCGAAGGAGACTTGTACGCTTCCCGAGGTGTCTGAACCACAACAACCGCATTGTCCTTTTCTGTCTCCAGTCTGACTCCATTAGAGAACGACTTTGGCGGAGAAGGCTGAACGGATGCACAATCCGTGAGCGAGCTGGATTTGTCAATCGACATCTGGGGTATAGAAATGGTGTGTATGTCAGAGTATGTGGGCATATGTGATATGCCTCCGGGCTTGTCAACAGCATATACAGAATGGAAAGGATGTCAGGAGAGGGGTAATCATGGCGGAACGGGGATTATATCAAGGTGATTCGAGATGAAGATATGCAGCAAAAGCTCAGCCAACACAACGACACATCATGTTGGCATGTCTCAGCCTTCATGCTTCCTGTTGTTGTCTACAACGGCAAACTCCGCATTGGTGACAATTGGCGCGCAGCCCATCACAACTCGGGCGGAAGAGCGGTAGAAAGAGGGTGTAGTGAAGAGGGACGCTTTTGGCAAGGGACGGAGAGCTTAACAGAGACTGAAACCCTACAGCCACCAGTGCCCGAAATGCCGGACGGCGCAAGATGACGAGTCAATCCAGGGTGGGCCGTTCGTTCATGGCTTCAACAAACGCCACTCAACCCGTATAGCTTGGCTCGATTGGAGCGTTCAATGGTTCACAGACATTTATATATGGCAGTGATGAACGGTTGGTTACATCAAGCTCGAGTAAAAAGGGGGCTTTGCTTACGCTGCAGAATACGGGTAAGCAATAAATTCTTTTCAGATGAAGGTAAGTAGTCCCCATGCGCATGTCTTAGGTGCGTCTGACAAGGTCAACCTGTTGGGCACATATAAAGGAGGAATTCAATTACCACCCCCAAAGCCGCTAGAGGAGCTGGAGGCACATCGTTCTGGGGACGAGAAGAGATAATTCCTTGAGTTTATGCGGAAGATGCTCCGGAACAGCGGAGTAGCGCGGACGAGCTGTTGTGTGACGATTGGCTACAAGAGAATAAATAAGTGACATAACGTTGCCGAAGCGTATTCGGAAAGGCTACCTTTATTGATAGAGGACGTCATAGTATATATGCGTCTAGGTTATATAAATACGGATTTTGCCCTCATTAACATGATGGACTCGATTTCGACCAACTGCGCATAGAAGAGGGGCGAAGAATATGGAAAAAAAGAAAAGCAGGCTCGTTTCGACTTACACCATCTTGGCCAGCTTTGGCGAGCAAAGCAGCAGGATACCCCGGCCCAGCTTCTCCGTGAGGAGCACATGCATCCACCGTTTCCCGTAGCGCTTACTGTTGTGGAAGCGCGCCCGGAGAGTCTTGCGCTGCGACTCGTCCAGCGACTTGGTAAAAGGGTCGAGGTGCGAGACTGCCCACCAGACCTTCGTGTTCAAAATCATGGTTATGTCAAGTCTGACGGGTCGCGCAAACTGGCTGGGGGGACACGGCAGTTGAGAGCATGGACGCACTTGGCCAAACTACCGTGGCAAAGTCGACAATGAACAATACCATGACACCAGACTATAAAGAAGACTACCTCATTCTCGTACGGCATAGTTCAGTTGAGTAAAAGCAACTCAATTCATTCACAAATCTCGCACTAGCTACATGGACACTGCGCAATATTTCGCTCACTCCTCCGCCTGCAGCGTGTTCAATACGGCTTCCTGCCCCGGAGTCTCAACATGGTTTTTCACGTAGTCGTCGTGCGTGAACTTGTGCGGGTGCGGCTTCTTCTTTTCCGCCATGATCTGCAGTCCGGAGACCATGGTGCCCGTACGTCCATGGCCGAAGCCGCACCAGACCAACGTGCCATTACGGTGCTTCTCCCATTCCGTGTTGCCCTTTTTGAGCTGTTCCGGCGTGGGCGCGTGATGGTCCTCCACCTTGAGCGGCGTGTACGCAATGCCCGCCGTCCGCAGCGTCTCGGTGATGGTGGCGTCGTCGGCAGGCCAGTTGACACCGATGACATGTTTGATGTTCTGCTTGTGCAAAAAGGCAATGGATTCGGGGTCCAAGCGCTGGTCGGTATCACGCGATTTGTAGTGTGGAGCTGAGGAGCGGAAGAGGCGATCGGTAGGGAGCAGATGTAGCTTGACTTGCTCAAAGCGGTAGAATCCTGCTTCATCAGCCATACTGAGAGAAGTTTCCTTGTGTGTTTAATGTTGTGTGAAATGTGTCAATTTGAGTACGAGTTCTCAGCATGGACAAGTGTCCAGGACTGATCCCCTCAGAGCAGTCAAGGCTCCAACAAGGTCACGGGCTCCACAATAACAAGGACCTCTGGTAACTTTAGTAGCAGCCTAAATCCTGTGAGTAAACATGTAACTTTTTGTAGCTTTAAGATGATGGCTACTTAAATTATAGGGTAAATTCTAGGAAACCTAAACATCTGTAATATGTGGGTCTCTTATTGGCAAGAGCCTGGCCAGTGTCCGACAGGCGCTTCTGGGCGCAAAGATTAAACATTGATCTTTTTCTGTAACTTACCAGCACCAACCATAACAGTTTGTTTACTAAATGCCTGCTTTAGACAGAAAGTTCCGTTTTGCACCACTACCGGAGCGAATGTGCCGGATTCGCTGATATGGGAAGCGTACATCAAGCTCCTAGAAACCAAGGTCTATAAATCATGTGGAATGGTCGTTCACCTAGACTAGGACAACCCAACACCTCCCCCAGGAAACGGCGCACAAGACCAGGAAAAGTACCTTGTGTACGTGAAAAAGACTCTCGTTCGAGCTGGCAAGCCAGATCCTGGCACCTTGGATCAGTTTCTCAAAGACAAACTCGACATGAGACTGAATGTACGTGCTCTCAAGTGGCAACAATGTTGTGACTCCAAAATGCGACTAACATGTGCGCAGAAAAAAGAATTGAATCTTATTCCCGACACTCTCAAGATGCTTTTGAGCTCCTATATTTACCAGTCCATCCCTGGCAGAACCAACCCCCTCTAACAACGTGTGATTGATTCAACCCTTAGGCCAGATGATTCCCGCGCGAATTGAACTGGGCGGGCGTCTTTACTTTAGCCAAGAGTCACACGCATTCTCCGATTCAACGTCATTGGAAAAGGCCCGGTCACTCAAGGTCGCCGCCAGTCTCTCCTTCTCCTCACCCTACGTCCAGGCGTCTGTCAGCGCAACTCATGCCGCGGACCAGGAGCACAGTCAGACGAAGGACATTAGTGGTCTCAATAACCAGATGGCGTGGAAGGCTACCGGAGGTGACACGCGTTTAGCCAATAAGTATTGCTCCCCCGTTTGTTGATGATGCCCCTGGTGTCTTGGTCTAATTTCTCGATTGAATAGTCCCCCTGCCTGGTGCAGCACAGTGGGAAGCCACTTGAATTGGCGAATCATTCATGTAAGTTGTCGTCTCCGGGCGCCTCAAAAGTCGACTATTTGGCTAAATGGGTCATGTACAGCGAAGCGAGTTCCGATCTCTATTTGACATTATCAGGGCCACCGGACTATGCAGGGAACTGATGCAGGCCATTGACAAACTCGCGCCTCATATGGAGAGCCCGGAAGTTGAATAATAGCTTTGAATATAAAGGTTTCCTTATTTTTCTGTTATTCCAGTGTTTAATCATTAAGAATATTGGAACTCTCCGGATAAATCTCTTGTTTCGAGCAAACTGGCAGTTCCTTGATGCGCATGCCTGCGGGCCGCGCAGGAGGATTTGATTGGGCTAGAACTCCTCGGTCATGGCGCTCATTGAAACATACACATCAATGTTGAGCAGAGTAAGTCGTCTATCAAAGCTGTATCGTTGAGTTGTAGCAGGTACAAGCAGGGTAGGCAACAAGTCACCAATAGGGTATCATCTGCAGCAAACAAGATGGGAGACGAAAAAAAAAAGATTGACTCTATAATAAAAAACACAATCGCGGACTCCCTGGTCAGTAGCCATCACGTCTAAACCATGTATGCCGGATAAACTGTGTCAAGCCATACACTCTCCCAAATTGCAGGATACACCCGGAATCAACAGGAAAATAACCACGCGCCGAGTAAGTGCTGCTTTACTGAAAAATGTCATTCTGAGCACCAGGTGCCCAACCCATACCCTGGTTATACCCCGGAGAAGCGCCATTAGGAACCTTGACATTGTTTCCTTCTGCTTCTATAGAACTGGTCAGATGTCTATGGAGTTGGTCACGTTGTGAGGAGGTACTTACGGTTCCAAGCAACCATTTGCTTGGCGCCCTTGACGCACTTGGACCGGTCGTGTTGACAGTAGACGGGCGCCTTGGCGGGAGCCAGTTTGCGATTGGAGTTTGATCCAGTAACGTGGCATCGGTAGTTGGCCATGTACATGTTGGGCTGGCCGCCTACGCGAGACTGTTCAATATGCCGCCGACTGACGCTCGAACCGTGAAACACTTACATCCTGTGGGAACCCAAAGCCATGCGCAGTAGCAGCCCCCAGCCGGACAGGCAGGAAGGTCTTTGGGAACCTTGTACGTAGCAATACGCTTCCAGGGAGTGCTTTGAAACAGTTAATCGACAGTGTTCAACTACTGCGAAAATGGCATTCAATCTTACTGCTCGAGGACAGAAAACACGACCAAGTTCTCCATGGTGACCTTGCTTAGATCCGACTCGTAGGAGATGGCCCAGGCGGTACCGGCAGCCATGGTCTGGTTATTCGTGTGGAGAGCACCGTCATCTTGGATGCAATCGGGTGGACTTCCAGGGCCTCGCCAATCTTCTGGGTGTTCCTTGCCATCGGGCCATGCAGTGGCAAACTTGCCGTCGAAAGATAGGCTCGTCTGCGCCTGGTTGTGGGCGAGTTCGACGGTGAACTGGCCGCCTGCAGGGAGGGCAACCGAGGCACCGTTCTTGGGAGGATTGTTCAAGCAACCGCTCTTTCGTTGCATCCACCAGTCGTTCTTGGACAGCATCCAAAGAGGATTGACGGGGTCATTAGCATTAGGGTTGTAGTTGTTTGGATCAGGGCCGCCCTTGATGAATGTGGTTAGATGCTGTCTGGCCAAGATATGGTCTCGCCCCGATATGACTGACCTCGCAGTACATGCCCTTAACAAAGGCGGCCGTGTGGGCAGAAGCACCTGTCGCCAGGAGAAGGATGGTAGGAAGTGAGCAGAGCATTCTGAATAATGAGTTGCAAGCGAAGAACTTGTGGTATGTGCTCAATGATTGGCTACTCCGAGGTACAGTCGACAAAGGCAGCAGCTAGACTTATATACTTGGCGCTTACGGCTGGCATCCTCAGGGCACTAGTTTCCGGACTTATTTCTCCGTCTTCTTGTCTGGTCATGAGGTTACACCCCATGCATGTAATCCTTAGTGTCGCCACCAGGATGGCGGATTGACCGACTCTATGGCCGCCAACGCCAGCATACTTTGTGCTTGGATGAATAAAGCATAGATAAAGTGTGCCTGGAGCGGAAAAACTACCATTTCTACATGCTCTTGCGTTATTGACTCGCTTGGAGGTGCCCCAAATGAATAATACCGCATTGGATGAACTATGAGAACATTTCTTTGGTCACCGTGTCAACAGCGTCGCCGATCATTCTGCAAAACGTATTTGCGGATCGTTTATCAAATAGCCGTTCAAACTCCAGTCCTAGCCTGTCACCGGATAAAGTCCCAAATATCTCCCCAATTGCTTTCATTCCATTGTCTGCCAGTAGAACAATACGGAGGCCATCATGTCTCGCACGGAACCTCTGAACGCAGCCCTTTGACCGTACACTTCATGGAAGAATATTTGTCCCGTCGGCTAGACCAGCGAATTAAGTCTCGCCACTGAACTACCATGTTACCTGTTGGGTTGCAGAATTTCTATAGTCGGGCCGACCCGCTTACCAATGGAACATCTTATTGGTGGCATTTCTTTTTCACGCCGTTTTAAAGTATAACGATGCTATTTAGTGCTCTCTAACCACTCAAATTTCTCGGCACACATGGCCTAAGAGCTACCGTATTTAGAATGGCAGTTGGATCCGATCCGATCCCTGTGGCTGGTGTGCGAGGTTTAATGTTCTATTGGGGAAGATTTTATGAGGTGGCTACATATGTAGTGATACGACTGGATTGCCTTGGGCCAAGAGACAAAGTTTAACGCGTGGGTATCAATAACCTACAAGGAATAACCCCCTCCAGACGTTGCAGTCAGGAAGAACAAGCAAGGGAAAAAGCTGTTGTAGCGCAGTCATTGCAAGTTTCTTGTAAAGTTCTGTGAGGTTGCGATGTGATAGAAAATGAATAGTATACGCAACATATATTATAAGTTTTGATTTACTTAGGAAGAAAATATAAAATGCCTATTAGAAAAGAGAGTAGGAAAGAGATATTGCGCATTATTGTTCGGATATAAAGCCTGACAAGCATATTGGCCTCGGTGTCTTTTGGCAACAGTTATCTTTAACTAGACTAGTTTCTGATAAAAAGAGAAATGGTTTATTACGTGCAATCAATAATTGCCACTCTAGTTGTCACTCTCTGCATATTCGCATGGCAACTTGAACTCGGCTGGACCTTCAGGCTCCTCCTGTCTCCCAGCAGGTGTCAAGTCAAGCCAAGAAATAGTATCAGTAAGCTCATTGAGACAGAAATAGGAAGAATAGGCATGATACACATGGCCGTGATGAAGCTTAAAAACGCTCAAATCAGGCCGCTATCCACTCGTGCAATACCCCGGCCCAGAAGCTTCAAGCTCCTCCTTTTTTTTAAAACCATACTCGACGGGGGCGCCGTTTTCGTCCAATGTGACGTGGCAGTCGTAGCTCAAATCACTGCCAGCCAATATGCAGAAGAAACATATGAAACATAATTCACATAGGCCACACAGAGACCTGCGGACTACAGGCATTAAGGTGTCATCTCGCATATTACGCCGTTACTTTCAATATACAGTAAGTCTAGTATTAAGTAAATTTGGGTACCTTTGACCATTTTCTATTAACAGAACTATCCAAAGCTGAATTGCATCTTATCTATTACAGGGCCAACTAGACAACCACATCATGGCTTCTTCTAACGGGACAGTCTGGCCATCTTTCCTTGATTCGTTTTCGCAAGAGATATGACCATCTGGGCCATCTGGGCGCAGTTTTCTTACTGAGTATCTTGCGGGCCTGGGAATAATTGATATTAATGCGCAAGGACTGCTGAATCGTCTTCCTCCGTTCACAAACGCTAGAGGTATTTGGGACATCGTCTATTACTATCATCTGCGCTAGCTAATACGTTGACAGCAAGGCATCACTGTTATCGGTCTAAGTAGATGCAGTGCTACTCGGTTACACCTTGGACTAGAATGGCACCGCGCTGCGGTATATGCTTAACAATCAGTTAAATCCAGTGTGCCTAGAAGACACAAAGTTCTACGGAGCTGGTGAGGGATCTGCCCAGCATTCAAGGTTCCCAAATCGTATAACCGATAAGGCATATCGAGCAAGATTTGTAGAAAATGACAGGCCGGAAACACGTTCCCATGCCCGAAACCAACGAACCTTGAAATATCCATGACGAACTTATCCCTCGCACAGGCCGAGGAGTTCGCCGCTCTATATATAAATTTGAAAACAGTCAATACGCCCCTAGTCTTCGAAACCAATGATAGCACCGGCCGACAGATAAAAGGTCGGACCAGTTTGCAGACGTGGTATGTAGAAATAAGCGCAGGCCTTATTCTTTTTAAGTATAACATAATAAATAGACTGGGAGGCAGAGTGTTCTACACGAGTGATTTGCCAGTTACGGTACTTTACCTATACAGTCCTATTAACCAGTCAATCGTCTAATACAGTTTAAAGTACTAGACCCAGAGCCGGAATATTTAAAACAAAAAGGAGCAAATAAATAAACAGCATGAATAATAGTTTCTTTGCGTATTTGGAGAGAGCGGGATTTTATTTATCCTTTATCCTACCCGGTATAGTAGTTGAGATTTGCAGAACAGCCACGAGAGTTTAGAGAGTACTTTCCCTGAACACTTTATCCCGATCCACAGCAGTTATTGGTCGGCTCATTTGCGGCTGTTCCTCAAGGACTGCCAAAATGTATAGTGTGAAAGCTCTTTGACGTCGGAAGGAAGCTGATCAATCAGATTGCCCTGTCTTCCATAGACTTTTGGTCAGGCGGTGCTGATATTCCTCAATTGCATCTGCAGGGCGACTGATCGATGAGGGGAACGGATAATAGCTATGAGTTAGGATGAAACAAACCTAAAAATCAATTAGATATAATTATATTTAATAATATATGGGCAACTCACCAGTTGACCGAGGTACCAACTGTCAGCCTTTAATGGCCGGGATATTGCCTTCTCACCAGTGACAAACTCTGGAGAGCGCGCCTTGCCAGATGGGAAGATATTAGCAACATTGAAGATAGAGCTTGCCATTCACAGGGCGGAATAAATGACTACAATCACGGATTCTTCTACTGCCTGGCCTAAACCCTACGTCCTCAGGTTCATAAACCCGTTGAGGGAGATGTTGTGGAGTTGGCGATCCATCCGTTCGTTTGATTTCATGCTCTACGCACAGCTTAGCCAGGAGCTGGTTGATCTGAGCAGTGTCGGGCTTGGCGAGGGCCACATCACGTTGCATGTGTCAGGGTGAAGATTTATAGCGCTTAGTTATGACCTTGGCGTTTGATCGGTTACTAACCTCCATGTACTACACCAATACGGTGTGATTCTGCCATGCCGCAAATAATCTGTCGAATGCAAGTCTGTCTTTTCTCTAAGCTAAGGCAGATTAGGGGTTTAAACTTTTTTAACTTTTAAGAATGCCGCTCCAGGCACGATCCTATAGTTCGGTATTCGATTACATCAAAGGAGATATCCTAGAACTCAGGCTTATCGCCGAGATAGTAACCAATTTTCACGTAATCTGTCATCAAAACTATCTACGGGCTGAAGTAGTTTGTCTGCAAGCATCGCCACATATCTAGTTCCGCAATATCGCCACGAGGCAGAAGCTTACTCGTTGAAATCTCACTATTGTCCTGTCAGCAACCCATAAGATCCAATAATCAGGCTCCTCTTACTTTGTGTGAGCATCGCGAGTAAGCCAGCTCCAGTTACCAAGCCTCTATAGAATTTTATAGCCATAAAAACATTATTTCCATACATAACCCGATAAATATATTTATCCCACCGCTTAAGTAAATATTTATCTCGCCAAAACGGACCGCTATGCGTGAACTATTTGTACGACGCATAGAGTCCTCGATTCAATGGAGCCTGCATAGTCGCCAAGGTGGTATTATAACAACCTATTCAAAATGAATTGACAGGGGGAAAACTCGTTGAGCGTGTACGCTTCATGCGTCGCGCCGTTGAGCCGGAGTTGGGTTTCGCCGATACTGAGGAGGCCGACTCTACGCGGCGTAGGCTGCATATTTACCACACAGTTACAGGTAACGTAAACAAAATAATTATACCTTATTACACGGAGGTCACGTTATAATGAATGCACGGGCCGGCCCTCGAACCTGGCAATCGCTACACGAGGGCTCGTGACCTGGTTCAGGCCTTGAGAAGACCGAGAACCTTTAATGCTAAAGCGAATTATCAGTTAAATACGATTTGTTCCAAGCCCTCATGACGAAGCCTTTGTCACAGTAGTAGCATACCAGATAGGGTTGGTACAACGACGAGCCGACTGGTGATCTTGACTCACATTACCAGTAACCATGTCCTCTAGACGAATAGGCCAAGTATTAAAGAGTGGACTCTAGTGAGATTCGGTCAGTAGGCTCTAGGTTTCTACCCATAAGATTGCACCCTAACGCCAAACTGATCGGTGCCAGATGAGCAGGATATTTGGGTTTTCCGATCACTGTGCTTCTCATAACAACCATGTCACACAAGATGATTCTGAGCCGTTTTGTTGATCCTTCCATTGCCAATCTCCAAGAAATAATCCCTCCCTTTGTTTCTTGACTTCGACAATCTCGGCAAATGGTGTTCATTGACGCCCAGTGCACATGGTGCACACTACCCCATGCAATTTTGTACATGGGGAAATTGTGGCGTACTCAGATTCTTTGTGAGAGCATATTCGCCGCCCCCATCTCCCTCTATGATCGATTGACTAATCTCGGAAGTGAATACGAACCGCTCAAGACTCGATAGGTTTTGGCATTATGAAGCAGGGTGCAGATATTTGTGACTGAGCGGCGGGCTCTGGCTGTGCAGCATTCTCGTTGCTGGACATTGCAATGGGGGCTCTGCTGAGGGAGGTCTGCCCGGCTCTGCCATGTTACGATGTCCCCTTGTTTCCTGTGCCATGTGCCATTCTCACTTTTTGACACTATCCCTTGGTGTTATTGATTAACCGAACTCAAGAAAACCTCAACCCTCGAAAGAGGCTTTCAATCACCGACATTTGAACGGTTTCTATTTGCAGGGGTTTTTGCGTTTGTCCAAAATCTTTGAGCTCTCCTTCCCGATCAACAGTAACAATTCCTTGTGAAGAATTTTGATTTGGAGGACAAGTGCTAGACTAGATTGTGGCGTTGCGATCCATTCCTGTACGAACAGTCTTTCTCCGCGCACGTCGTTCTATTGGTTCCACAACATGTCACGATTAACGACGGTCAGCAAGATGGCTTTACGTCCGACTGGTCACGATAACGGAGGCGTGAAGCTGAAAAGGCAGGTTGTGCCTCCACCTGGCTGCGACGGTCACTTTTATTCAAAGCACTTGAGGCCATTCTGGATCCATGCGTCTCCATCGGCCCATCGGGTCAATACATATCAATTGATGTATCGGTGCGGTTCCTCGGTGCGGCTGGACGCCAAGACGCCAACATGGGCTTGCATCACACATGCACTGCTGCCTAACAAACGTCACGGATGGTTATGCAAGGTCATGGAGTTATTTATATTGTACTAGTAGTCGTATGCTCATTCCATGACCAGCTTCCTTCATATGTCCTTTCGTCCTGCATTTGCTTGTCCAGTCCAAATCTGCCGGTGGTCAGCTGAAGCTCGACTTCGTGTACGCCTTGCATTGACCGACCAAAGCCGCCCCCCGAAAAAGGCATCAAGTTGTTCAGGCACCTGGACAGGTTGAGGCGTTCCAGTATTGCCCGCAGCACACCTTATTGCACCACCCCCAACAGTTTTTTATGGCACAGGTCGGCGTGTCGCAAATCTTCATGCAGCCTGCCCAGTCGGTGTATCGCTTGTCGAGTTCCTCGATGGGGCTGGCGAGCGCGAGCCCGGTAAAGGCAGCCACGGCAACAAGTGTAAACTTCATGTTTACTGTGAGAGGATGTGAAAAGTGGTGGTAAAAGATGCTGAGTAGACTAGACTTGATGGATGAAGCTGGATTGTTTGTTTGGAGAGGCAGGCAGAGCGGTATTTATGCTTCCTGCGAGATACGTGTAGCCATGCTCTTCTCCCTTATTTGGGCTTTGAGTCTTGTGATCAAGCCACTGCAGAAACGCAACGGAGTGAATTATAGGTCTCTATGGTATACTATTTTGAATGCAACCCAACTCTTTCTTACGTGCAGATATATATTGGATAGCTGAGCCCATTCCAGTTGCACACAGAACTCGCCACCAATCAGCAGCCTCTCGCCTCTGGAAACACGCCACTCTCGCCTTGTCAAGGACGAATCGAGACCGAAAGTTGACCGTTTCCATTATGGCGAGAATGCATACCACCCAACTGTTGCTCGCTTACCTGACCTGACTGGAGAACTGCTCTTGCCCACTCAAGTCATCCCATATCCCATGACTAACCTTGACCCTAACCTTAACTCCCAACGCCGACATAACCTGGCCCCAGCCAGTTGCTTCAAAAATCATGTATCCGCTATAACTCTACTGTAACTCTACTATAATTCCACATGTCCACGACAACTCCGCTGACTAGACCTAATATCTTTGTGGCAATGGTCATCAGGACAGGTCAACTGGTAGGCGAGCAACGGTCGGGTCATCTACACTCCATGTCTCCATGCCAAGTCGTTTTTATTGCCGGCTATTACTCCGAACTCTCCCCACTCTCCCCTGTAGACATTTCCATTCACCCCACCAGATCACTCGGTACGGATACAACCTGGCTGGTGGAGGAAAAGTTGATAGGCCACCACGCGGTTTTCGTTGGATTCTATCGTTGGTACATTCGGAGGCTTGGAAGAACTTTGGACATGTCATATTCCATTGCAATCAGGGTCCCGATGGCAAGTCTACGCATTCCCCCCTGAGAGCACTCCAAGAAAGAGTCAATACCGTTCAAAGGTTGTCTCTGGGTGGCCGGGAGGCGCCCATTGACCCCGGTCACGACTCACGACAAGCGCTCAGCCCCTCTGGACGTTTGGGCCACAATGCATGGCCAAGTGGGCGGGTGACTTTTAGCCTCATTAGAATTATACCGTATTTATGCCACATTTTCCTGGGTGCTGGCGGCAACACGTGAGTGTTAGGCCATGCCAAGACACCCAGAAGAAATACGTACCGCCGGTATGGTATCGTGGGGGGTTAGGGTTGGAGATGACAACATTGAACTCGAACCCCAACTCCTTCGTCCTACTGGACACGCAGAGCTGACAGCGGGTGGCTTGCTCTGCGGCTGCACGGCTCCAAGGTGCTATCCCATGTTCCGAGTGCCGAGTGTCTGGCCCTTGGTCGTGTGATTGATCAAAGATCCAACGCACTGGCCCGACGTGGGCTTGATTCAAAGTCCTCACTTATACAGCCCCCAAACGTTGAGCCCTTGGCACCAACTGCCGTGACTATGGAGGGACTTGATCCGTGCCATTGAGGTGTGTCTGGCCATGGCAGTTTCCCGGCCGAATTCTGCGACTCATGGCTGCGGGTGAGAGAAGGACATTTTCCAACAAGGGATTACGAGGGCCGACTCAAAGACATTATACGGAGATATGGATGGGATGACAAGATTTGTGGCTTTGAAATGTCGCAAATCCTCCACCGAGGCCTCTTCACGCATCAGTCGGATAGCCGTATGTTTCTCTTTTCTTTTGCGCCAGTCCCCATCTGCCCAACAGCCGATCGACACCACAAGTTCCGATTGTGTGCGTTGCCGGCAGCCACGAAAATGCCCTGGCCATCGACGCAATAACAATGGCAAGACGGTGCCACAACTCCCCGCAATGGCTGCGAGCATGAAATGACGGGCCGGCAAAAGACTGCGCGCCCCTTGGCGTCCGACGTGATCAATCAATCTGTATATGTACTCCGTACACAAGTGGCCATGAGCCTGTAGCACCCATCTTCTGACACGGCTCTTCAACAACAAACATCCCGTTTAGGATAAAAATACGCATGGAAGATCAGTTCCAAATGGTCAAGACATGGAGGGGCTACATTCTGGTATCTAGCTGCCTCCTGCCTTCGTCCAGTGCCGAGAGAGCGAGGATATATCCCGACTACTTGGACAACAACCACGCGCACACGGCCCGCGATGCAACACCAGTCGCACAGAATCAAGTCGCACAAGAGGGCAACCCGCAGCTGCCGACGCCGAATCCATATCACCGCTACATTACACAAGTACCTTCTGCCAGAGACTTGCGATACGAAAAGAGCCTTCTCGGCACACCTGGCGAATGTCGTTTCGCTGCGACAAGGTATTTCAAAGGAAAACAATTTACATGTACATCAAGACTGACGCTTCTTGTAGTGAGCGCTTCGTGGAACCTGACAGGATGAGCCAGTCTATACCGACGAGACATGACGAGGCTGTCCACTCGCCAGACTCACTCCAACAGGCGGTGCCGTCATGGAAACGAAGCAGTCGAGATTGGGAGCACGGCAGCCGAACTAGTTCGGGGGAGTCGACGTCGAGCGCCAGCCCTGCGCCCTTTCCCAAGACCACCCAGCCTGCCCCGGCTACTCCTTTGAGCAGGAGAGACTGTTGCACAAGGCAGAACCGGTCGGGGCCGGTCCCGGCGCCTCCTTCGGCATCCATCTCGAGTCTTTCTGGGACCCCGCGCCTTGAAGTCCGACCTAAGCAAAGGCTGTCTAATGGCAGTATAGAGGATGCAGGGTGCTCTTGAGTCGTAGCCAGGTCAGACAGCATGCTTGATGCGCGATGAAGGATTTTATGAGAAAACGAGCTTGGTATTGTGGAAACGGGGTCCGGGGCAGGGGTTTCTTTTAGCTTGCTGTGCCAAGTGTCTACAACAAACAGCCTTGAGACGGATGCAGAATAGGTGATGTAGCCCATGAATACGTGAAGTCAGGCAGGAAAGTGGCCCAATCTACGAAATTAGTCCAACGGCTATGCGCAAGACAGTTAACGATTTATGCAACGAGATATAGTACCTTATGGTCAACATTTCAGTGGAATATATACGGAAATTGGGAATTTATTCCGTTTAATTCCGGACCTGGAATAAGTGTCAATCAGGTCCAACTTGCATCTATTAATCTACGAGTCTGACCGGTGTGGCAGTATTTCACATACATATGAGATTCGACCCATGTTGTAGCAACATGGTAATGCTACCATATTCATGGGCCGAGCATAAATCAGATTACTGTGTTGGTAAAGAGAACCTTCGCAACGTTCTTTCCCCTTTTCTGTTGCTCAGCCCAAGCTCTGACGAATCAAGGACGAACGATGCGAGAGAGTGTCGATAACAGGCCTTGATATGAAGTGTAGGAGGTTGCAGTCACGCTCGTTTCTTATTCCTAATGTCCAAGGTCGAATATCCGTTCCCTCTGCAACTCCCAATTTGCTGACAACATCAAAGTGCTCCATGTAGCCAAAACAAAATATCCGTATACGAGCTCGACTTTAATATCTGTAAGGACGGCATATACATCTTAAATCCATCATTCATCGCCAGTTATTTCGCCCCTCGTCCACTGCCATTCAGCTCCCCTACATCGTGTCTCCATTGCTCCCGTATCTCCTCCAACAAGCCAGGCGTTGCACACACGTCAGTCGCCGTCCCAGCCATAGCCTTGGCAACCCTCATGGCCCTCGCAAACGCCCCCCTAGTCCCAGACGCCTTCTCAAAGTCCGGAGTGTGCGGCGGTCCCGCCCTGGCACCAGGAGGAATAGCAAAGCTGACATTCATGCTCGGCAGAGCATAACTCAAATTTCCCTGGTCCGTACTCGCCTTGACCCACGTAAACTGCCCTCGCGGCGGCAGCGGCGGATCGGGCATATCGGGCATGGCCTCCCAGTACTTTCTGTACGACGCCGCAAGCACGCGGTTGGGAAAGTGGTCCTTGTAGCCTGGCACAACCTCCATCTCGACCCTCGCCCCCGTAGCTTCAGCCCCGGCGCGGAAACAGGCCTCGACTTTCCTCTGCAGCTCCTGCAGCCGGGATGCGCTGGCGGCACGGAGCACAGCAACGCCAGCGGCGTGCTCGTGGATGACGTTGGGCTTGTTCCCGCCGTTTGTGATTTGCAGACCTATCACGTCGTCGGGCCTCGTCTGCTGACGCAGGACCGATATAGCATTATAGGCGACTATGAGGGCGTCAAGCGCGTTGATGCCCAGCCACGGGCTGTTGGCGGCATGGGATGCGCGGCCGTAGTAGGCCACGTTGAGGTGTGTGAAGGCGGTTGTTCGGACCATGGGGCTGTTGTTCAGGATTCCGGGGTGCGAGATGAGTGAGACGTCGACGTCTGCGTAGGCGCCTGCCTCAAGGCATTTGATCTTGCCGCCGGCGCCGCCTTCTTCGGCCGGCGTGCCGATAATGATGACCTTGCCGGGGAGGTGGTGACGGCGCAGCATGCTGGCCGTGGCGAGACCGGCGGCTAGGGACACCATGGCGATGAGATTGTGCCCGCATGCGTGGCCCAGGTTTGGAAGCGCGTCTACGAGGAGGAATCAGTATCTGCGGGTGGCCTGCTTGAGATGGATAAAGTGTCATACCCATCTCTGCGTTGAACGAGACAACTGGGCCGGGCCGGCCGCTATCATAAGCGGCCACCCATGCCGTTTCCAACCCATATGCTGAGCGAGTGACGCGCCAGCCTTCTTGGGACTGCATGAAACTGGCCAATGCATCATGAGCCTTGTACTCCTTGTAGGCGAGCTCAGGGTTGTCGTGTAGGAAGCTGTTTAGGGACCACAGAGAAGGCTCCAAGCCACGGATGAAGTGGTCGATATCGGGTAGGTACTCGCATGTGGTTTCGGACCACCCTACCTCGTCGCCGGGTCTGGGTACAAGGACGAATCCGTCTTCCATGGCTATGATTTACCCGAGGCTTGGATTTGAAGCTGGCTACTTTACCTCATGACAATGCTGCCGTTGGAACTTGAGAGGCCAAAAGGGTGCGGAAACGTGATTGCTCAATCCCGAGCTGAGTCAGCAGGACTCTCCCAGGCCCAGAGTCGTACCTTCCAGATGTCAACTCATCGGCAGGAAAGAGTGATTTTTCTCTCCCCTGTTCACTATCCCGAGGTGCTTTTTGCTTCCAAACAGAAACTCGTGTCGACCTGAGGATTGGTAGCCCGTCTGATGCACAGCGAGAGAGCACGGAACAATGTCCAACAAGCACAATGTGGCGACTACGTTAAACTACTGGGACGACCCTGGTGATGGCTCCAAGCCGACGCCCATCTTCATCGGCAAGGGCAGAATCAGCAACAAACGGCCGCACAAGGCATGGGACTTTGTGGTGACGGACATCAGCGGCGACGAGGACCAGTACACGCTCGACGGCCACGGATTCCAGTATTGCCGGCACCAGAGCCGCGAGGAGGCCTTCACCGACGAGCAGCAGATCCGAAGCAGCTACTACGCAGAGTGCGAGCAGCTCGTCAAAGCCACGACGGGGGCGCGGCTTGTCCACATCTTCAACCACAAGGTGCGGCGCGGCCCAACGCAGTGGCACCACCTGGGCCTGCACAACCTGGCCAACCGCGGGCCCGTCACCAGAACGCACGTCGACCAGTCGTACCATGGCGCCGAGCGGCGGTTGCGCTGGGAGTTCCCCGCCGAGGCCGACGAGATGCTCACGCGGCGCTACCAGATCATCAACGTCTGGAGGCCCATCCAGCCCATCCTCAAGGACCCCATTGCCGTCGCCGACGCCGCCTCCGTGCCCGACGCCGATCTTGTCGGGGCCGAGATGACCGAGGACGACTTTGTCGGCGAGTCGTGGGTCGTCCGCCACAACCCAGGCCACCGCTGGTTTTACAAGCACGGCATGACGCCCGAGGACGTGCTGCTCATCAAGTGCTTCGACTCAGACACGGCCGTGGCCCGCCGGGCGCTGCACTCGGCGTTTGAGGACGCGGCGTACCGGGCCTGCGAGTCTCGGCAGAGCATCGAGGTCAGATGCCTGGTTTGCTACTGACATTGGCGACCTACCTAGGTAGGCAGCCAAGGGTGCCGGTCGATAGTAGTGTGAGGGGGAATGCTACGCTCACATGCGTGCTTCGTATTCACTTTCTGTGTTCATGCGCCGTGCGGGTCTGCGGAAGCGGGGTTGAAATGGCGATATCTTGCGCATTCGGAACGTGGTACGCAATGCACGAGTACGCCGCGGGTATCGACCGAGGAACGGGGTAGTAGTACCATCACTTCCAAGTTCTGGAGAGCCAAGACGATTGGCGACTGCCTCCCCGGGTACCTACCTCTAAGTAGGTATATATAATGCTGACGTCCTCTTGACCGGCCCTCCCGTCCATGTCCCAGTCCATCCACTCCCACCCGCCCGTCGACGTGATTATCCCGTCAAGTGCCTCGGATTATAAAAATCAGCATCATGGCTCCCGCCCTTGACCCCCCGCAGACCATTGACTGGATGGGCAAAAAGGTGCCCGTGTGGTCCATGCAGACCATCAACTACGGGCTCCTGCTCTCCCAGGACCCCAGCGAGATCGACAAGGTGGTCAACGCCTGCTTGGAGGAAGGATACTTTTACCTCGACCTCCAGGGCATCGACGGCCGCCGAATGCTCGCCGACCACCAGGAGACGCTCAAGCTGATGAAGCGCTTCTTCGCCGCGCCCCTCGAGGCCAAGAACGAGTTTGGCCTCATCTCCTCGCATCTGGGGTGTGTTGTTTCCCTCTGCTTCCCTCTGCCCTGCCGCGGGATAGACTGGGACAATCAATGACGCATGATTCTGACCAATCCCCCCCCCAACGCAGCTACGAGCCCGTGGGCAGCCGCACCGGCGTCGGAGCCGGCACCAAGGACGGCTATGAGATGCTCAAGGTGTCGCGGGACGAGATCCAGCGCGACAGCCCCAAGATCCCGGCGCCCGTCAAGAACAGCGGCGACCTGCAGATCCTCGAAAACGCCATTGGCAGCTGCAACACCGTCACCAAGGTGATCCTGTCGGCGCTGTCGACCGGCCTGCACCTCACCGGTGCCGGGCGCTTCGAGAACTCGCACCGCAACGAGCGGCCGTCGACCACAACTGTGCGTATGCTCTCTTCTGCTTGTCATGTGTACATGTATGGCCGTTGAATAAACACCCCCCGCTTACGCCGTCGCCGTGCCTAGCTGTCCATGATGCACTACCTCCCCTCCGACCTCGCCGGCGAGAACCGCATCGGGCACCAGAAGCACACCGACATCAGCACCCTCACCCTCCTCTTCAGCGAGCAGTGGGGTCTGCAGATTCGCCCTCCTGGTGCCTGCGGCGCGCGAGAGATGGGCTTCGTGGCGCCCAAGCCCGGCTGCGCCTTTGTCCACGTCGGCGACTCGCTGCGCTTTGCGAGCGGCATGAAGTTCCAGAGCTGCATCCACCGCGTCGTGCCGTTCGATCCCAGCGAGCACCGATACTCGATTGCCTATTTCCTGCGCGCCGAGGACGATACCATGTTTGTCGACTCGGAGGGCCGCGCCATCACCGCGGGGCAGTGGCACGACGAGAAGTTCAAGGCCTTTACCGACCCGGAGCTGTGGCAGGCCATGGCGCCCAAGTCGATGATTTTGGGGGGCATGAAGGAGGACGGGGAGGATGAGCCCGTTGCTGCGAGGGTGGCCGACGCGAGAGCCCAGGCTGCCGTGTCGGCTAAAGCTTAAGTTGAGCATGGTTCTATGTGTGCGTGACTGATGCTGGACCGCGACTTGTGATGAAAGACGTAGTTAATAAGAGCACAAAGACACTCTTTTATGAGAAAGCAACTCTGCCACATGATAGGACAGAAAACGGGCCAATTATTCCCTACTTCTATTGCCGAATCACTAATCACCCACCTCGAGGTCAGCTCAATCCAACACACCTGACCATTCAGCTCGTAGGGCGCGCATGACGTGGCGCTGACATATCCGGATGTTGGATGAATTAATAAGAATTAAGGGTAACCGCTCATCCCGCAACAAGCCACGTTTTTGACAGCCACCACTCCTTCAGCTATGCGGCAAAACTCAACCACCACTAACCGCTGGTGTGTGAATTGACTCACTCGGCTAGATGAGTGATCTGATCACTCATCGCTCCCGAGTGCTCTAGATTCGAGACAAATTGCCTCTCCGCGGCTGCCGCTTCCAATGCGGAATGTTATTGCCTCACAGCGCCGCCAGCTATATAAACAAAGCAACGTATCCGGCTCCCAGAACTTTCCAACACAATGTGAACCAGACCCAAGTAGTTTCTATCCCAGCCGTCTCCAAAAGAGCCATATCCGCCGACCAAAATGGCACCACTCGTCTTCGTCATTGGCGGCACTGGCGCCCAAGGCATCCCCGTCATCCAAGGGCTCGTCCAGGACGGCGCATACGCAGTCCGCTTCTTGACCCGCGACGCCAACTCCCCACGATCCAAGCATCTCCTCACCCTAGGAAACGTATCAGCCCTCGAGGGCACATTCACCGACGAAGACGCGCTGCGCAGGGGGTTCCGCGGCGCGCGCTACGCCTTCGTCAACATTGACGGCTTCAACGCCGGCGAAAAGACGGAAATGTTCTGGTCCATGCGCGCCTACGAGCTAGCGCTCGAGGAGGGCGTCGAGTTCTTCGTCTACGCCAACCTCGACTACGTCTACAAGAAGAGCGGGTTCGACGCCAGCTTCCGGACGGGCCACTACGACGCCAAGGGCCGCGTGGCCGAATGGATCCTCCTGCAGAACAGGGACCGGGCCGTTTCGGAGAGGATGCGGGCGGCCGTCTTCACCACGGGCCCGTACATGGCTATGGTGCTTGCCGCCGGGACGCCCATGGCGCCGAGGGTCGAGGACGGCGTGGTCACCTGGCGGGTGCCGCTGGGGGAGGGCGCCGTGGCGCACGTCGATCTTGACGATTGCGGGTACTATGTCCGCTGGCTGTTGGATCATCAGGAGAGGGCGGACGGGATGGATCTCCAGGTTGCTATTGACTTGGTGGACTATGGGGATTTGGCGCGGGCGTTTGAGAGGGTCACGGGGCGGAAGGCGAGATATGTAGATACTAGCTTGGATGAGTATTGGACGAGCGGGCCGATGGGCACGGGGGGAAGGCCGGCTGGGTATAATGCCGACCCGGGGGATCCGGCGACAATGAGCCTGCGCGCAAACTTTACTGGGTTCTGGAATATGTGGAAGTACTCTGGTAGGAATAGGGGCGTTGTGCGGCGCGACTTTGGGCTGCTTGATGAGATTCATCCGGGGAGAGTGAGGACGGCGGAGGAGTGGTTCCGGCGGGAGGAGGAGAAGAGTAAGAGGTTGGGGACGCCGTCGCTGTGGGAGCGGGCGAATAATCTCAGGCCGGTGTTGAAGGGTCTGGAGGACGGGCGGAAAGGTCGTCTGTAGATGTGCCGGGGACTGGACTGGGACAAGTTGAGATGATCTGCGGGTTTGCTCAGAGTTTGGGGAGCAGGGCGGAATGGGCTGCAGCATCTGTTATGGAGGAAAGTGATGTCTCTACTTTCTCTGTTTATGAGCTATTTAGATGAGGGTGTAATAATGATGTTCGTGTGTACATTTGAAACGGAGGTATAAAAGCAGAGTACTGGTAACTGTAGTAAACCTTTGCAATTAAAACCCATATTCCCGGTTGCCAAAATTACATGCCTTCGCACTATTGACAATCTAGAAGAGGGCCTCTGCACAAAGCTGGGTAGGCGCAGTATCCTACGACCCGTAGAACTATGTAATACAAGCACTGGGGAGTTATATTTTTAAAAGCTTGGAGGCGTCGGTATTGATAGACTGGAGGCCGTGATATTGGTTCCCTGTATTAATGTCTGTCCATGGCAGTCCTGTCAACACCCTCGTAGCCTCTTGATCCCCTGGCGGCCAAGTGACGCAGGAAGTTTGGATTCGCTTGATAAAGTCAAGTGTTTGTTTGTATCGGGTTCTGTCAAATATAGGCCGACTACCGTGTGTAGCCTTAATATGATTACTATAGTTATGAAATAAATAATATAGCTGGGTCTGGTGTTTTTAGACCTCGGTGTGGTAGGGTGCATCGACATTAATTTTCTCCTAAATAGGGCAAGTTGTTACTTTTTATACTGCCGCGATGTGGTACTGTAAAACTCCTTGCTATAGCTTCTCTGAATCGGCGAAGCTTACTATATATAACACCAAGTCTCTAGCTAGTAATCTCCGATATCAGGTGTAAAAGCCTTATTATAAAATTGCTTCTCCTTCCTCCAGCCCCAAATACCTAAACCGCGGCGGTTATCTGCACTATTATGCACTGGCTTTAATAACAACTTTATCTCGGAACCCCGTAATTATAACAGTTCAAGGACATAATAACTGCTCCTGCACTAAAAAATAGCAGGAATTTTAAGTACTTAGCTTTTCGTATTAATATAATTTTTATAATCTGCGAAAGCCGCTAGAAATTAGCTACTAAATTAGACACTTACTATAAAACTTAACTTTATAAATATTCGTAGACACCTATCTATTACCAACTATACTTACTTATCTTATAAAGTAGATTTATAATTATAAGTTTATTCTAAACAAGCGCTACAGCCAGAATATTAATTTAGATCTTATAGAAGTTAGTAATAACAAGTACTAGATATATATAGCATATAACAGAGATAAGCCTTATAAAAACTATAACAGGCTGTCGGCCCATGCAGACTGCATAGTTATTGCAGTTGATAGTGCTTGTTGAGATATGATATCGTACTTTCAATCGTTGAACGCAATAGCGACGCCAGCCGGTATTGTCTTTTGGGTCTGCTTGTTAAGCAGACACTACTCTCACATTTCTATACCAAAGGACTCAGCCTAATTCTCGAATAATGTGAAGGACATGGCGAGGATATAGTCAATTACGTGGACACCGAATTGAGAATTGGACAGGCCTTTTATGGCTCGCTTAACTACGGATGTCTTTCTTTGAAGGTGTAAACCTATCGGCCCTAACAACCAATCCTGCATAGCCAGCCATTCGCTCCAACTGGCTTCCGCGGACTGCATTTCCTGTTCTGTTATATATTATTGTGGTACTAAAAAAGGGACTGTTTGTTCTTCGCAGAATACCGTAGTGAGATTTGACACATAGGCAAGTCTCACTCTTTGCTGCTAGGAGGAAGTTCTAACGCTCTGCTTATATAATATGACTAACGCCTGATTTCCACTGTTCGCCGAAGAAGCAACTTATAATATATAGATAAGCCAGCCTTGTGACTACCAGACAATAAATATATGGAGTAGGTGAAACAAAAATAGAGGCAATAGATATTTCACATGCTCGGAAGCTAAATATATAGTTAATAGCCTGGGCTTAAACTGATAGTCTTGGGATGGTAGGCGAATATTAGTAAAAGCCGCGATCATTTAAACCTGGTTATTATGTTGGGTATGTTATATAAAGTATTTAACATAAGCTGTATATGCCGAGTAATAATTACGGAAGCAGGATAAGTGCTCTTATGTAGTCTGGACATGTTAACGAATCGAACTAGCCACTTCTATTAAGGGCCGTACCTGTTGCACTATGCTTGACGGCTATATGCCAAGCATGATGAACGAGAATGCATTCCATTCTGCTCTGGACTTTTCTCTTTTTTCTAAGCGTTCTCTCGTTAAATACGTTTTCTTTTGTTCAACTAATTTGCACCTTCCGATTGATTGAGGAATCCTTCTTTTTTTCTAGCCTATAAACTGCGACTGCAAGTGTATTCTGGAACGGGCGGCCGGTATCCGCTCGATATGAACGGCCGTTAGGTGGGGTATATTAAAAAGTCTGACACTTTTTGGCCTGGTATTCACAAGGTCGGGATGTGCGTTTAGCCATGTTTTACATGACAGAGAGCATGCCGTTTATCTGCAGTATGTTGGCGATTATTCGGTACTTCGTTTACACCTCATGACCCTCCATCATACTGGGCCATAAAGAGACCTTCATTTTACACGACTGGTCATCCATATCTACCGCTGGCTCGCAGCCACCATGGTTGTAGAATTCTGCAGTCAAATAGTAAAAGAGGCGCAGTAGAACTCGCCCAGGGTAAAAAGGTAGCCGCTTAAGGATCCTTCTGCTTCTTATTGCAAGTTGTGACTTGAAAATCCCTGGCAGATAAGTCACTAAGTTTAATGTGATATAATAGAGATATGTATAAGCAATTAGAGCCGGCTCAGGTAGATAGATATAGATGTTTAGTTATAAAACTGCAAGATAGAGGCATCCAGGTGCCAGGATAAAGTCGGCGCCCGGACGTCGCGAACCGTTTAAGTAAACCTTAAGTAAGCCCAGCCACATCCGGGGCGACTAATACGTGGGCACCTGGCTTCGGCGTACTACTTTGATTGGTGCCAAGCAAGTGGGACAAGGAAAAGGGTCGGCATTATCAACTCCGACGGAAGCCAAGAGTCACACTTTTATCAAACTTTAATTCCTCCGCCGGAGTTCTGTTTGCACGGCTCAGAACGTTAGTAGTAACCCGGTCAGCGGATCGGAAAGCCCGGCTCCCGGAATAAGCTTTGCGAAGTTTGTACAGAGTTATGTATAGCATTGATCCCTATTACTTGTGTGCCACGCCCCACTTCTTCGGGCATCAGCAATTTTTGCATTTCGAGGGGTGCGGGGTAAGTGCTATAGTTAGCGTGATATTTCTGTCCAGTTATTAAGAGTTATTATTAACTACGCTTTCCCCCGAGATATTTAATACTTTTGGAATACTGATTTCGCTCAACCGTTTAGTTATATTATAATGGCTTCCCGAAGTGGACAGTGCAACTGCGGATCGGTTGCCGTCTCATTGAAGGCAAATCCTTCTGAGACTATTGTTTGTCACTGGCAAGTCCCCCAGACCATTCAAGCTGTCCACTGCAGTTGCTAACAATTACTCTCAGCCTAAACTGCCGTCGTGCTGGTGGTCGTATGTGACATGCACTGTACATAGCATCTGAAATATTACTAATAACTAATATAAAACTCAGCTTATTCAATCAACTACGTCTTGGACGACAGCGAGGTTATAATTGACGACCTTAAACATTCACTCAAGGAGTATAAGGACCTCAATACCAAGTCTGGGAACTTGGTAAGAGTATGTCCCTAGATACCATTGAGCGTTGAATGGACAAGTTTGCTGATAGGTCTCGGTATTGACAGCGGAACTTTTGTCAAGCGTGTGGAAGGTACGAGTCGCGTGTCTCTCATATTCCCCTGAACCAACCTGACAGTTACAGTATTGCTAACGTAAAAATGGCACTCTCAGCCCGGTATACACAAAGAGCATAACTATGCCAGGTAAATTGCTGGTAAAGGCATCGCTATTTGATGAGGTAGTTGTCGCGAGGGCGGATGTATTCACAGAACGGAAAATACACTGGGCTTAAGTGCTGTCCAGTAAGGGTCAGCAAGGGTTCGTAAGGGTTCTTACGGTGAAGCGCCGGATCCGGGCATCTGCCGGATTTCCACATGTAGGACTCTGGGCGTCAGTCTGGAGATACTCAACAATAACCAGTTTAAATCTCTCAAAAAACCCTTATATTTAATGAAAGTACTGATGTTAAATGCATTTCAGTCTATGTTATAATCTTCAAGCTATCGTGGCCACCCCGAGTCCCGATATAACACTACTATCTCTTGAGCCTTTTACAACAAGTAAAGGTCTTTTTGAACCAGTTATACCTACTAGAGTTATATTCAGCAGATTCTCCGACTTTGCCTTGAATTAAATTGGCAATTCTAAAGGTGCTGGTATCTCCGCGTTTGATAGAACAGCGATAATTATTTTGTCCTAAGATTTTATGTTCTTCTGTAGTATTACTCCATCTATAGAATTGCCCGAAGACTTTTATCCGGGTCCGCGGTAATCGAAGAAATCGCAGCGATCAGACATTTCGCTACACCCACTGCTGCATTCTGCGATGCCTTGTCCTGCCAGAACTCTAGGGTCACCGAAATCGTATCCGTGGAATCTTCTACACGGACATAAATGTCCCATTCCACAGGATCGAGCCAATCACACATGAAAATGGAGTGGCCATCGTCCGTTAGAGGCAAGTCGGGTGCCGCTCGTTGAAAGGATATAGCAGTGTTAAAAGGCTTGCTGCTACGCTGCCGTACGTTCGTGCCGGACGGAGTTTGATTCCATAGGCTATGGATAAATTCGGCGTTTAGTTTCCTCAGTATCTGCAGGACACTTTTCTGCTCCTTGTCGAGGTCAACTCGACACGGAACGAGGTCCATGAGTGGTCCGAACATATTGGATGCTTCTGCCACTGGTGCATCCCGTCTTGAGACAAGGTTGCCAAAACAAGGTGATGTCAGCCCTGTATATTTATATAGCACAATTGCCCAAGCTGTCTTGATGAGAGTAGCAGCGGTAATTTCCCATTCCGCGCAAAAGGTGCGTATCTTGAAGGTGTCCATGTCGGGGACATCAACGCGGAATGTGCTACTGTGTTTCCTGTCCTGGCTGTCTCCCAACACTGGAATAAAGCACGGCACAAAGTCGTCGCTGCCTTCATCATGCAATTTCGACTCAGTTGACCAAGGTCGCTGTTTGAATATGTACTTGACGTATTCTCCAAACAATGGACCGTTGGGTTCCAGTGTGCGGTTATATGCGGACCGGAAGTCTCTAAGCAAGAGGTCAATGGAATAGCCGTCACAGATGGCGTGATTAATCTCCAGTTGAAGCTGCGCCACATTCCCATTGCACTGGTAGACGGAAAGGTGATGTTGAGGGACATGCTTCTGGTATCCCACGACTCGGGGTCGGGCTTGCAAGGGCACATTTTCCGCGGCCTCTACATGAGATATTTTCGGCACATAATCCTTCAATACAATATGCATAGGCTCATTGGTCCCAGGGATGTCGTCCACTAGCAGCGTGCGAAGGAGGGAATGTCGCCGTACAACTGCAACCCATGCCTGCTCAATCCTCAACAAGTCAACTGCTTTGTCTTGGCAGCCGCGTATTGTAACGCCAAGCTCAATACGGTACTTTCGGGAGTCTTTCTTTTGTGCCTTCAGCATATCCTTCTGCAATGGTGTGCACGGGTACACATCGTCGATGTCTTCAACGCGTGTGATGCCCCATGAAGAATTGAGGCGACGCTGAAACTCGTTTATATCTTCGTAGGAAGTGAAGGCCATTGGGAAATTTGACAAAGTACACTGGAACGGCCGGTCCTTTAATGTTTTGGCAAGCTGTTTCAACGTCACCTGATATTGCTCTACCCAGGCTTCAATCCTGTCCCGATGACGAATATTATCGGGAAAGTCACAGCTCACGGTGAAGCGCCCTCGGTCCACGTGCGCCTCAATATCGAATAATGCAAGCTGGCGAAGGCCTGTGGAGAAAGTAGTGCTTGGATCATTGGGCATGGAAATATTCCGAAACAGGGCGTCGTCTCGCTCAAACTGCTGATACGAGCCTGCATAGTTGAACAGTACTTCAACAGGGAAATCCGAGATGTTAGCTGCTGCGGCTTTCTTATCCGCAAATTTAGATGTGAAGTAGGACCAGCCGTTCTTTGGAAACGACCTAATAAAATCCTTGGTGCGACAAGTAGCATCTAGAAGATTTTCATGACCCAAAGCAGGCACGTGCACTGGGAATATGGTTGTAAACCAACCAACCGTGTGCGAAAGGTCAACAAGGTCATCCCACGGCTCACGCCCATGTCCTTCGCTGAATATAGAGACTGATGACCGATCTGTGAATACAGTGCTGAAAGAATAGGCAAGAGCGGTTATCATAAGCTCGACTGGCCGTGTGCCGAACGCCTCATTGCAGCTACCCATTATGGCATCGGTTGACAGTTTGTCGAGAACGAATTGGCTTGTTGCCAGTGTGCTGTTGCGAGCCGGGATCACATCGAATCCCCAGTAGGACAATGGAGATGGCTGGATTGTGCTTTTCCCATGCCCTTCTCCGGGGCCAAGCTGGCTTGCTGCGTATTGTGCCTGCAAGGAACACCATGTCCGAAAACTTGTTATTACCTGCGTGTATATTGGACGCTTAGTTATCAGCATCTCGAGTTCTTGTAGCAGAATACGCCAAGAGACAAGATCTACGACCAAGTGGTGGATGGTTATGAAGAGAGACTGAGACTTTGTGTCCTGCAACAACACCGCAGCGACCAGAGGACCGTCTTCTATATTGAGCCTTTGGCGACACCGGCTAATTGGGCCGTCATTTGCTTTGCTAGCTGAAGATTCTGATGTGTGCTCCTGGCAAACGTGGAATGAGCCCAAGATATCGCTGCTGATGTGCTGTTGCCATGCCCCCTGGCTAGTCTGGCTGAAGCGCGCTCTTAACATTGGATGTCTGGATACAATGGCCTCAATGGAGCGTAACACCGACACAAGGGATACAGAAGCCCGCAGCTCAAGGAGAAAGCTTTGATCGAAAGGCTGGCACGTTGGGTTCTCGTGTACTTGCATATACAGCTGCTGAATTGGGCTCAACCGGAAAGGCTGGCCGTCATCTGTTTCGGCCGTGTTGGTAGGATTCACGGCCGGGTCGGGCTTGATTTCGCGAGCTGAGGGAGTTGCTGCTAGCAGGGCGATGGTCTTCTTCTGTAGAATTTCTGCGGTAGAAATGCTGACCCCAGAGAGTCGGACGGCTGCCGAAACTTGCATGGCCGTGATAGAATCACCCCCCAGGCGGAGGAAGCTGTCGTCGATGCCAATGGTTGCAGCATTGATGTTGAGGACGCCCGCCCAGATCCGTTGAAGCTCACGCTCCGCGCTGGTAGATGGCGGGCGTTTCTGGACATGAGAATCGCTACATGTACGCAGCTCGGCCAGCTGCTGGGCACTGAAGCTGGCCCCGAGCTGACGCAGACGCCGTCGGTCGGTTTTGCCCGAGTTGTTGAGAGGCAGGGCTTCAAGAGCGAAGTAGACGGTCGGGAGCATGTAGGCCGGCAAGCTCCGGGCCAGCTCATTTTCCACCTGGGCGGATATTGCAATAACTTGGGGCACCAGTGTTCCATTGCATGTTCCATTTGTTCCACTTGAGGCCGTGCTGGTCGGGGTTCTCCGTGAGTCGCCGTTCCGGCCCCGACTCGGAAACCGTGATGTGGCATCATCCATCGCTACAAACACAGCCAGTGTTGGAACGGCTCCTTGCCCTCCTGGTATGATGACCTCTGCAGCCGCCTGCTTCACACCTGGTATGCATGCTCTTACATGCTGCTCAACCTCTCCTAGTTCCACTCGCTGACCGCGGATCTTGACTTGGGCATCCCGGCGGCCAATACATGTCAGGGTTCCGTCTTCGTTGTATCGGACAAGATCACCCGTCTTATAGAGGCGACCGCGCCGTCCAGGCAGGCTGAAAGTTCCTAGAGTCAGCCATTTGGGATCTTCGATAAACACTGCTGCATTTCTCTCCGGGTCGTTTAGATAGCCGCGCCCGACAAGGGGACCTTCGAGTACTAGTTCACCAATGCAGCCGGCTGGCAACAGATGATCGTAATTATCTGGGTCCACAACCCAGGTCACAAGCCCGACTCCTCTACCCATGCAAGGAGCATCTTGGGGCCTCGCCGAGAGGAAATTCATTGTGCTGACGGGAGTGCATTCCGTCGGTCCATATATATTGACCACGTCAGCCTTCCCCCACCAGGGCGCGACGTCTGTGGCATGCAGCATTTCTCCAACAAACAGTATTGACTTGAGCTCGGGAACTTGTTCTGGAGACAGGGTTCGAGCAACAGATGGTGTAAGTGTGGCAACATTGGCCCTCAACGACGCCATACTGGCAGCCAGGTTATCCTTTCGATCTTCATCCCTTGGCACGCATAAGCAGCCCCCTGCCGCGAGAATCATCAGAGTATTGTGGATAGGAGCATCAAAACTATGTGATGCAAAGTCAAAAATCCTGGACCCTCTGTTAAACAAAAGGCCCGCTTGATGATGTATGGCTGATGAGAAACTTGTGTGTGGAATGACGACTCCTTTCGGATTGCCAGTACTGCCCGAGGTGAAGACGATATAGGCGACAGATTCAGGCTTGATGCTTGGAAGTGGACCAAAAGTCTTGCCTTTCATATTTAATAAAGATTCTGGGCCGACTACAATTACATCTGAACAGAGTCGTGAGGCAATTGACTGAGTGTCCGGAGACGATAAAATTAGGCGGGCGTCAACCTGCCGCACAAGATGCTGGAGATAGTCTTGCGGAACAGAGCAGTCTAGCATGACGAAAGCGCCACCAGCCTTCAGAACGGCAAGCATCGAAACAGTTGTCCACATGGACTTGTGGAAGCACAATGGGATGACCATGCCTGGCTCGACACCCGACGAGACAAGCTGGCCCGCCAATATTGTTGCGAGTCGACCCAGTTCACCATATGTCAGGCTGCCATTCCAAGCACACACGGCAGGGGAATGGGGTTGTAATTGTGCCTTTTGGTCAATTATGTCGTGGACGCATCGCTCCACAGACTCTGGAACGACCTTGTTCCACTCCCATATTTGGTTGAGATCCTGGGCCGTTGCCGTCTTCACTTCTGACAAAGTCATGTTCTGTGCATCATTCAGCTGGCGCATCACAAATTCGAGTCTTCTTAGCAGCCCTTTAAGCACCCATGGCTCAATCACTGTGGCGTCAAAGGCAGCAGACGCCATGATGGTGTCCGAACCCAGATGGACTTGCAGAGTAATGGCATATGTACCCATACCCGTCATTTGTTTGTCGTCCCAGTTCCATCTTCCAAACATGACATCGGTACTGTTTGCATCCTGCGGTTGGATAACAAGCAGAGTCTGGAACATGCAAGCTTTCCGGCACTCGGGTGATATCTTGGCAATTCGGTGCAAGCCCGCCTGCTCAAAGGGTATCATGTCTGTGGACTGCTGCTGGACTGTATCCAAGTAGTCTGAAACTCTCTGATTTCCGGGCAAAGTCACTCTCACAGGAATGGTTGTGAAAGTTGGTGCCACCATTGACTCGACGCCCTCAACCGGTGCGCTTCGTCCCGACACTGTTGAGCCAAACACCACGTCGTGCGAGTTGGTGGTTCGCCCAGCGATCAAGGCCCACGCCGCACGGATCAGTGTTGCGGTGGAAACATTGGCTGAGGTTTGAATCCGTGGAAATTCGAATTCTTCAACGTTGCTAGCCGCTTTCACTGGTTGTGTCGTGGATGGAAGAGGCTCCGGGAAGGGGACACATTCACTGCCGGCCATGGCCCGTCTCCAATAATCCACCAGTGCCTCGTCTTTTTGATCTTGTATATACTTTATAAAGGATTGGAAACTAGGTCCGTTGTCGATTTGTTTACCCAAATATGCGCGGTGTACTGCCTCCGCGACCAGATTCATGGACCAGCCGTCAAAGAGGCAGTGATGGACTGTCCACACAAGCCATTTCGCCTTTCCGGCGTCGTCCCTGACGAGCGCGTATCGAGTGAGTGGGTCACCCAAAGCCATTGAGTGTGCTTTATCTGACATCTGGTAGTTTTCCAAGCCAGTTGCATGAATCCAGCGAATATCTTCATCCAGTACGATCTGAACCAGACCGTAGTGGTCATGCTGGACAATTCTGGTTCGCAACACGGGCGTCGCACGAGTGACTTGCTCCCAAGCCGTACACAGGTCGTTTAATCGAACATCGGGAGCCAGTTCAATGACAACTTGCATAATATAATCTCCTGCTTGTTTCAACGCCAAGGACATGAGGCCCTCCTGGAGTGGAGTACAGGGACAAACATCTTGTACTCTGGCCGGATCAACATCGTGGTAGTGGCTAGAAATGACTCGGAGAAACGAAGCAATGTCAAAACGATGCCCGAGAAGAGAAAACGCTTCAATTTCTTTTGACTCTGTAGCTGACCGCGAGATACTGTGTTTCGCAAACTGACCAATAGTTGGGTACCGCAAGATGTCGGCCACTGTTAGTTTCAAGCCAATCTTGCGGGCTTCACGAGTCATCATCATTGCAGCAATAGAATCGCCTCCAAGATGGAAAAAGTTATCCTCTAAACCAAGGTTACAGGCATCAATATTGAGTACCTGAGACCATAGTTTCTGGACGCATTGCTCGGCCTCGGTGGCGACCTGTCCGCTCATCACTCGTCTGGATGCTCGCATGGCTGCCAGACGCTCGATGGGCAAGGACGCCCCAATGTTACGAAGCTGCTTTCGATTCAACTTGCCGGTATTCGTCGTGGGTAGTTTTCTCATAGTGAGAAATGCCGTCGGCACCATATAACTTGGCAGCTGCTCAGCGATGCGTTTCTCAACAGAATCGGATGTTGGCAGAACCCCAATGCCACCAGCAGGATCAAACTCACTGCCCTTTGACGCGGCATTGCTGCTATTCTTTTGTGGGTGTTGTTCCGGACCCAACTGTATGAATGCCGCTAGGAAAGGCCTTGTCTTGCCGGTTTGCGGTACAATGACTTCAGCAGCGACGTGGATTGCCTCTGGTGTGCATTTCTGCACCCAGTGCTCTACCTCGGCAAGCTCGACGCGCTGTCCACGTACTTTGACCTGTGTGTCTTTACGGCCGATGAAGACCAAGGTTCCGTCCCCATTGAACTTGACTAGGTCTCCTGTTCTGTAGAGCCGGCCATGTCGTCCCGATTGGCTGCTGCTGCCTTGAAGCAGCCAAGCCGGGTCGTTGATGAAGACGGAAGCAGTCTTTTCTGGATTGCCCAGGTACCCACGACCAACAATCGGCCCTTCGAGCAATAACTCGCCGATTGCTCCAATTGGTAACAGTTCGCTATAGTCATCGGGATCTACAACCCACGCAACGGCTCCCACGGCATGTCCTATATGGAGAGTTTCCTCTAGAGCAGGAGGCTGGTAGTTGATGGTGCTGTTGAACAGACACTCTGAGCTTCCATAGGTATGAGCTACATGTACTTTACTCCCCCACCATCGTTCAAAATCCCTCTGGTCAGACCTCTCGCCCGAGAAAATGATTAATTCCAGAGTGGGCGTGTCTTCTGGGCTGAGAAGCCGAGCAAGAGTTGGCGTCACTTCCATGACGTTGGCTCGCAAGGCGGTTATACTCTCTGGAAGCCGTCGTCTTCGATCCTCCTCGCCCGGGACGCACAAGCAGCCGCCCGCGTAGATGGCCAGGAAGAAATTGGCAAGTGTAGTAGCAAAGCTATATGATGCAAAGTCGAAGATCCTCGACTCTGGCGTGAGGCGCAAGTAGCTTGCTTGATGGTGGAGAGCTGACGCTACATTCGCGTGTGTGGCCATTGCGCCTTTGGAGGTTCCTGTGCTTCCCGAGGTGAAGCACAAGAAGAGAAGAGATGATGGGTTACAGTACGGCAGTTGTCGAGTCGCTTGCTTGTTGATATGGTCCTCGTCCCCCTGTTCGTAATCCACGCTCCTGAAGTAGTCGGAGCTTATAACAATGACGTTATTCACGAGTCGTGAGCTCAACGCCTGGTTAGACGCAGAACTTAGCATCAACCGCGCGTTGACTTGTCCCAAGACATCATGGAGGCGATTCTCAGGGAATGATGGGTCTAACAGTACATACGCTCCTCTTGCCATGGTGACTCCCAGCATCGCAACCGCCGTCCACATGGATTTTTCAAAACATAGTGGCACAAGTACTTCAGGTCCAATGCCCTGGCCAACAAGTGTGAAGGCTAACTTTTTGGCAAGCCGATATAGCTCACCGTATGACAGCTCTCCATCCCAGGCACAAATAGCGGGTGCATTGGGTTGGACCTGGACCTTCTTTTCAAACATGCTGTACATGCACTGATTGACTTGTGCTGGTGTGGTAGCATTCAACTTCCATAGTTCGTCGAGCTCATCGGGCGTCACCATGTTTATGTCCTTTAGTTTCTGGTCGGGACTTGCATTGCCAATCTGGATCGACACATATTCCAGCCGCCGCAACAATTTCCGTACTTCCCATTGCTTAATGACGGTCGCATCGAAGCTCGAAATAAATGTCATCTTGTTCTCACTGGGACATGTCTCTATTACCAGCGCGTAGGTGTGCGCGGATTGCTTGCCGCCATTGGTCTGACAATGTCGGATGCCCCGTGTCCGCGTGTGGTGAACCAGCAGAGTATGTAGTTGCTGCTCTTCCGTAGCATTCAGCCTTGACTTGCCATGCTGGCCTTCGTCAGCCATTTGTTTCTCCATTGCGCCGAGGTACTCGGAAATGTTTTGGTGGCCCGACAGCGACACGCGTATTGGAGAAATGTCTGTAGCCCAGACGCTGATGTTATCCTGCTTTCCAGCTGCTTCGCTTGGCAGGATGGTGGTGCCAAATATAACATGAGGTGAATTCTTGAGACGACTGGAGACCAAGGCCCAGGACGCGTTGATCAAGGCTGGTGTGGCCTTTAGAGAACCGACTTCGAATTGATGCTGTATCCTGTCTGGCACAGGTTGCTGCACATACAACGGGAGATCTGGGAATGGCTCATAGTCAACATCTCTCCAGAGGGATGGCCCCGCTCGTTGCAGGCTTTGCCCATCGTTTGCAGTGCCCATCTCCTCTTGCTTCTCGGGATATCGTGGGCGTTGTTTCTGGTCTAGTTTCGATGAATCGCAATACCCGTGAGTTGCAGTACAATGACGCCCGATCCACAGCTAGGAAAAGATAATTCTATAGTTGACGTATTTTAGAAAAATGGGCCACACCTGCGTCGGCACGTTTTACATGGCATGGCGCAACTTACCAATTACACCAGTCAACTCCTTCTCGTCCGTCTCTGCGGTGTTTTGGAGATGATGAACCTATTCTGCATGAGTGTGATGTCATGTCTTGGGACCCGTAATGGACGCTTCCACAATAGTGAATCTTCATCACATAGTTTGCTATCTCTTGTTCAAAGTTCACGGTGTGCTCGCCATGCAGCCACATTTGGATGGTACGACTGGCGGGCATCTTTGGAGTGGTGCAAGATGGATCAATAGATTACGCCAATCACCCTTCTCAGTCACGTCGGCATCCTGTAGCTTGCATTGTGCATGTGCAGAACAGTCAGCCAGCGCCTGTCGAAAGACCGGTGAGGCCTGATAGCCGACGCGGGAAGAGCTTGCATACATTTTCTTGTATGATGCATCAGCACAGCATTGCTTGTTTGGCAAAATGAGACAAGGCCAAGTGTGACAACCCACCCCAGGTTCACTATTCGCACCCCCTTCGCCTCTCTTCTCCAGCTTACAGGCGGTACCTATGTAACTCGGGTTCCTTGTATTGACAGTCAAGTGAGTTTTTAGTCAGAGAAACCATGTCTATGGCGTCTGGAGTATCCTCAGTCTTACCATGGCAAATGGGACGGCATGAGCAGCAAATGCCACGACTTTTGGCCAGTCGTGAACACAGCAGATAGCTTGCCATCTTAGGGAGGCGGCAGTACAAAAAGTCAAAATGTTGATGGTGCAAGCTGCAACAAAATTCTCTATACTCCGTCCGTCTGGTACTATCATTCACTACTTCCCCAGCCTAAATCAACATTGAATGCACGGTTCATTGGAGCGTTATAGGCATGGCGATACTTTGACAAGTAGCAACTGGCTTAACAGCTCTGGTACACAGCAGGACGTCTGCGACTTGGTTTAACAAGCTTCAAGTTTCATTTGTCCGGGGAATCTCTGCGGATAGATGAGCCGATACCCCCCGCGTCAATTTCCATTGTGAACAGCACCACCATCGATCTGCATATCATCTTCCGTCACAAGACAGCGCCAGCCAAACTCATCCTTTACTTTTCCCAGCTGAATTTCTCTGAGTGCCGCCAGAAGCTTCAAGCAGATAGGACCAGCTTCATTCCGTGAGTCGGGAATATATGTCACCGTCTCCCCCTCAGCATCGACACGCACATTTGGCTTCGCTGGCAACGTAACGGACCTGTTCTGCCGTGTGATGGACCGCACTGGTACCAAAGATGCCGCGGTGCCCGCTGCAATAACCTCCGTGAAATCCGGAAGCTCTGTGTATTTAATCGGCCTCTTTATCGTCTTCCAACCGTAGCTCCGCGCAATCTGCAGGATGCTATCGGACGTGATGCTCTCGATAATGCAGCGAGACTCTGGCACCGTAATTGCCACGCCATCGCCACCGTCATGAGCTGTTATCCCGATAAAGGCACAGGTACTAAACTCGTCCACTTCCTCGTGTCTCGCGCTGTCAAGGTGCAGCGTTATGCCGTAACCTTTACATTTTGCCTCATCGCTCCACCGGAGAACCGGCGCATAATTCCCGCCCAGTTTTGCGTGGCCTGCGCCGTTGGGCGCCGTGCGGTCAAACTCGTCAATGATCAAGGCCTTGACGGGATCTGCCCCGTGGGCTATACCCGTAGGAACGGCAAAAACGCAAAATGTATACTCGTTTGGTGCAGAGAGGCTCAAGTGTGGGCTTGAGCCGTAAAGTTGCGGTCGAAGATAGAGCGCGGCACCAGACTCGTGAGGCGGTACAAATGCTGCATTCAGAGCAACTACAGAGCGGCAGGCTTGTAAAAACATGTCCACGGGCACTCTTGGCATCGAGGCCACGTCGGCAGAATGTTGCATGCGAAGAGCATTGCGGTCGGGACGAAAGATGCTCACGACTGAGTCACCAGGGCCGCGAAAGGCTTTCAAACCCTCGGCAGCTTGTTGACCATAGTTGAGTGCTGGAGCCATGCCGTGGATGCTCATGTATGGGCTCGCAACGAAACGTAGGGGCGTCCATTGGCCTGTTTCTTTGGAATATTTTGACTCGACATGGCCGTTGACTAGATCGTTTGGCTTTCGTTATTACACGTCTCTCAGAAGCAGACGAGGCGCACTGATTTACCTTCGCTGAAATCAAAACCACTGGGCCAGCCATTGGCGTTGGCAAGAGGTGATGGTGGAAACGGAATCATGATGAATTGGTATAGGCACCCTTTTCCAAGGGCGTCTACAATACTCTGTATGTTGTCGTCCTTTGTGTTTGCGTGCCAACGCTTCACGTCGCACAGAACCATGCAAACCGGGTCATTGATATTACACGGAATGGTTACCAGAGGTTCTAGGAGGTCAATTGAGAAATACTGCACTCGACTACCGCCCGATTGGATACGCCACCCAGTGTTTCATCTCGTAACCGGAACTAGGAAACGTCGAAAGCAGTAATAGCGTACTCCGTAGTGAATTACGAAAGCATGCAAATGAAAGGCACTGATGGCGATCCAAGGCGGGGAACTTGCAAAGAGGCTGGTTGCAATATACGCATTCTCTGTCGGTGCAGGCGGCCTAAAACTGACATAAGAGCATCTACATGTGTATACAAACGTCCTAGCCTAACGCCACAGCTACCGGAGCCCATACGAGCCGACATCGATGCATTATCAGTCAGTCACCGACATGGTGGGACGGCTTGCCACGGCTTCTTTCTGTCCGGTTGCCTTTTCAATGGTGGTTGATAAGATACCAATATAAACGCAACTCGCAGGACGCAGCACAAATCTGTGTTACAGATGTGGGCCTCACCTGCAGCCGGTGTGACGCAGAGGACAGTGAGCCCAATGGAATCAGCAAAAGCAAGTTCCCTTGATGGTCCACGACGCTTTTGCCACGTCCTGGTCCAAATCAGATGTCACAGCATCGCAGATCCTGGATACATGCAGGCGTTCGCGGATACCCTGACGCTCTATTTTCTATGCGTCCTCCTTTTACAACATTTCTGCTGTACTTTTCATGCGAGTCCAAGCCAGGGTATATTGTGGCTGGCTGGACACCGCCGATGTTATCATATCTGACCAATCGACAATTAGCAACTCCTGTTTCACGACGCTCCCGACGTCGCCACTGTGTCATTCGGAAGGGGATGTTTTTATCCAAACGCCCAATCTTCTGATGGATCTTGAAGAATTCCGTGTTTTCAGGGTGGTAAAGCCGAATGAGCCGAGTATGGCCAAGCGACGAATCTGGTGTTCAATCCCCCTCTCCTTGTGCTACATAATACCAGTCTTTGAGAAGCAACAGGAAAAGGCGCTGAGTTACATTGTTTTATAGCAGATCAGCGACCTGAAGATGATGAATATGGACAAACCATGAACCAAGCAGTAGATGTAGGCATTTTAGCCGGACACTTGGATAAATAAATTAAAATGTGACCTCGATGAGATAAATGTCATCAAACATTGTCCACTCGAGAGCTATGCTCATACCACCCTCTGCCATATGTCATTCCAACCAATCATGCATGTTCTAGCTCGAATACAACTGATAATGTCAGCGATTCTATGCGATGCTTCCTCACACACGACCAATTAGCCTCATCAAAAACCCCGTCCCATTCGTCGATAGTAGGAAGGTAAACTCCCATCATCTCATGGCCGAGTTCAAAACCCAAAGTAAAAATCGGCAAAGTATCCTCGGTAACAGCCCCATCCGACCCCTTGGTGTTTAGCAATATTCTCGTGGCATCCCCCAGGAGGAACCTCCTCACTTTCGGAAACACCTCGCGTAAGCGCTTCAGCGTCTTTATGCAATTTTCTCGGGGCCAGAAATCATGCCCCATCATGAAGCACGTCAACAGGTCTACTTGTTTAAACTCGTCTTGATGCTCCATTTCCCGAGCATCACCCTCCATGAAGGTCAGACGATTGCTGTAGCCACGTTGCGCTGCCTCGGCCGCGGCCACCTTGAGAGCCGGACTAGCCAGATCAACACCAACGGCAGTGGTGTTGGGAAAGCGATCAAGGATTTGCATCAGCCGCTCGCCGCTGCCGCAACCGAGGTCAACCACGGACGTGAACTTGTAGTCTAGCCCATCCATGGCCGCCCAAAATGCGGGATCAAAGTGCTGGCGATTAATATCCCGGCAGGCATACGCTATGGCGGCAGTATCGCGCGTGTAATAGTTGTCCCCTTTGCGGTTCTCATTGCGTACAACGCACTGCATCTGCGAGAAGAGCGCCCCGGAGCCCAGGCTGAGCCAGTGGAAGAGCGATTTTGTACGATATGCCTCGTCGAACAGCGGGCCGGCGGCGACGACGTCGCCGTCTCGCTCTAGTACATGAACGACAACCAGTGAGGCTACCAGGCCTTTTGTAGATCCGATGTGTAGATTTTGCTGCGACGCAAACGTCTCCTCGTGCAGCTGCTTGTTGTTCTTGATTTGGTCCAGAATTCCGAGTTCCCACGCAGCGCCTATGGCCCAGCCTGCGACGGTGGAGTTGAAGATGTTGGCCACTGAACGCTCTGCATCGATGACAACGGAACCCATTGTGGTAATTTTGGGTTTAGTAGAAGGAAAATGCGGGAGAAGAAATTGCGACAAGGTTTGAGAAGTTTTGGACATTCAACAGTTTGGAGGGAGGAATTTTTGACAAGGCCCTTGTGATGAAATAGTTTTGGAACAATGGTCTTGGTCGGGGTTCATGGGCAAAAGAAGAAGACGGTTTCCGCTTGTGCTGTGAACTTTGGGGACGGCACGCCGACGAGTCAAGCTGATGGCCCTGTGGCAAGAGTTGTGCTATCGTGCCTAGGTGCAAAGTGTGATGCAAGTGTGTCCGGCTGATTATGCAGAGACAATGTCGCCAGTGACATCCCTGACTTGGGCCGTTTGTCTTCAATCTTTCTCATGTTCATCATTCTTCTCAAAGTCGGCGAAACGTCATTTGTGTGGCTGTTGACGACTTCGAATGGCAAAGGCGGGCACGGCAAGAGAATCTAAGCACGTTGCCTACAATACAAAGTATAGCAGTAGGTGGAATCACAACCATGCATTGCAGATGATGCTCCTGCAAGCTGTAGAAAGTGGGTAATTTCGGCGAGGAAATGGCTGACGGCAGCATGCTGTCACTACATATGTCAATATATTTGCTACTTTGATAAGTTGATGTCATTATATGGACTGGGGCATCGATGCGGTGCACATATGCACAAGCTGCGCACGTCTCGATGATCAACCGTCACCGAATTGCCCATGCTCATCTGCAAAATGGCAAGCAGAGATGAGCACTCTGGACTTGTTGGACTATGGTAAGACATGGCGCTATTAGCATGTGCTGAAACGATTCTGTCACCTGCATGTCTTTCTGGCCTATAAGCCAGCGATCCATTTCTGTCTCGAGAATATGCAACGGGTCAGTGAGTGAGCTATTCCGACAAATCACAAACAGAGACAGTACGTGTATATCGGGACTGTGTAAGGTGGCTTAGAATTGCCATGTTGTACCAGACTAAACACGGACGGCACAACTAATCCCGTCCCATAACCTGACACAACATCATAACGAGTTGGATGCTTCAGGGCTACGGCAAGCCTCGTTGACTAGCTCTGCATGTGAATAACATGCATTTATAAAATATGTTCAATACAGAGTGCAGGGCTCGAAGAGGGGATTTGGACTTCGGTTATGCTGCAGCCATTTCTAGATACGTCAAGGCGGTTTGTGTCTTTTACAACTGGTCATTGGATATTTACATGTGCATACTTCCAAGCTGTCAAACTCCAGATTAGCATGGGACCCACTCGTCTTTGTAGGAGACGAGCAACAAGATGGATTGATGGTTCGACAGCGGAACGCTAATGATGTCATTATATTGGCAATATTGCATGTTGTCTACTCGTTCCACGCCCCCTGCGCTTTGCATTTCGGGAGCAGACCTCGTAGCACCAGTAAGGAATGTTTTACACTTCCTTCTCGTTATTTGATACCTTGGAGCTGTGCACACAGGCTACTCCCAGCATCGAATCCCTTCTTTCTCAACATCACAGCGGTGTATGGTTCACTTTACGTGCACACGCGTCGTGGATTCTTTTAGTCCACTCATCTGGGAAACTTTCTGATCATTAAGAAGATACTACATATTTTCAAGCGAAATTCCGAAACCAACTCTGCTGTCATCCCCTAGCAAATACCAAAATACACACTCTAACCCTGATCCTCTGACAAACGCTAAACGCTTCCCAAACATGGCCTCCATGGACAAGATACTTGCGGCGTACAAAGAGCGTGTCGCATTGCATGAAGCTGGTACAAGTCCCTTCGCAAAGGGCATTGCTTGGATAGAGAACAAGCTCGTCCCTCTTCATGAAGCACGCATTCCGATTCTCGACCAAGGTTTCTGGCACAGTGATCTTGCTTACGACGCACCAGCCGTCTGGAATGGCCGGTTCTTTCGCCTCGACGATCACATTGACCGCCTTGATGCCAGCTGTGACAAGATATTACTCAAGTCGCCTCTCCCAAGAGACGAGATGAAGCGTATCCTATGCGACATGGTCTCCAAGACTGGACTCCGCGACGCCCAGGCCGTCATCATTGTCACACGGGGCTTGACAGACGTGCGTGGCTGGGACCCAAGGAAACTCGTCAACAACTTATACATGTTTGTCAAGCCATATGGTTGGTTGATGCAGCCAGAGAACCATTACGCTGGTGGCAGCGCCATGGTCGCCAGGACAGTCCATCGTATCCCTCCCGGAGCCATTGATCCAACGGTCAAAAACCTTCAATGGGGTGACTTGATACGAAGTGTTCTCGAGGTGCAAGATTGTGGTGCCACATATCCATTCCTGACAGATCAAGAGGGCAACTTGACTGAGGGCCCCGGGTTCAACATTCACCTTGTCCAGGATGGCGTAATATACACTCCTGACCGAGGGGTGCTCCAGGGCATCACGCGGAGAAGCGTCCTTGATCTGTGCAAGGCCAACGGAGTGGAAATCCGCGTCGACGTAGTGCCCGTTGACATGGTCTACCAGTGTGAAGAAATATTCCTGTCCTCAACTGCGGGAGGCATTCTGCCCATTACGAAGCTTGATGGTGTTCCGGTAGGGGATGGGAAGCCCGGCCCTATTACCATGAAGGTTTGGGATGCGTACTGGGGGATGCATGATGATGCAGCATATAATTTCCAGATTGAGTATACTAGTCCTTGAATGAAATTGGCTGGCTGCAAAATATCGTTCCTCTTGGGCGAAGACTCTGCAACATTCGCGTGACAAGTCTTAGTGACTTGATTTCTACGCGATAGCCATGCCCACGCTGTACCGACTCAACTATCGCGTTCATCACTATTTGGTCCACGTCTTGACTCCGGGCAGCATCTAGGAAGGCGGTGAAGACTCGCCGACATGTCAACTGGTACCAAATAAATTCTGGCTCGTTTGTAGACCATCTCCCGGTGAACATGCAGTGTGCAAATATGCCGCTACACCAGCACCTACGGCACACCTAATGTTGCGGCTGCAAAGATGCCCAACCCTACTATGGGGCTTGTAGATGAAAGAAGAAAAGGAGAGCAAGAAAAGGAAAAAAAGAGAAACATGAAGAAAAGAGCGGTCTACAATGCTAACAGCATGTATGCGGACGCTTTCAGCAACTTGCCATGCCGGAAATCCGCTTCATGCCCGCTCATGTTGCATGAAGCTTGCAATTGCACATACGCGCTGGGACGGCTTGCCATTATGACTGCATGTGGGATAATTGTGATGCTGCTTGCACATGTGAGCACGAAAATTATTGACCTGGACCAGACATGACGTTTTTCGGCCCCCGGCCCCCCCAACGCCCGGGGAGCCGACGCGGGCCAATCAGATGGGCGAGATCCCCTTTCAGCGACCCACTGGTATGGAACATGGCGAACCAGACCCTGCACCCAAAAAAAAGTAATGATTTCGTGCTCAAGGAGATAAGGGGTTTCCATGCGATTGGAATTCGCAACAAAGGGCCCTAGTGTGGCTGGCTGAACAAAAGTTGTGACACTATGCAACATGCGACCAATCACTAGGAGTATATCGAGCGGACTCGGTATTTTGATATCACCTGCATGCGCATGGCGACCTACCTTCGCCCATGCAAACATATTACGGAATACTCGACAGGTTCGATTTGTGCAACGTTGGTGCAGCATGATGGCACAATTCATCACACCGATCTGCTACCGAGGAATTGCAGCACTCGGCTCAATTCGTGGCATGAATGTAGCCGTATATATCCGCTACAACGAGAACGGGCCAAAGTGATGAGACAGCAAGTGTGCAGTGGTGCCTTGTCAATCTGGCGCAACTTTTGAGGCTTATTCCCGTCTACCATGCCCGGGAAATAAACCGTATTGGCCAAGTCGACCAGTCATCACAGTTGTGTGCTGTGTGGCCAGAACATCCAGTGGCCCAATGCCACCGGAATACACTTCACCACATGCAGTATAAATGCCGGCACCAAACACTTGCATAAGCACCAAAATATCATACAACGTCTACTGGTTGTCGACCCAGCGTCGGCGTTTTGTCCTTGGTCCATTTCCCACCCATTCTCACAACATCACGAGAACCCCGAGTTGCCATCCACCATGTATTACGAAAGCATGGTCGAGACGTGGTTGAAAGACCACAAACTGAAAACCCCAGAGATGCAGAACGAGCCAGCATTTTACCGCAATTTAGAGCAACGGCTGGATACCCTACGCGCTGAGCACAAGCTCCTGACTGCCAAGCCACGTTGGGATACGCCCATGGTGGACTTTGCGTCCAACGATATTCTGTCTCTCAGCCGAACGGGGCGAATCCGGGAAGCCTTCTTGCAAGAAATATCCAGACACGAGAACTGGAACCTAAGTGCCGGCGGATCTCGGCTCCAGAACGGAAACTACAACTACATCCTCGAGGTGGAGAGGGAAATGGCCGAATTCTTCGGCTCTGAAACGGCCTTTTTTGGAAATTCCGGGTTTTTATGCAACGCCGGCATCACTGGCTGTGTGGCCCTACCTGGTGACTGCTACGTCTTTGACGAGCTCGTTCATGCCAGTGCACACGAAGGGATGAAGCTCGGTCGGGCGTCGCACAAAGTCTCCTTCCGGCACAACGACGTCAACTCTCTCCGCGAGACGCTGACCAACCTGAGAGAAACACATGCCGAGTTCAAGCTAGGAACGCAGTCCATCCTCATTCTGATTGAATCCATCTACAGCATGAACGGGGACGTGTGCCCTCTAGAAGAGTTTGTCCATGTGGCCAAGCAAGTCTTCCCACTGGGCAATGCCCAATTCATCATTGACGAGGCGCACTCCGTCGGCGTACTGGGCCCCCATGGCAGAGGCCTAGTCTCCATGCTGGGACTGGAGAAGGAGATTGCGATTCGGGTCCACGTTTGCAGCAAGGCCATGGCATCTACCGGCGGTGAGTTTCTTATTCCTAGTGTTTTTTGAGAAAGACCAAAAAAAACGTACATTCCTAAACGACGACGCAGGCGTAATCTTGTGCAATAAAACTGTGCGTTCGTTGATGATGAACCAAATGCGTTTCGCAGTCTACAGCGGCGCACCGTCGTTTCCCATGGTCGCATCGGCTCGAGCTGGCTTGCAGTTGTTTCGAAGTGGCGGGACACACGAGGTTTGTGGACTCTTCTCAAACTTGCGCTGTTGTAGGTGAACGGCTGCATTAACACGCATCACGTGCATGTAGGAGCAGGAGCGGATTCAAAAGACAATCTCGTACTTCTTCAAACGGCTTACGAGCAAACCGGATTGGCAGCAGGCCGTGGCGGCGGGCTTGCTGTCTTGCCCTGTTGCTGAAGGGTGGGAGCAGCGCCAGTTCCATGCGCATATTATACCGATTAGAACTCGGCCGCGCCACGAGCAGTACTTGTTCTTCCATAATATGCTTGCCAATATCATGGCTTACAACTTTGCCTATCCTGTCGTGCCAAAGGGGGAGAGCCGTATTCGCATTGTGGTCCATGCGCACAACACCGAGGACGACGTCGATAAACTGGTCGCCTCCATCTGTCAATGGGCGCACGAGATGTTGGATCTGGAGAAATGCGGTTCGAATAATACTCTTCCGAGTGCGGCGAGCAAGGTGTTTGCATCACAAGCCGCAGTCAAGGCGTAGCGAGCGTTTCTACCTGCTGTTGTTGATGACACGGTATTTCGGAAGAAGAGTCTTGGTGGTTGTTATAAGATCAGGGACAGGTGCATTTCCTCTTAAAAAAAAGTCATGTCGCCTTTTTGGGAAGTCTATTTCGCACTTGTCTAATGTCCTTATTGTAGATACTGGCGGCCCTTGAGAGTCCTGGTGGATGTCCACTGAGCTCAAAAGACTTGGGCATTATATCTACGTCCAGATATGACTGATACTGAAATGAAGCTCCATGCATCTTTGCGTAGAGTGATTTAGCCATGTCTGCTCAACAAATACACTAATACATGGTCTGCCATACAAGCGATTCAGGTTGTCAGTGTATTTGTGTACAGTCTTGTTTTCAAAGAACGACAACATGACATGAAAATGATGGAGATTCTATTACTGTAAAAATGGAAAAGTTCTCTACACAACCCTCTGCACCGCACAAGATCAGTATGTCGACGGTATGACACAGCCGCGCCCACCGTCTGTCAGCAGTACATTCCCGTCAATGTAGCTCCCGGCTCGGCTTGCGAGAAACAAGACAGCACCAGCAATATCCTCCTCATTTCCCATTCTCCCCAACGGTATGTTTGCCGCATGTGACGAGCTACCACCGTTCATAAAGGGCAAATTCTGCGTCATCTCACTAGGAAAGAAACCAGGCGCAATCGTATTAATTCGAATCTTATACGGCGCCAATAAAGTGGCAAGTTGCTTGGCCAAATGACCAGCCGCTGCTTTACTAGGCCCATATGCAAAGCTAAGTGTTGGTTTTCTGGCGAAGCCTCCTAGTGATGTCGTTATGATGATTTGCGCCGTTTGTGGCACGACGCGGCGCTTATTCCCCTCATCCAGAAGATCAAGAAAAGCAACGGCAGTGTAAAAGACACCGGTAACATTGACATGAAATGACTCTGTGAATTCTTCCATGCTATGCTGCCAAAGACCCTCTTGAATGGCCTTTATACTAATGGAACCGATGGATGGGATGAGTGCCGAGGCGTCGGCGGTGGCAACTCCGCTGTTAGCAAAGACAACATCACAATATCCGGCGTCTTTGCGCACAAAAGACGCGGCGGCCTGTAGGGAGTCTTTTAACGTCACATCGCAGATAATCGGCGTGATAACGCTTGGGTTGACTGAAGTCTTTTTCGTCGTTTCTAAAGCCTCGGCTCGTCGTCCGAGGACGTACACTGCCTTGGCACCATTGGCCGCCAGAGTGTGAGCAATGACTCTGCCGATTCCTGAGCCGGCACCTGTAATAACGGCGATGAGGTTCTTGACGTCGAATAGGGCGTTGGCTTGGTACTGGGGAGACATGTTGAATCAAGAAACACGAAGTCAGGACAGAATATAGTCCATCTAGGCGCAAGCGTGGATGTAGAAGTAGCGGGTTGCGGGTTTCAACTCGTCAGGCAGCGACGCATTATGTGTATATTTGACCTTGTAGACGGGCTCCTCTGGCCGCCAAGGGATACAGAGCAGGTTAGCATTTTGCTGCCAGCCATTAACCTGAGTCATACGGCAATCTGGCTGTCTCTTGGCGTCGGCTGGAAGAAGATGATGCAGTGGAGGTGTGGCCATAGCATGATGCCAGATACGTCGAACTGTATGCATGCAGGCACTACTGTCACATTTGGCGCCGTCTTTCCAATCCGTCTGCAAGGCGTGCATAGCACAAAGCGCTATGCGCCCCATGGTGGCATGCTTGTCTCTTCAACACCGGCCCGTTCCAGTTGGGATCCTGTTCAAGTTGGTGACGTGGCCTGTTGGGCCGTTGGGGCGCTGTGTTGTGTAATGTCCGATGTCTCAGAAAAGAGCTCTTTTGGCTAAGAATTGAAGCATTTTTGGGGGACTATAATAAAGGCAATTGATATGGGTGCTACGTCTTACGGGTGCTACACTTTATTATTATTATTTTTTTTTGCAGCTTCCTATCAGTCCACAAGCTGTTGCCTGTGACCCCAGCCACAACTTACTAGGCGGCGAGGCCAGTAGTCGGGTAGTAGTGTTGACATGTCAATAGTGACATTGAAGTCTGGTTCATTACGCCCGGAGGGTTCTCCCTATATGACCGCTCGACAACCAGACTCTTTGGCTCATCCGCTACTGTTAGTGGAGTGTTAGGTTGGTGAGAGCTTGCGTGGTGTATAAAACTACGTAGTCATCATGTCACAGCTTGAGGTACTGCATGAGTATGGGCGAGTAGTAAGTGTCCAGGCGAGAATCTATTTTCTTCCCATTTACGCCAGGGTACTGATCTGCCCTCCTCTTCCTCTCGATATGGGCACATCGGTCCATGTAGCATCAAATATTAGAGATTTACAACGCGTATCGTTCATAGCAGAGTCGTTCTGGTATTTACCTTGCTTAGTTGCGTGCTGGAAAATCTGCGGACGAATTCCAGGGGAAATCAGACTCACGGACCATCTCGGCTCCAAGTGACTGGCCGCAACAGCTATGGAAAAGCCACGCCAAGAGAATGGGGTTGAACAAGTATGGAAGAGCCTTGGTTTATTTCTTGCATGTCAGAAAGCAGTTCTCTTCTGTATCAGAATAACACGCAACTGGTCCTATCCCAGACTACAAGCGTGCTTAAATTAGTCATGTCTCTCACAGTGAGTCGGCAACAAGTTCATCCGACATCGGATGCTGTTCCTGCTAACCAACACCATAAGGTAGCTGGTTGTTTGTTGGCTTTTGTCACGGTGACTTGCTTCAGTTTCAACAAAGCATCATTCAACTTTCTTTTCCTTCTTCCATCACTTTTCATCGACACCGTAGCCACGGAGCCGCCATTCACGGATCGTTTCACTGCTTCACGCCATGGAGAGAAAGCCGTCGTCACCATTAGCGCCGACGTTCATGGTGTCTGCGCCTGGCAAGGTCATAGTATTTGGCGAACACGCCGCCGTGTTTGGCAAGCCCGCCATCGCAGCAGCCATCTCCCTTCGATCCTATCTTCTCGTCACGACCCTTTCCAAGTCCCAGCGCATCGTCAGGTTAAACTTCAGAGACATTGGCTTAGATCATACTTGGAAAATAGACACCCTGCCATGGGATATGTTCCATCGACCGGACAAGAAAAAGTTTTATTTCTCCCTTATCGACTCCCTCGACCCCGAGCTGCTCGACGCTATGATACCACATGCAGAAGAGGTCTCCAAGCATCTCCCGGAAAAGCAGCGAAAGATTCACGTTCGATCTGCGACTGCCTTCCTCTACCTCTTTCTTTCGTTGGGGTCATTGCATAGCCCCGGGTCTATCTACACTCTGCGATCCACCATTCCTATCGGTGCCGGTCTACGGAGTAGTGCCAGCATTTGCGTCTGTTTAAGCACGGCGCTGCTTCTTCAGATACGGACGCTTGCTGGACCTCATCCCGACCAGCCGGCTGAGGAAGCCCAAATACAGATTGAGCGCATCAGTCGTTGGGCTTTTGTGGGCGAGCTGTGTATACACGGAGATCCTAGTGGAGTGGACAATGCAGTGTCTGCTGGTGGCAAGGCCGTTATTTACCAAAGAAAACGCTCCGGACCGCCATCTGTCCTTCCTCTCAACAAGTTCCCCGAGCTGCCGCTTCTTCTTGTTAACACTCAGCAACCCCGTTCCACAGCGACACAGGTGGAAAAAGTAAGAGAACTAAAAGCAAACCACCGTCACGTGACGGGACTGATTTTGGATGCAATTGGCCAACTGACAAGCTCTGCTCTGGCCGATTTGGAAACCAATGGCATGTCGGATACGGACCGTTTGGGAACAATGATTCGTATGAATCACGGATTGCTGGTTTCGCTGGGAGTTTCTCACCCACGCCTGGAGCGTATCCGCGAGCTTGTGGATCATGCAGACGTAGGCTGGACGAAACTGACTGGCGCCGGAGGTGGCGGATGTGCTATTACGCTTTTTCGACCAGATGCCAAGTTGGAAACAAAGAGGGGGTTGGAGAGGAAATTTCATGCCGAAGGCTTTCAGACATACGAGACCATTCTTGGTGCTGATGGAGTCGCCTTACTTTGGCCTGCTCTTTTCCGAAGAGGCAGCGAAGGGGAGGGAGATGAAGAGATCAACCAGGAACTATTTGAGAAGGCTGTGGGGGTAGAGGGAATTGAGGATCTGGTTGGAGTAGGAAAGTCTGAAGACGGGGAAGGATGGAAATTCTGGACCCGAACCGTTGAAGATCAATGCGACCAGTCTCTTGACCACGGCCCCAGTCAAGGGAATGATGATGAAGCGACTTAATGGCCTTTTATCGAACATGTTCAGCAAAGCATCCTGCCGTTGCAATCTTTTTCAATATTTGATACACAGCTTGCAAATCTCTGCTGGCCTGGAAATAAATGGCACGATGCACATGGAATTGGGACTCGCAGGTTCACCTTTGCATTTGTATGAAGTCTGGGGAAAACCTATAGTAAATAGGGAAAAACCCATGACAAGCTTCGACCAAATCCGTGAAATCACCTCTGAAATGAGATTTTAGCTTTCCTTTGTATTACAATTAGATGACTGTTCAAATTCTCGGAAGTCTTGACTGCTACTTACACATCCACACCCTCCGACCTGTTTTTTCGTCCGTCTCTGTTAACCTTGTGTCCTCAAAATGCGAAGAGTTATTCGAACTCACTCCCCCACAGCTAGCACAGCATGTACACGGCTACATATTTTGTCGATATTAGTTGCACGAATAGCAACCCTGGGGAAGAGGGACTCGGCAAGGCCAAACATGGTGCAGTGCACCAATCTTTGTTTGTGAGGGAGATCGAGAATAGCTTACAGATTGTCCACATCTCTAATTTGTTGTTTCTATTAGCTCTACATGAAATCCTATCTCATGAATATAATTATTACTTACATCGCAGACATTTTTTCCAAGTTCTTCTTTTGGTGCAGATGCCATTGTCACGTAGTTGAGAAATGTATTGTTGAGAGATCTGCAAGTTGGGATTGTGCAAATTGCGAAGAACAAGTGTCGGGACGATCCATGGCGAGCTGGAACACAAGTCAAGCTGGTGGTTTACTTCCATTTATCTCATCTATCTGTCTGCTTCCCCAGGACTGACTGGCATTGGTTCTCATGAGGCTCCGGAGGTGTGTTTGTTGGTTGTCGTACGCAAAACTTGTTGGTTGTTTCTCTACCGTCGTGTCTGGTAAAATGATCATGCCATGGTCGCACATGAGTTCTCTTCATTGGATCAACTCATCATGATTTCATCTAATCAGGAAGATGTATTTTAACGGTTGCCTAGGGAGTGATGAACGTTGTGATATCATTGGCTGTCATTCGACGTCCTCAGGGTGATAGCTGCAAAAGACAACGGAGATTGAACAATCTGTTGTGAGGACTGGTAACTTGACAGTGATGAGGTTTATTGTGTGCATGTTTCCATCACTTCGCCACCGCACGTCCCAGCACCGTAGGCAGCGAAGCGGCAGCATGTTTTGGTGGTCGCACGAGTAAGAACAACATATCCAAGAGGCCTTGTTACTAACTTGGGCCAGAGGCTATGATGGCTGTTTCTTGGTAAGTGCAGAATGGGGGGCATGGCGCGCCGGTAGGATCAGACGGAAGTTTCCTATCGCCCCGGCCAACTCAAACTCATCAAACACTCCGTGCATCCTTGACGATGATAGGCTGGTAGAATTTCAAATTATATCCTGCTTTTGTGACCCTGGACCCACTGACGATCCGTGCCATAGTGGTCAGTCATGCGGGAAAAGCAACGTTCATACGGAGACAGTGTTGCTGTGTCGACACGACCAACGGGCCAAGACCGCATGAAACCGCCCAGTGGCGAACAGGGGAATGTAAGAAGCTGTTGTTTGGAAGCCTCTGTGTTCCCTATTTTAGTCACTGCAATGTGCCGCTAAATAATCGTGACTAATGTCGTGCTTAGCTCTCTCAGGACTGACTGTATTCGCCGTGAATGAACTGGATTTCATGATGTCGTCTTTAGTGTCGCGAACACAGAGAGTAAGGGCGAGGCTGAGGCTCAGATCTGGTTTCAACATTATTGCGCCATCGGTAGACTTGAGAGTGGCGTAGAGGTCATTCAAAAATACCGCAGCATTTGAATCTCCCTCCGAAGTGTTCTGGCATGCAAGGGCGAGACTGATGTTGTCCACCGTCATGCTTGTCAGGTCTCTTTCTGTGCCACAAAATTTCCAGCCGTTGACGCAAAAGATCCCGTATGGGCTGAGCTTCACCGTTGTAGTGCCTAGATGGATTGGCAGATAACTTTTGTATGTAGGAGCGGAGTCTCCTCCGGGTAGAAGTTGTAACAATCTGAGAGTCCCATTGCTAATCTTCTCCTTCACGCCGACCCGGATAGTGAGAAGATTGTCCTCGACACGGTATAGAAGAGGATTTGCGTCGTTGTCTGAGGTCACGAGGCCGCACGACGAAGCAAGCATCATCATGTCATTGGGGAAGAGGGTCGCGGCAACCTCGCTGCCCGATACATTGAAGGTCTGCACGCGACCCGGCCGACCGCAGATAGGCAGAGACAAACCACTGGTGATGCGCTCACAGCCCAGGCGATGAGGCCGACAGCGGCAATATCCAATGATGCCGCGGCCATGATCTTGTCAATCGCGGCTGAGCCGGACATCACAAGACGTCGACTGCAGGCGACCGCCCTGCTGAGTATAAACCAGAAAGATATCAGAGAGAATGCTACCAACCATGACGGATTGCGCGAACCTAGCTCGTCACGTACGATAGATAGGAGGCCAACCTGGATACAATCTCAGTACTCTCACGAGGCTGTTGATGAGGCTGAATGCTGATTGCCATCAAAGCCCCGGAAACTCTGAGAATGCAACAGCTTGAATGGCTTAGTACATCTTCCACCCTTCACGTAATTTTCATTCAAAGCGGCAAGGTATTAGTAGGAGAGCTTATAAGGACAAGTTATAATAAAAATGGTGGCTCAGGCGTAGTAAGCACTCATGACATTACTTCTACAGCCCGTCAGATAGTCCGAGGTCTTTGGGGGCCTCAATCGATATGAAAGGACATTTAGAGGCTATTGCCACGACCTAGGCAGACGACACTTGACATGGTTTGTATTGATTTGATAATGTACACTATGTGAGTTTTGTCGTGGTAAGTGAATACCGTCTTTAAATAGTACCATCAGCCTAGTTGTGCCTTATTTACGGCTGAGAGTGCCGGGCGTTTTCGCCTCGGCTACGCCGAAAAGGGTTGATCCGTCATGACCTCTGGAGGCCTCAAGGCCAGAGACGGCGGTAAGCCCTGCCCAGACGGGTCTGGTGTAGTGGACCTTTCCGCCTTTCCGGCTAAGCGGGAACATGAACTCCACATATGTTTCCCTTTTGGGATTGTAAAGGCGGGGGAGCCCCACTTGGGTCAAGGCTTCCAAGGCGCGCCATTCTATACAGCTCGGGTCCTTGCCGACTGCAAACAGCATGGTTACAGAGAAACTGTGCACTGGTTACTATTCCTCGATATGTAATTCGTCATGTCGGTCTTGAGGCGATAGACGGTAGTCTCCTAATTGCAGTCCTTGTATCTGTTCATGACTTCCCTGACCGTGTTGTACAGCGCTTAGCCATTGAACCCAATCAAGCCATTTTATTACCGTACGCGAAAGGGTAATAAGAACCCCATGTCCCAAAAGATGGCGATACTATTCACCGTCCATGGTAACCATGGGAAGCCCATAGGGAAATTGACTTGCATCAGTATTACATGTTCTACTAGGTCTAAAACGAAACAAATAGGGGATAGACAAATTTGTACATCGCTACCACGAACTTGGTCCTAGGGAACCGGGTATCGTAGTTCGCGGGCCATGAATTTCCTGGAGGGGTGCAAATGCATCAACGGGCTTCTGCAAAAGCAGGGAATTGACGTTCGGGGCAATGGTTGTTACACGGAAAAGGCCCAACAGATCGTGAAGCCCAACAAAGGGGCTTCACGCCGATATAGGACTTGTTGGTTACACGGCTAGAACACGTGCCCGGGCAAGGACCCTAGGCCTAGGCGTTCCTTTTATGTATATAAGGCGGTCACCCTTCTCTCCCTTTCTCGTAGCAACTCAGGACCTTTGACATCCTACGAGATTATTATTGAATTGAGCCCTTTATCGCTCCAAGTCTTCATAACTGAACCCTTGGCACAACGGTAAACACAAGGCGTGTGGATTAACGAGCGGAGTGGCGTAAAGAGGAGAATTGTATAAAAGCAAGCATTTGGGGCTTAGATAAACATGTACGAGATTAATTCTATATATAGTATATATATATATCTGTACATCTTATCGGTGACGCATATCTGGTATTTATTTTGTATATAAGCGTCGATTAAGATAGACCCGTAATATCTGTAGAGATAAGCATAACTACAAAGAAACGCCACCATTATCGTCATGTTTATCAAGGAATAAGCCTAGGGTGCGGCGGAGCCTAAGGCTGGGGACCTAACTGTAGCGCCACTAGATTCATCTGGATTAGACTAGCCGAAGACATCAGGAGGATTTCTAAATATGGCCAGGTTCTGCCAGAAACCCAAGCGCCACGGCCTGTGGCGGACTTGGTGGCAAACAAGGTCCCAGGGGTTAGGCGGCGTTAGGCTCAGGAATGGATGACATCAGTAGGGCTTAGAGTCTTGAGTTGATCAATTAAGTTCATGTGGCTTGCCTATACACTAGCCACACCAAGGTAAGTTGGTGCATATTCATTTACGAATAGCATTGTTATTATTGTGAAAATTATATAGGGCTGAAAAAGTATACGCTGCGCCACGTTATGGATACAAAAGGTCTAGAACTGGTAGTAAGCGTCTTCTACGCAAGAGCATAGAAACAGCAATTATAGTGGCAGTGTTGTGCTAGTTCTGCAACATATATAAAGGCAGGGTGCTTCCACCCTTCTAGAGACAACCTCATCTATTGATAGACATCAACACTTGCGATAATCTCGATACGAAACTACCAAAAACTCGGATATCTAGATATCTAAAACTCAAAGCAAAAATGAAGTTCCTCTCCGTTGGCATCATTTCTCTGGTCTCTATGGCCGCTGCATACCCCTACCATACCACCTCGGCAGTGTCCCCGACCAGCACTTGCCAGGAGAGTACCTCGACTAGCATTTACCAGGAGGATACCTCGACTAGCATTTACCAGGAGAGCACCTCGACTAGCATTTACCAGGGGAGCACCTCGACTAGCACCTACGGATGCACCGAGACTGCAAAGCCCTGTGGGAATAATTATTGCGTGAGTGACCCGCTTGACATTTCCTATCAATTCCCGAATTTGATAGGATAGGAGATGATGTTCCTAACAGTGTCGGTGTAATAGTGCGGAAGCGACTGCCGACCTAATTACCCACCGGAACATGAGGACGACAACTGCTGCCCTGACAAGGACTGCTGCCCTGACAAGGACTGCTGCCCTGACAAGGACTGCGATCATGAAAAGGACTGCTGCCATGAAAAGCACTGCTGCCATGAAAAGCACTGCTGCCATGAAAAGCACTGCTGCCATGAAAAGCACTGCCGCCACTAGAAGGACTGCCCGTAGGACAAGATATCGGAAGATCGTTGACGATACTACTTAGAGCAGCGAGTTGGTTGAAGTTGATCTGAAATCGCTTGTTTAAGACAATAGAAATCGTTGTTTTGCTACTTGCAGGCAGCAATAGTTTACCAAGTATTTAGACTTTTCGTATTATTTTACTCTTTTATATAGCAAATTTGAAGCCTCTCCTTTTTACCAGCTCTTCAACCATCATGTTTCGAGACAGTTAAAAGTCCAGGTGCCCTTTTTGCACGACCTAATTCATTTAGTATCACACTGTTACACGGGGGCTACTATCACGGGACTAAGGCACAAGGCACACCGACCTCTTGTATTTATAGAGCTTTGTATTCAACTAAGCCTTAAGGGAAACCAAGGACCTTTGATACCAAAGACCATGATAAGACGAATTGAGCTACCAACTCCCAGCCTTTTTCGAGCCCTTGTCGCTTTTAGGCACAAAGCTTCCAATGCACTGAACATGGTCGATTATAATAACCTCTAAAGACCTCGAGTTCTGTTCCCGGGAAATCCATATTTTGCGTTGCTCGCTTTTCAATTCTTGTCTCTTTGTGACCGTTTGCTTCTTCCTTTGGTATCTTATCCCTGCTCGTCCATTGAAGGATGACCTCTTTGTCGAGACCGCAAAGAGACGTAAATCACAATGTAAGCCTAGTGCTCACTGTTGAGACTAATTCATAATGGCCTGGATGTAAGAGTTTATTCTTATTGGCAAAGCTACAGGAAACGACTCGCAGGTCTGTCTCGAGTTAATGTCATCGACGTTTCACACCAAACAGGTAGTCCACCATCCCAAGAAAGCCCTACGTCTTGTAACTCTAGAGATTGCACTCTTTGATCCAAATCATTCGAATCTCATAGCAATGTGGTCGACTTCGGGGTCAGAGAATATAGCCACCCCACTGTACTCGGTGACGGTATACCTAGTTTTACAAACGCAGTTTCCACCATCGTCATCACTTATCGTCGACTGGTGAATTTTCGGCGGGTTCGTAGACTGGTAGAAGAGAATAACCTGCGCGTCCGTCGAGTTCGTCGACGACTTCCTGACGACCGCGGCGAGATTGCCTTTTGGCGTGGTTGTCAGAAGCTCAGTAGAGACAACCTCCTGTCCATCCGACCCTACAGCGAGACGCTTAATTTCATTTGCGCTAGAGGTGAAGAAAAGGAAGACGTCTTTTAAATTGGTGGATACGGCGTCGGTAGCAGCCAGCGGCGTGTGTGGAGAGGCTTTAGTTACGACACCGCCGACCTTTCGCGTTGCTATCATCAAGATCAATATATACAAACTTCATTTCAATTAGGCTCGTGTGGGTTTGTGGAACTACCTGCATCCTGTAGCCATGTCAGACCCAAGTTCGTCTGCTGGAAGAATACCACGGGCGGCTTGTTCGAATCCGACGTCCCGGTCGTGATGTCGATGCCCAACTCGGCGTGGACGGCGGCCAGGCCAGTACCGGTAAGGACTTTGCTGCCAAGATCTCGCCGATCCAGCACCCATCGATTCTCGTATCCGGTCACCTGACGGATGGCTCCGTTGCGATCCGTAGTCTGGTAGAAAACATGTATCTCATCGTCACAAACGCAGGACTTGACCGCGGCGATCTTGGAATAGTGGGCCGGAATGATGGATTGACCACGCAGAAATCCTCTGCACCAGGTGTCATTTTTGTAAACGGCATTGTTGAGAATGCCGTCTGTGTCGATATAGAAGATGTACTGTCGCGGAAGATGATGTTAGTCTGTCCAGATCCTATGTATGTTTTGACCTGCAGTTTTGCTTACTCTCTCTTCCGTATTCTTTCCAAACGTAGCTGAAATTGGAGTATAGAGCTTTATATCAGCGGCGCGCAAGTTGGTGATGGTGTAGGCTACCTGTGGCTGTCCGGGGGTCAAGGTAGCCTCGCATAGGTAGCCGCTTGAGGCCTGGAAATAGAGATAGATGACATCGCCATCTGCCAGTGCGGCTAGTGCAGTATCGTGGAGAATAGTAGTGGAAGCCATTATCGAGCGTGGTTTTGGTAATCAAGGGGCTGCAAAAAGAACGAAGTAGTAGACAAGCAGGTCGAAGACGAAGCAAGAGATAGACCTAATCCCAAGCTTGAGTAAAAGTCAAGTTTGTTGGTTTTCAAGTCTTATCCCTTTCTGATACGTATGGCGATGTGAATATCGTGCGAGATGGTGGGAAGATTTTATCTTATTTATACTGGTCGGGGCGTATCCATCACATACAGCCGGTCAGTGAGGAGTACCGTCCACTTCCTTTCTGCTGCAAAACGAAACCGTTTACTGCTGAAACAACAATATCCCTCTTTTGGTAAACTAAAAGTCCCCAACATACATCAACCGTTCACTTCGTTCATGCAGTATGCTTCTTGGAAATTCGTGTGTGATGGATGTGACAAACACAAGGGGCGAACCGGGCTCCACTTTGACCGCGACAATTGGTGAGAACGGCTTCACAAAAGATGATGGGCGTTATGTATGAGCTCTGATTTGGAGATGTACTGGTGCTATTCAGCCAATAAAAAGAAGCGACGTCGTAGGAAAGTGACCGGAAGAACATGCCGGTTAGTACTGGATGCACAGCATGCCCAAGCGTCCAAACCAGTCTTTCACTCAGAAATGAGGCGAGGTGGTGGATGGATTCGAGAGGGGGCTACCAACATTCTCCTTATGGATAGCCTAATTGATGAGTTATTTTACCAGTAAGCCCAGAGTTGCATTTTATTACCCACTTGACGACGTCTGGATGACGGTCGCATCCAAGGGACTCAGCTAAGATGGGCAAATCAAAATGTACTCTACCAAATTTATACAACTCTAATTCCAGGCAGAAGCTATCTGCTAATTGCAGGGCACAATAAATTATATAACTGTAATAACGTGTCAAATTATCTACGTACATACCCTAGCGGTCAAAGTATTCCATGTTTTTTCGTAAGCTTCGATGTAAGCCTGAAGTCATATATCCCCTGGTTGTGCGCAAAATTAGCCGAATTCGGATCAGTTGTGGATGGTTTGTGGCTGCCACAAGGACTTTCCACCGTTTCTGACCCCCAATGAGCAAATAGGTGAAGCTGAACCGAACCTTGTTGATTATGGTGTGAAGTCGTAAGATTTAGGGCAAGTTGGCCTACGACATGCTTTCCGCGTCGCCTAGAGTACATGCATATTTCGGTTACTTAAAACAATTGTGCTAGAGATATTAAATATATTAGTTTCTCTACACAATACTTCTTGCATAACGGTTTGTATACCCTGTCCGTCTCAACCAGCTCTGAATATTCCTCCACATAATGTGAAAGGAAAGCTCCCAGGGCTTCATTTCTTGCACCTTATTTCTTTGTCCGAAGATCTTACCTTTCCTGTCTGGCATGTATGATGAATGGCACAGCGCTCATGTTCTAGACCCAGCCCAATGATCAGCTGTAAGCCATGTTCCAAGTTTTGTGGTTGGCGAATTTCCCAATAGGACATGCTTGCGTGAATAGAGGGATGCCTAACTGCCGGACAGGGTGGAAGCCTTGTTGCCTTCCACGGCAGCGGTTCCCGACGGACATCGAAGGTGGACAGCCCGACAAGCTGAAAATGCACCCACAAACCTGAAAGATGAGGCGAACCGCATATACACGCAATACGTCTCGATTCCACTGTTTTGACCTCTCTCTAACTGCTCACTAAGCGTTGGTCATTGTTGAGTCCGCCTCGGGAGATACGCTAGTGCAAGTTAGAGGGGAAAATATGGACGAAAGATACATGTAGCTTTTTTCGCCAAAGTCAGCAGGTTTAGAAAGACTCTAGACACTCTAAACAGAATAAAGAAAGAGGATCTAAATTTTAGACTACGCCAGGGAATTTGCGACGGCATCGTTTGAGGCCCCTCAAATGGTAAGGTAGCTGAATGGCTAAGCCAACTCGCCATGTTCCTCGGACATTACACGTGCATAGACACTTGCGCAACGCAGAAAACTTGGCACAAGTCTCAATCCTTTCTGATCCGCAAATTCTATACAGAGGGTCTACTCGCATACTACGCTTTATTGGCTGCTGTTGGAGAAGAGCTTGTGGAAGTAATTGCTGAGGTAGTTAGACTGAATTACCCAAACCGAGGTAGCAGATAAGGTCTCGTCCAATACTTTGGGCGTGGATTAACCAGCTGTTGCATGCATGGAAACACACTCTTGCAGCAAATGTATTGAGCCCAATGTACCAATCCTAGGATGAAAAAGCCGTGCAAGAGAACAAGCATCGCATCTACGAAAAAACTACCAGGAAATAACAACATTAATTCGGCAGTAACAGGCTCCTCAGGCATCCAGCACAAATGTAATTCCATCAATAACGTCGCCCAAGAAGCTTCCATTCTCTGGTTCACATGCAAAAGCCCAGAACACGTGAGGAAGGTTCTCGTAGTGTTGCAACTTGGTTCGAACTCTGTGTAAATGCATTAGACATGATGCCTTTGGGGATGGAATAATGGCGTCAGAGGTGCTTGACTCACCCAGATTCACGGAGTACCTTTTCCATGATGAGGCCATCATCGCGTATTGGGTCGGCTCCGCATACCGCAATATATGTCGCAGGAAATTTTGTGAGCCGCTCGCTGTGTAGCACGTAGACGGACGAGTCGGCCGGGTCAGCTCCGAAAGCATCTGCGCAGGAGTTTTGTTAGCAACCCAGCTCTTGAAAATATGTTGCAGAGGAAGCTTGCCGTAAAAAGTATTCATCGCGGCGGCAGTGTTCATTGGAGCATTTGCATTCGTCTCAAACGACTTATATGCTGCTCTGTGAGCCGGGGGAACATTAGACGGGTGCACGACAAACGGCGACAGCGATATAATCCCCTTGACTTCGTGTCCGCGATTGAGGGCTATAAGCTCGTTGGGTACGGCAAACGCGAGGGTGCCTCCCGCGCTTTGCCCGATGGTGAAGTACTTGCTTGGGTCGCCGCCGAGTCGAGCAGCGTTTTCGAAAGCCTGTTCACGTCAGCCGCCGCATCCGTTTTTTTGGCAGCAATTTGAAGACGTACCCAGGTCCAAGCATCCACTGCGTCGCGGACCTGAGCCGGCGCCTTGTGCTCTGGCGCAAGCCTATACGAGACAGAGATCACAATCAAAGGAAGCGCCTTGGCGAGCATGCGACAAAAGTTGTCTTCGCTGTCAAGGTCGCCGCAGCACCAGCCTCCGCCGTGAAAGTAGATGCCCACCGGGAGCAGGCGATGCTTGTCCTTGGCGGTTACATCTGGGGTGTACGTGCGTACAGCCAAGTGCTTGGTGATGGCGACATCTTCTACAAGCTTTGGTTTGAGCATCTTGAATAAGTTCAGATGGGTCCAGTTGGCAGCCACGTACCGACAGCTTCCAATGCAGGCTTGGGATAAAGGGCACCAAGCTCCTCGGAGAATTGCTTGTACTGCTGCCTCATGTCGAGCGCGCTACCAGACATGTTTGGCCTTTGTCCAAGCTCCCTTTCAATCTATAAAATTGTTAGAATAAATCGAATCAGATGTAGCAACAATACGCTTACTCGATGCCAAGCTGGCGCCAGCCGCTTGTCCATATCGAGTTCGTCCATCATGGCCGGCAATTATTGCTTTGAGATGTTGAATTATAGTGACTGAAAGAATGGGAATCGAAGAGTCTCAATCAAACTATTGCAGGCGCATAATTTTCCACATGTGAATTTAAACACAGACCAAGTTGGATGCAGATTTTTATTTTTATTTTTTAGTCAAAGTATGGCTTTCAAGATTTCGGATTTCATGACGCCACCACCGAAATGCTGTCACATCCAGGGGCTGATTACAAAGAGGTCGGGTGTTTCCGGCCTTAAGAAGGCTCTAACGCGCATAATATTATAAATGTCGAGTCAATGGTGTCTCTCCTCGGTTCATGGAAAATTGATGATTCAACAAGTGTGTGCCGAGGCAAGTGATTATTGAACATATTAATGGCGTTCCTCATGGAGTCATGATCCACTATAACCGATTTGCCGAAAATTTCATGGTCTAGGACTTGCACTTTTGTGAGATTTTCTGAATTATAGGCTATTCTGATGGACTTTGCAGCACACAGGCATCAGTGTACACATACACGGTACATATTCTTGGTGTAGAGGATCGCATACGTTCTTATATTTGACTATTGCTACAACTTGGTGCTTTGACCTCTTCATCGATAAAAAGCATAATATATCCTGTCACCTAATCGACCGCTTCTTTGCTACGTACACACTCATCTACGTGGTAAGATGGCGCCGTAGAAAATCAAGCTGTGCGTCGATGTTTCTATCGAAAGCATCGCCCGTGTAGATGTCAAAATGGCCCACGCCTTCCAAATATACCAGCTGCTTCGGCTCCCGCGCCTTTCCAAACGCCGCCAGCTGCGACGAAGTCGAGACCAGAACGTCGTTGCCGGGGACAACCATGAGTAGGGGAGTGGGCGATATGCGATGAATCATGGCTTGCGCCTCAAATTCTAGCATATGGAGCTGCGTTTGCGACGTGACGTAGTTTTCCCATTGACCACCACACGCCAATTGCTCCTCGATCTGGTCGTAAACATGTGTCCCGGGAAACATTACGTTTTCTGATCCTTCTTCAGCGGCCTCGCGACTAGATGCGATGACGGGCACGCGACGCGGCTGTTTTCCAGCTGCAATTCGAGCTCGGTCTTGAAAGACGAACGGGATTTGGTCGGCAAAGGCCACCGACCTCGTCTCTCCAGACACAGCCGGCGCCTGAACAATAGCGGCTTTGATACGCTTGTCAACGGCTGCGGCGTATATGACGTTGCCCCCGGAAAAGCTGGTGCCCCAGTATACAATCTGCTTTGGGTCGACGCAGGCCTTTGTCAATGCATAGTTGAAGGCGTCATAATAATCGGTCTGCTGCAGCGCGGGGTTGGACTCTTGTCTGGGAGTGCCGTCGCTATCTCCCCAGTTGCGGTTGTCATACAGAAGAACCGTGTATCCGGCCTCGTGAAATCGGGTCGCGAACCGGGGGAGACGGAAATGGCGTATACCGGCCAACTTGTTCCCGTCAGCACGCTTCTCCAGGGGCCAACAGATGGGTCATTGGTGATTTACTCACTCCATGGGTCATGATGATGCATGGGGCCGGCTTTTCTTGGGGGTAGAACCACCCTCGCAGCACGGTGCCATCGCACGCCTTGAATTCGACAGTCTCTCGAGAGGGTGGCATTTTGGACGCGTAAACTACAAGGTGGCCAAATAGGAAAGACTACGGAATTTTGCGAGCAAGGCCCTTCAAGCACGGTATTTGAATCCCAGGGTGCAGGGGTTGTACAAGGCGGTTCGTACTCACCCAGGCCGAGGTCATTAGGGTCATGATAGAACGTGTTATCATGAAATTTCTTGAGGTGCCGTGAACTCCGTTGTCGTGCTCGCCATGACGCTGTCCGGCATGTCCGAATCCCGATGCTATGAAGCAACATTTCTAACATTCTACCTGGTGGTCAAGCCCCACCTAAAAATCGATTTGTCGAGTTGCTCAACAGTGAAAAGAGCTGTCATCACTTGCTCGCATCACGCTGATGCCACCTTGCCGGCTTTCCGCTTGCTCTTGCCCAGCGCGTTGTATGATGAGGCGATGACCCGCTGCCGAGGAGGGTCCACTTATCTGCCGGGGGCTGCTTTCGGAAGTGGGGCCTCGGCCGACAGGGGTTAACAGCCGCTGCCGCTGCAGACATGCAACATTGATTGGAAATCAAAGGGAGATTATTCAAGTAGATTGGGCTGGAGTCGGTGGTGTGCGCATTCAGCCGCCACTAAAGCGGTGCCAGAATTCTTTGGGACAATCAACTTAGCGATCTGCAGCAAGTGAGATCTGCAGCAAGTGGGATTTACAACCTATCTCGATGGCGTATTTCACCTGCTATTCGAACAAACCCCAGACCAGAGTTATACAGTATTTCGTTAGGTACTTGTTGTCACGACCCATATTTCAGGCTATGGCGACGGTAGAGTACGGTAAGTGTTTTCAAAGGCAATTTGTTTTCATTTAGTTATTGGTAAAGCCACGTAGTTAGGCTTCTACATATAGTCTTATTATATACTTGGTAGACTTATTTGTCCTTGACCAGGACAGCCCCTGCCCACACAGAACCGGGGTTCAGCCTCGCAGGATACAGTTCAACCATGCGGTGGTAAAGCTCCTCAGCCGTGCTCGTGTCCTGGCTAAGCCGCTCAAAGTTGTCCAAATAATTCTTCGTTTCCTGGATGGCCGTGGGGTCATAGCCCTTGTCTGGGTCGCTGTGGCCTCCCACTACCCATCGGGGGTTCAGAGCTGCAATCTTGTCTAGGGCGGCAATCCACCCTAGCCTTGCCTCCTTACTGCCCGATTCTCCAAGGAACGGGTGGGTGTTGGCGTACACGGCGTCCCCGACCACGGCGAGGCCAAGAGAAGGCACCCAGAGCGCTGTCGAATCATCCGTGTCTGTGTGGCCGGTTCTCACCACAATCAGCTTCTGCCCCTCAAGCTCGAGAAGGCCCTCTTGCAGTGGCTCTGCAACCCGGGGAGGCTCTGTGGGTATTTGACCGGGGAAGAGCTTGTCCCAACCACCACGGAGTCTCTCTGGGGTCACCTCGTTACTCATTCGAGCCACTACCTCCGGTATGGCAACCACTTTTGCGTTGGGAAATTCTTTGAGAAGCGGAGCGCTGCCGAAGAAGTGGTCTCCGTGACCGTGTGTAACGTAAATGTGCGTTAGATTCTTCCCCTTGGCGACTACCCAGTCCGAGAGGTCTTTTCCAGCCTCGATCGTCAACTGCGCGTCGACTAGAATGGCATCGCGAGCTCCATAAATAAGTGTCGAGCTGGTTGGCACCCATTTTAAATGGTCGTGGCCAGCAGGACCGGTCCTGGTTGCGCTGGGCCGTCGACTGAAAAAGACGTCAAAGGTGAGAGTCATTATGCTGTGGTGTTGCGAAAGGATCAATATGTTCGAAGTTGTGGACTTGGCAATTCTATTTCCTTTGAAATCTTTCTTCCTAGGAGCACAAGCTTTTATTCTTTCAAAGCGGCCCGGATACCCGGCACCATGGGGACATTTTGTGACGACTCCACAATTTCGCCATCCTGAAGGATTCAAATCCCGCCACTAAAAATGGGCACCTATTGCGCAACAAGTATGTATGTATGCATGTCGGCAGCCAACTAACCAGACTCTCCATCCGGGATCTGAGTTGTGGCCGTGCCGCGGGATGCGAGGCTGGTGAGGATCCGTAATCGACCTCAATGGATTAGTTGATCGATTTGAATAGATTCCATTTTCACTGGAACTTGTTGACGCGATACAACTTCTCCTGGGCCTCGAATATCTCGGTGCTGCCGCGTCGAACGTAGCACCCAGGACATCCGAATGTAACGGTAGGCTACTCCGCCGAGATTCGCGGTGGCGTTGCGGGCCTGGCGCCGATTACTCATCCCTCCACGCCGGGCGGGGCCGCGTCCACTTGCATTTGTGTCAGCCTCGGCGCGGCGCGGCGGAATAAATACAACTCTGATGCAGCCCGCAAAAAGGTTCATGTTTATAACTTTTTTTTTTTCTACAACAATATTCTATGCCACTATCATAAACCCATCGCCTTTCCTCAATGCACGAAATGACCTTGCCAAAATATCAAGTCCTCGTGACTGCGGGCGGTGAAAGTGAAGAGCAAGCAAGAAAGAGAAGGTCACTCTACATTCGGCCTTTTGTGCTGTTCTGGGCCAGCTCAATGTTGGCTGAAATTCTCTTCCTGGTCGTGGCCGTACTCTTCTTCTCGGGTTGGAGGGACATTGTGTACAAGATGATATGGACGCTGATTCTGTGCCCACTTGGGATGGGCGGTGCCATGGCGGGCATCACCACTTACTTCCTAGTAGACCACTATTATGGCCAAAAGGCCGTTTGGTTCACCGCTCTTCTATCTCTGTTGGTTTTCGGAAGCTGCAACTACCTTTGTTTCGTCCTTGATCATTATTTCGATTATTTTGGCGCCTCATCTCATCCGCTTTGGTTTCATTTGAGGTATCCGGTCATCTTCATGTCTGGCTGGTCCTCGGGAAAACTACTCTTCACCGACGAGGGTCAGAAGACATTGGTAAACCTTGGGCTCTAGAAGTGAGATTCTGGATTCTTCCAGGTGTCAGGCTACCAATATGTCACAGCCAAGGCGACCATTGGTGCACGAGACATCTACGACACTGCGGGCGGCAGTAGTGATGTCATGAACATAAGGAACAGATGGGTCAATACGATTTGAAGGATGAATATTCACGAAGGGTTACGATTACTATGGCGTGTATATTCGGGGTCCTAGGACTTTACCCCTGGCCTTGACGCCAAGAAGAGAGCTTATGTTGGGTGTTGGCCAAGGGGGGAATACAGAGCAACAGAATTGCCGAGGACATGAGACAACGAAACTGTAAGCGATGAGCCCGATGTGGCTCGATATACATTAACTCCATCTCGAGGAGAAATGCCAAAGAAAATAAGAGGGGACAATGCAGACGAAAACTACCGATAGCTTTCCCCGTTAGGCTAAGAGGCCTGGAAAGACACTACATATGTAGGCACTCAGCTTATAAGATGGTAAACAAATATACTTCAAATTAATTTTATATTCGAGTTAAGAGGTGACAGCTATATTATGTAAGACCTATTCAATATTAAAAAGGCGAAGTACCTAATGTATTCTCCATATTCATCAAGGATAGATAACAGGCATTTCATGTACCTGGACTCTTGCCTAACGCAGAAAACTTGGCACAAATCTCGATCTTTTCTAGTCCATTTATTTTCCATAAGGAGATTTCAGAAACAGGTCAGATCAAAATATAGCACAAGAGGCTGAATCGCTAGCCCTCGTGAGGCGTCTATTACAAATGTTACTGAGTCTACAAAACCTAATGGAAACCTGCATTTTCTAAGATTACTCCATCTCTTACAAAAAATAAACGCAGTGCAGGAAACGAGATAGGGGCTTCTCTGCCAATATTTTCACGTTTGCGCGACGCTTAGATATTGGACAATCTTCTTTGACTCATGGATCTACAGTCGTTTACTCTCCCGTAATAGTCAGTTTTAGCCCGCCTTAGGAGATAAATTGGGTTGCTAATAGGAGACTCGCAGTCTCCAAATCGAGAGTAAATCCGACGGATACTATACGTTTCTTACGTGATGAAATGAAGTAAGTGAGATGGAAACAAGATATAGGTTTAGCCGTGTACTTGTCAATTGCGATGTGTCATCGCCTTGGCCCCCGTACTAATATGATGAGGTTATTTAACTTGCAATGCATTTCCTATACTTCAATACATACGCTCCGTAAGATTTAAACTTATAATGGGCGTCCCAGGTATTTTGAAAAGCTATTTAATAGTACATGGTAGTTCCGGCATTCCAGAGAGGACGTAGTTGGATTGGCAGATTTAGCAAAGTGACGAGATTGTTTTGTTTTCTTACAAGACAGGAAACGAAATTTCAACTAAGATCCCAGAATATCATTGCCATTTGAGTCAAAACCTATACGCAAACTTGTGGTCAAATACTCTCCCAGAATTCCTTCATTATTGGAACATGTTAGGGCAAGAATTGCGTGACGGTGGCACACAGCACGATTATCTGGGACAGTTGGGACAAAATGAAACACTCTTGGTTCTATAATTAAAAGCGCGGAACTGTGAATAAGTACTTGGCTGCAATACCGCTGTCTCGATACCGATATTACGATTTCCCATGGGTACTTTAACAATGGCGCTGCGTGCGACATGGTTAAATTGATGTCGACTGAGAAGAAAAATTGTCACGCAGCCAAGGGGTCCCAAGAGACTGAGCAGCCACACCTATCTAAACTTGTCGTGCATGAAAAGAGATGAACAATTGCCTAAAGCCTGTCCATTAAGCAGTCACCGCACGCCCCTTATCATGGACGAAGAATACATCCAGCTGGTCATTTCTCACCCGAAATGTCTCGGCAAGTCTTATGTAGAGATAACAGACAGGACCATCCGACATTCAAAGGAGAAGCGCTAAAGGTTACGAAGGAAGCACACCCCTGGTCGTTCTTGCAGGCCTCGTGGCATGCTTTCGGGGTGGTGTCTCTGATGACACGATAATAGTCGTTGGGGCTGTTATTCTCATTCACCTCTGGAAAGCCGCAAATTTGTAGCGACGCGGCACAATTTTTATCATAAATCAAGAATAGCCTTTCAATATTCTTTTCCGTCCTAAAAGCGGTGGGAGAGTTAGAGAACCGGTAGCAGATGTGGCCGTCTAACTGCTGGTCGGAAAAGGCCCATGTCATAGAGGTAGCGCACTTCTGGTCGTCCTGGCAGCCCTGGTGACACGCCTGTGGACTGGTGTTATTCTAGTAGTCGTCTGCCATTTCCCACGGACTTATTTGATCGCCACAGACCATGTTGACGCTGGGAGGGTTAGCTCTTGACTTGATGAAGTCGCGCTGTGTGTATGTTGTTAGCTCCCGCTTATGCTGTGGTAATCGGGTACGATGAGGTTCATACACATACCCACCTGCGTGGGAAGCTGCTTAGGTGAAAGGCAAGAGCATGCCCCAGGCAGTTATGACAGGTAGAGTTAACCACTTCATAATGGTTCTTAAATTTGAAGTTTACGAAGAATTGGTATATAGATGGGGAGATATAGATGACGAGAGTGGTTGGTGGGTGTAATAATCTCTCCTAGTGGTGTAGGGAGTTTGACGCTTTTATCTTTGTTTTTGATCTCGGCATCGCGAAGCCAAGCGATCCTCAAGCCAAGCATTTAAAACGGTTACGTCTGGTACGCTCTCTCGCGCGACGCTAAGGCACCAGTCCCAACTGTACGGCAACGCGCATATAATGCAGCCGAGTTACTAGACTCGGTGCATTATAGAGACGCAATGGAGCTTATGTGAAAGTTCCTTGTAGTTTCATGTATCATGCTGGGGTGGCTATCAACGACGATAATCTGCGCCAGAAGAAACAACCACGATGACTGACTAATCGAATAGTTTCATCATACGAAATTTATATGAGTTTCTTCAATAAACACGCTGCCAAGTTGCGCTGATGAACCAATCGTCGTGCAGAAAAAAGAAGAACAATGATTACGGTAATCTTGCACCGCGTCTTTGGGGCAGTGCAGCTCAGACTGGCCGAGATGAGATGGGCGTTGTCTGTCATTTCAAGTGCGCCATACAGTCGGCTACTTTCTCAATTCCTACTTTAAATGTGCCAAGTTGCGTATCAATTGATTTGCAAAAATGAACCAATCATGTTGCAATTTCTCGACACAGGTGTGTTTGATGTACATAGACTCGGAGCATATCAACCATGTCGCTGCTCCACACCCAGCATTTTTGCGCTTTGCATGAGCAACCTCATTTGGAATCATGATCTTTTCTTCGTAAATTATGTCTCCCCATTGAACGGTGCCATAAAACAAAGAAAATAAGCCACCGCTTGACATCGCATGATGTAGAACTTGATCCGCGAATCAGGATGTCGGGCTGCATGTTCGCCGAGCAGTGTTGGGATGATGTTGAATCCACAGTTCCACAGTTGACTCTTTTTTTTTTCAGAAGTATTAGAAAACTAATGCAAGCAGCGAGGCCCTCCTCTCTGGCCCAGGGCGTTGTTCGGCGCAGGTTGAGTTTCACCGGCCTGGTATCACGCAGTGTACGAGTCAAAGAATCGTATTTGCGGTTTACACAAGAACGATCCATGTCAGATTTATAGAACCGAGATAGCTTTTCATTAACAACGACATCAAATTATAACAATGGTTTTTGTCTGGGTCTCATATTTGACGCGCGCGGGTGACCGAGCTCTTCCTCCAACTTCACGACTGAACCCGAAGCCCTTCGATATTCCCGTTTGCCACACGCTGAGCTGCTTGATCCAAAAGCTTCAGCTCCTTCACAAGTGGGCAGTCTTGACCAGCCATGCACTTCCCCATGTACGTGCTGTCCACGTTACGAAGTCTCCCGGCGATGTCGGTGACTGACCCCTCATTAAATGCGGTTTTAGTAGGCCAGAGATACAAACGGCGAAGGATGTCGAAGTATTCCATTTTTCGGCTTTGATTCGTACACGATAGGGGCCTGAAAGCAGTGTTGCGGCACGGGTGACATTTCCTTGCTCCAGAAGGCATAACCCTGTCGCATACCATACACACCTCTCTGTGACATATCATGGGATGAGCACATACCGGAGCTCCTAGATGTTCAAATACCAGCTCTATGCTGTCCCTGATATCCTCAGTCATGCCTCTAATTCTTCGGGCGAGTTCATCTGAATGAAATTAGCACAGGCCCTGAACTTGATACCATTTGTTGAACTGACTCTGAAGGTTTTCGGGGAGAAACAGTTCATCATTAGCAACATTGAAATTTGGTGGCAGATTTCGAATTGCGGCTACAGAGGTTGTATTGAGATATTCTTCAGCTCCAAATATATGAGCAGCAGTAAGAAGATAATCGAAGTGCCTGACAGAGCCGGGCTTTTGTGCCTTTTGCATCCACTGCATAATCCACGGCGTGAGAGGTTTGTTGCATTGGTATTTGTCGCTGTGTTGAGCCACCTTGAGTATCATCTGCGGTTCAAGATGGTGAAGATTGGGCTGGAAGCTGTAATGCAAGATTGATAGAATAATTTCCATCACCTCTGGGTCATCTTCATGTAGAACGATTTCGGTATTGCCTCCGTTCTGGATCGCTTTGCCTTCCGAGAAATCCCAAATGAATAAAACGCTGAAATAGTCGGAAGAAATTTTCAGAATCTCACTAGAGACCACGAAGCGCTTATGCTCAACGACGAGAGTGACATCTCCATTCGTGCACAACTCAACGGTTGTTGTCTCCGGTTCCGACTGTGGAGAGGTCACACGCATCAGAGCCATCTCGTCCGTGAGGGATTCCATGTTGTGTCGGAAACGCAATGCTGCGAACGAAAAGAAACGGAATACGCAGTGAGCGAAAACAGGAAAGGAGAAGTGTTGACGAGAAAACAGGCATCGGTGGAGAGCTTGGTTGCCCTTAATAAACAAGAAAAATGCAAACTTTATCTGGCCCTGTGAATGAGTTTTGACCACGCGTGCCTTTACTGGATGCATTGTAGAATGAAAAGTGAGCGGCAAGTGAATGGCAAGTGAGCGTAGCTTTGCGACCTCAAGTGTCAATAGCATGTGGACAAACAAACGGCGTTACAATCACTACTAGTGTGATGAATTGGCACCGTTGGCATTACAAACAGACGACCCAGTTGTCAGCCAGTGAGCCATGGAGGAAAAACATCAATTGATGCGTTGTTAGACAGAGGAATTGACCTTTCGAAGTTGATCAAAAACAGCTGCCAGATATATGTAGCCTAACATGGAAAGCTTATCCCCAGTGCCAGGTCTATGAAATACAAACACCAGTTGACCCTACCAGTTGGCATCCAAACAGGAAGGAACGAGACACCTTTTGACCTTCCATACCTAATGCGTTGGAGAGCGCATGGCATGCGGGGGCTATTCGACTGCAGAATCACGATGGTTTGCTCCTTCGGTTTTGGTGGAAGAGTCTGGTTTACGCAGGAAAATTTCCCTCAAGTGCTCAATGCTCCCAGCCAAAATAGCACTGAGCCAGCTTGGCCGCCGTCAATTGGTCAAGTCAATTTGCAATAAAGACTCCGAGTGCATTTATTACCCAGCACACAACTCTGCTTACACTCTCCGCCGTCAGTTTGTGGCTGGTGAGAGCGCAGCGACTGGCCCAATGCTGCGACACGCGTTTGCAGGCGGTGAAGATGACAATTGACGTCAGCAAACAGTTGACCCCAGTCCCGGGTGTCTCGGCTAAAGCCTGTCCCGGCGCCAGACGACTTTAACTTCTCGCACACATGTCAGGGGTTACCTTTCCAACCACGGAACTCGCCACGACACCACGAGCCTCGAGGGTTCTGCAAATGATGAAGGAGCCCCGTGTTATGCTTTGCCTGAGCGTCAATTGGCAGCGTAACGTTGCCCCCGTTCCAATGCCGATTTCTGTCCAAGCACAGCTGCACAGGTCTGCTCCTCCTGCTCGATAAGGTTAGCGGCTGCATGTCCCAGCATGAACGATGTGCCGATCGAGGACGCCCTCGAGTGCGGGAGGAACAAAAAGCCTTCAAAGCAGCGTGACGCTAGTCCGGATCCGTCGATTCATCCACAAGCTTCAAAAACGCCGATTCGCCGCTTTTACTATACCAGAGGTGGGGTGTGGAGCCTGACGGAGCGTTGGAAGTCAAGTCTGGTAGCATCGGCATTGACCTCGACACTTCAAATCTCATCACAACAGCTGACCACGATGAGCGCTTTGTGCCCAAGTAGACAAGGCACCATGCGGCCGGAAATCATTCCGACCCCGTCTCTGCTCTCCGAATCACTTTGTTTTTTAAGCCATGGGGCCGTCGTCTACCCGTGCCGTCTAGTATACTTGTAAGTTGTCATCGTTCAACCTGGGGAGCACCAATGCTCAACAACGCCATCATTGCTGTAGCCGCCCTTGCGGCGCTCCGTCCCGTCGACGCCATCTGGCCCGTTCCCCAGCAAATCTCCACCGGACAAGATGTTCTTTTTGTTGACAAGTCCATTCAAGTCACTTACAATGGCGAGCCTGTACGTTGGAACCAAGTCCCCTCCCTCTCGTCATATGCAAAGGTCAACGGTGCCTAACGACGGATAGGTCTCGCACGATGGCGCCGGCGAGACCAAAGAGTCACCCAGCTCCAGCAGTCAGGTCGTTCATGGTGCTGTTGCACGCAGCTTAACTGCCATTTTTGAACATGGTCTTGTGCCGTGGATGCTGAACCCGCCGGGATCCGACTTTGAGCCCGCCCTGGATGGCGGCGCGGGCAAAGTCACGTCCTTGACCATTACCCAGACCGGAGAGGACAACGCCACCGTCTTCAAGCCCCTCGCCGGCCAAGTCGACGAGTCGTACTCGCTCCATCTCGAGGCAAATGGCGAAGCGTCCATCGAGGCCGTCACCTCGACCGGTCTTGTCCGCGGCCTCGAGTCCTTCACCCAGCTCTTCTTCAAGCACAGCTCCGGCGACGCCTTTTACACCAAGCAAGCGCCCGTATCTATCCAGGATGCGCCGCGATTTCCTCACCGCGGCCTGGTCCTCGACCTCAGCCGGCACTGGTTCGCCGTCGACGACATCAAGAGGACCATTGACGGCCTGGCCATGAACAAGATGAACGTGATACACCTGCACATCACCAACACCCAGTCCTGGCCCCTCGAGGTCCCAGCCCTCCCCAAGCTTGCCGAAAAGGGCCGCTACGCCCCCGGCCTCACCTACTCGCCGCAGGCCATCCAAGAAATCCAAGAGTACGGCGTCGCCCGTGGCGTCCAGGTGCTTCTGGAGATCGACATGCCCGGCCACGTCGGCATCGACAAGGCCTACCCGGGCCTGAGCGTCGCATACAACGAGAAGCCGTACGACAAGTACTGCGCGCAGCCGCCCTGCGGCGCCCTCAAGCTCAACAACACCGACGTCGAGAACTTCGTCTCCACCCTCTTCGACGACCTGCTCCCCCGCCTGAGCCCATACTCGGCCTACTTCCACACCGGCGGCGACGAGTACAAGGCCACCAACTCGCTGCTAGACCCGGACCTGCAGACGGACAACATGACGCTGCTCCAGCCCCTGCTGCAGCGGTTCCTCGACCACGCCCACAACAACATCCGCGGGCACGGCCTCGTCCCCATCGTCTGGGAGGAAATGGTGGAAGAATGGTCCGCCGACGTGGGCAACGACACCGTCGTCCAGGCCTGGCTCGGCTCGGCGTCGGTCGCGAAGCTCGCCGCCGCCGGCCACAAGGTCATCGACTCCACCTTCGATGTCTACGTGCGTCCCTCCCTCCAAACACGTGGCCAGAAAGAAGACTAACTTGTGATAGTACCTCGACTGCGGCCGCGGCCAGTGGCTCGACTTCAAAGACGGGCCGAGCCTCGACGCCGCGTACCCCTTTGCCGACTACTGCTCGCCCACCAAGAACTGGCGGCTCATCTACAGCCACGACCCGGTGGAAAACATGACGGCCGAGGCGGCCGCCAACGTCATTGGCGGCGAGGTGGCCGTGTGGACGGAGATGATTGACCCCGTGAGCCTCGACACCCTCGCGTGGCCGCGCGCCGCCGCCGCCGGGGAGGCCTGGTGGTCGGGGCGCAAGGACGGCGAGGGCAATCTTCGGTCAGTGTTCACGGCCCGGCCGCGACTGGAGGAGATGAGGGAGCGCATGCTGGCGCGGGGCGTGAGAGGCGCCGTCATTTCGCAGCTGTTTTGCGGGCAGTCGCCGCTGGAGGATTGCGCGGCGTAGAATCGCGATGGCGTAGAATTTTGGTCGTAAATAAATTTTTGGTACAGAAATTGCCGTGGTTCGTCTTTCATCGTGTGACGCGATATCTGAGGCTGTACATGTCTATTCTCGAACTAAGCACAGGGTTAGTTATCACGACATGTTTAACAGGTAGATGCGCTTCCTACTCTTCATGAAGCTCAGTCTTGCTTCAGTCCGAGACACAGCCGCCAGCTTCACCCCGCTGATGATTCCTGCCACACTTGGACCGAGGTAGTCTACTCCAACTCGTACCGCGCATTTTCCGGCGCCTCGTGAATCGCCGTGCTGTCCGCGCACATTTCCGCTCTCTCCGCCTCTTGCTCGCCGCGCTCCGCCTTTGCACATTCTTCTTTGTAGTCCTTTAGTAGCGGCGGCGGGCCGTCATTGGCCTCGAGTTCGACGGGTGGTTCGCGCTCCTGTTTCAGCCTCCGCTGCCTCCTGCGTCTCAGAAACAGGAAGATAGAGAGTCCGATCACCGCCATGATACCCACACCTCCCAGGACCCCGCCGACTATGGCGCCGACTGGCGTTTGCTTCGAGTCGGCGCTGGAACTTGCCGTCGGCGACGGGGTAGGGCTCGCCGTCGGCGACGCGTCCTTGCAGTTGTCCTCGGAGAAGTCGTACTGCGCCTGGTTCAGGACCCTAGAGGCCCCGGCGGCGACCTGTCGAACAATAGGCTGTGCAGCCTGGGGGACCTTGGCGATGATTGCCTCCGTGAGGCCCAATGACCCCGTGTTGATGCTAGCGATTCTGGAGTGAACGTCGCTGCACGCATTCGCCTTTTCAATGTCGGGGCGCTTGGTTTTCAAGTCGGCGGCCAGGGTTTCAAAGTCCTTGTTCTGGAGCAGAACAGGGCCGTTCAAACCCAGAGAATCGACGAGTGTGACGACCTGCGAGGCATTGACTGCATCCTTGCCTGTTGCTATGGTGGAGATGAGGGTATCGGCGTTGGTCTTGATCGCGTCGATATTAAAGTCTGTAGTAGCCTTGTCGAGGGCTTCGACGCTGGAAGACACATTAGACAGAGCACCGGTAAGGACATCGATCTGGGCATAGACAGTAGCAGCCGCAAAAGCGATTGCTGTTGTGATGGGAGGCTTCATGCTGTTGGAAACAAATTCGCAAAACTAAACAGACTGCAAGGCTGGCGGGTCTGCATCCGGGCGCTGGTCAATATAAAGCGAAGTCGAGCAGCGGGGGCGGAGGAAACAGAAACAGGATTCGGGAGTAAACAGGAGACACGGCAAAACCCATCCCCCCTCTTGCCCCGGCAGCCTTTAATGTGGTTTCTCCATAAAGGCTCCACGAGCTGAGAAGCAAGTGTAGAAACGGGCAGCAAGAAACAAGGTGTGGCATCCACGCCCATGCCGAAAATAGCATTATTCCCCAGGGCTGCAGTCCACTATTAGCCGAATGAGTGGAGAAATGGGAAATTGTGTAGTTGCGACGCGAACATGGCGTTCATGAATCTCGATTTGGGGCTGAGCGCGCAAATTACCCACCAAACTTGGAGGAAGCCCGAGTTTTAAAGTGTTATGGTTATGCGTTATGCTAGCGTTGAAAGAATGCAGAACCATGCCATGCTCTATCGCCAAGAAAAATTGGTCGAGTCGTCTTTCCTATTCATCTGATAACAGGGCCTGGTGGGTTATGACAATTAGGGTTAGGGTTATTGGAGTTGGCAAGAGCTGTAGATTTCTGATGCGAGTAACCTGGTACCAGGGTGTGGGTAATTACTTGTGACCGCACGCTACGATCTCGATATTTAATTTATTTGATAGCATTATAAGAAAGTGATATGAGAGTTGTTAGGCCCCTTGCGAAGCTGGCCTGGACTTAAATGATGTATATCTCAGATAAGGGGACGATTTAACTGAGAAAAAAGGGGTAGCCTTTTTCCCTTTTTTTCCTAAGTTTATTTCTACTTTTAGTAATATATATATATATAATAGCAGGTATAGCTAATTATTTCAATAATCGTATCTTTACTACGCAATACAACTTATAATATCGCGATGCTCGTAGCTGGCCACAGTGTCCACAACAATTACAGCTAGACATAGAAGTCATAGCCGGTCGCCGAACGGCCTGCTGAGGGTGTGAGATTCACTTGATTATTCTCGCCCGCTTTGCCTGTCACTAGGACGACTCGTTCGTTGGCATCATGGTCTTGTTAATAGGGTCCTGGGCTTCAACTTAGGAATGTTAAGGCTAGGCGTCATGCATGACAGGTAGGATACAGACTGGGAGAGTAGTTGCGCCGAGCACATTGCTGTCACGCATGCACTCTTGTCAGACCTCGAAATCCTCGACGGCTGAGAATTCTTGTGCAAATGTCTGGTACTTTATCCCCGAAGTAGTACCGTCTCACCAGACTCTTATTGTACCTATGGATGTCCCTTGCACGATTCGTCTAGGGTGTTGAGTCGTTGAGAATACCTCAAGGAGTTTTGAGGCAGCACAACCCGTGACGTGGAATCGGAAAGAACAGCGTACATGCTGAACAGAAGCAACACCAGGCACCAAGTAGCAGGCCAATGATTGTGCTGCAATACGCGCCCTTGGGAGGCCAAGCTTGGACCAACACGAATAATTGCAAAAGATCATCGCAACAGCCTTTCTCCGTCCATTCGGTTCAACACGGCATGTTTAATACGTCGTTTTCTCAGAAAGGTTAGCCTGTTTCAAAGGCCACAATGGTGTCGACGTTGTTTTGAAAGGACTTTCACTTGCCATTTGGGTACTCGAGATTCGTCAAAACATGTCGTGTTGGCGCTCTGACCAGGGTTTCTCATTACTCTCAAGACGGCTCGCATGCAAGGTGACTAAAATAGACGGACGTGTCGGCATGAAATAGCCTTGTGCCATAATTGATTGGCCACCATTACGTACGCCATTACTCGACTTTGAGCGTCTCTCGTCAAATATAGATTCTGAGACGCCTGTTGGATTAATCAGAGGCACGGGCCGTACCTTGAACCTGACGATAGTTACACAAGAACTCGAGACCTAGTTGAGGCCTTAGGCCTCTAAGCTCACTTGTTCACTGCTTCTTCAGATAAATCAAGGTTATACGCCCTTCAGGAAACCAAGGACCTTTGATATTCAAGCAAATTATTAGCTGAACACGAATTCATTCCAAGCCCTTGGCACACAGGTCGTGAATCAACAACATCTCTCCATCCTCAGTCGTCTCATTTCACCTGAACAAAATTAGATTCGTAACCATCATGTGTTTTTACGTTATCCCACGGAAGATGTTTCAACAATGTCGACACACGCGGCCGGACGGCGCCCCAGGCTACGACTTGTGCAAAGGTGTCAAGGAAGGGACGAAGAAGCAATGTGCGCCTCTTATTACGGATACAAGCAAATGTAAAATTGTTCCTGGAAAGTGCCCGTCTTGTCATTAATGTGTAAGTCTAGCCTGGAGCAGGACAGCTGCCCAGACTAACACTGGAATAGCCGAAGAACACCAACAATTTTGGATACTGTCTACGGGGGCAAGATTGATGGATTGTTTCACGATCGGATATATGGAGCAATTCGGCTCGTTGGGGTCCTCAATAGGCTAAGGCAACCAACAGGCGGAAGTAAGGCCATGTCTATTATAGCCGTGTATAGTTTGAGTGTTACATGAAGTTAATCCCCGATGTGATGGCAAATTGTGTGATCCTCATGATGCCCGAAGCTCTGTCTCGGCGACTCTGCGAAAAGTGGATGCCTCCTACAAGAGGAGGTTTTATTTCTTTATTGAGGTCCGGTCTTCTTCATTTCCTTTACAACAAGTCCCAAGCTTTCAAAGCACAAGCCGCGGGTGGGGCATCTCGGGTCGATTGATCCTCTGTGGAGGTGACCTTGTCACTGCCGCCAAGTGATAGCACGTGCTGGCTGGGTCTCGACCAGACCAACTGGTCCCCTGGTCCCACTTATTGTGTCAACTGGTCAGGCAGATCAAAGCCTCCAAGCCTCCATCGTCCCTAATCCCTCCGTCCGTCCAGTCCGTTCAAACGACAGTCCGGTTCAAATCGACGACTACGCCACACAGCATTTCGAATATGCCATAGCCATGGCAACGCTGACAGCCCAGGTCGGTGCCACCGACTCTTCGAGAAACAATAAGAGCGCAGTTGAAGATGCTAGGAGGACCCAATCCTATATTGCGGCAGAGTGTGCAAATGACGGTACAGAGCCACCACCCTACGAGTTACTGGTTCTCATCGGCAAGGGAAGCTTCGGCCGGGTGTACAAAGCCCGTGGCTTAAACTCAGGGCGACTGGTTGCCGTGAAAATCATTAGCATTGAGGAGGGCGACAGCATTCGCCCCGGCGGCACGGATACATTCGCTGATATTTTAAAGGAAGTCAACACCTTGAAACTTCTCAACGACAGGGGGGCGAAAAACATCAATCGTATTCTTGATGCCCATCTCGTTGGTCAATCTGTTTGGATGATCACTGAGTATTGTGCTGGCGGTAGTGTCGCTACTCTAATGAGGCCAACTAGGGGGTTGCCAGAGAAGTGGATTATCCCCATCTTGCGAGAGGTTGCCGAGGCCGTGTATTGGGTTCACAGCCATGGCGTCATTCATCGGGATATTAAATGTGCTAATGTCCTCATTACAGACATTGGAGGCGTTCAACTTTGCGATTTTGGCGTCGCCGGGATTATCGAGACCAAGTTCGACAAGAGAAGCACTGTCACAGGCACACTCCAGTGGATGGCCCCCGAACTATTCGACTCCTCGATATCGTACGGTATTGAGGTTGATATTTGGGCCTTTGGATCCATGGCGTACGAGGTAGCCACCGGGCTCCCGCCGAATGCGACCGGCCTGGTTGACATGACGAACTTTGGCTCGTTTCTGAAACACAACTGTCCACGGCTTAAGGGAGACCAATATTCGCCTCAACTTCGAGACTTTGTTGCCTGCTGCATGGTCCAAGACCCGGCTCGACGACCCAGTATCGAGCAAGTCCAGGCACATCCTTATATTTTCAACACCACGAGCAAATTTCCCACTGCGTCACTCTCCCAGCTTGTCAACGCCTACAGACTTTGGGAGATGCAAGGTGGAAGTAGACTGTCCCTCTTATCCGCAGGCGGTGCGCAGGGCCCTGCAAATATTTCGTTCCCTTCCCACTTGAACGAAGAGTGGACATTTGACGCATTGGATGAGGCTGGTCTCGAATATAATTCCTCAGACGCTCACACTGTTCGGAATGCATATGAACCGGCCGTCGACTTCCCTTGGCAGCCACAAAAACAAACTGGGCGACGTCGGCAACCAAATATGAAGCCACTCATAGTACCTCTCGAGCAGGTTTTCGATCTTGACTTTACCATCAACTATGACGACAATGCTCGTGCTTTCTATGGACAGCACATCGAGCTGCTGACAAATGATTTACGGCTACGGGACGACCTAGATAGCTCAACGGTCAGAGAGTCGCTAATTGATCTTGACGCCTCATTCGACGGCAACGACTTGTCGCAGGTCGTTGATATGGGAACAATCAGAGGAGTTTATCCGTCAATTACTGATGAAGTATACCATTCTACTCGTCGCCTGACTCAGGACTGGAAATTTCCTCTGATGGCTGCTACCTCTGCAAGTCTAGACTATGCTGAAGACCCCGAGGAAAACGTTGTCTGCGATATCAACGCAAGAGATGTATTCATGAGCCAATGTATTTCGAGTACGCAGTCTAATCGTGCTTCAGCGATGAGCCTTATTGACCTTGATGCCAGCCTACCGGATGAGTCGGGAATCCTTACCCGCCCGTCCACCGCCGGTTCCGACAATACATCAACAGGTTCAGATATAGAAAAGACTCCATTCGAGCTTGAACAACATGTCCTGCATGCAATTTTACCCTCGCCAACCGTCAGAGAACCATCTATATACGTGTCGGATGATAGTGGCTTTGAGGTGCCCCACGTACCTGATGATGGCTACCCAAAGGATCAACATGGCGGTTTATCGGATCAGGTTTCCGTGCAAACACAGCCCAGCCTGGATCAAGGTCCCCGTTGCCCTCAGCACTCCGGCCCGGTGATTCCAGCTCCGCCTTCAGCTGGCGCGATGCTAGGCACAAGCACGCCTGACGAGTTGAAAGGAGAACTGCAAAGGTTGGTATGGAGCTTGGGTGAGCATCTGCAATTTACGTCCGACACACTGGCGCGTCTGCCTACCAAACGCGCCCTATAGTTGCGCACGCATCCTTCAACTAGCCGCAACGGTTTGGCAGTGGTCTATTTCGGCATTTGAGCAGGGCCATCTTTTCGACTGCGGACCCTGCTTACTTCTGAAATGAGCCGAGGCTTGTGCTGTGCATGGACGCAGTATGGAGGACGGCGGTTCTTGCACTCTCAAGCACTTGGATCCGTGTCTGGAATGCGGCGTGAAGACCTTGTCCCTCTACATGTTCAGTATTAAAAACTATAAACTTCCTGATGAAGAAGTGTGGTTTGTAATGCAATGTCTTATGAAAGGAATCACAGTGCTATAGAAATCACGCACAAAAACGAGGCTAGTATTCGACCGTCCGGAGAGTGAGGTTTGATCCGGCTGGATTCTGCACAGACGACGCAGTAGAGGTAGAGCAAACAAAAGACCCCAAAGGTCATCTCCTGCCTCGAACCAAACAGAATACAAACTTGCTAGTCTTTGCCCGCTCAAGTAAACTGATTTACACTCTATTGCCCTTGAATCCGAGGTGCTAGTATCGGTTAATTAGGTCGCCACCTTGTGTGACAAGGGCTTAACTAAGAGCTTAGAGCAAAAGAGGCTCAATTTAATAATAATCTTGTAGGGTCTTAAAGGTCTTTAGTTGCTAAAAGGAAAAAAAAGAGAAGTAACCTCTATATATATATATAAAGAACGCTTATACCTAGGGCTCTTATCCAGGTATATATCTAAGCTGTGTAGCTAATAAGTCCCGTATCAGCAAAGCCCTTTTCTTGGGCTTCACGATCTGTTGGGCCTTTTCCGGGTAACATCTTGGCCGAGTGTAGCTGCGGCGTCGCAGTTGCCCGTTCACCCGACGTGAATGGCCGAAAGACGGCATATCTTGTCGCCAACTTTATGTTCCTGGCATCCTTTTTCGTGGTGCGGATTCTCTCGGAATCTGACGCAGTTGGTTGTTTTCCGCGCGCTCCAGGGTGTCAGCAGAGCTGATGTGGAAATATCCGCGTCCTGTCTCCACAAACACAAAGAAGAAGGCTGCTAAACAACTGTGTTCTGTATCTCTTGTCATGTTTCAAGGAGTATTTTCGTCCAAGTCATTTCTTAGCTCGAACATGAAGGGCAAGGGCAAGATATACCTGGAAATTCAAGATGAGGGCATCATACTAAAGAGAGAAGAACATCAAAACCCTAGAACAACCTTTTCCGTGATTCTCGATTCGCTTGCGTTAGAATCCTTACTGCGGGCGCTCACTCGTACGTCTCCTCATAATCCTTAGCCCAGTTCTTCGGCTTGGGCTTGGCTCTTGATGGCTTCACCCAAGGCCCCTCAATGCAAATTTGTGTGTTTGCGTTTCCGCCCTCATTCATCTCTTCGCGATACTCGGTGAAATCAAAGCCAAAGGTTCTCTCCATGTGGCTCCGGGCATTTTTGCACATATGCCAATTTGCCCGGCTAGTTCTACAGGCATTGTGTTCCACTACCCGCCACATGTCCGGTTCCGGGTCAATGTTGCCCTGGAACAGTTGCCCAACTGCAAAGACGCGCATACCTTCCCGCAGGTGCTTGTAGATCTGCGACCTTTCGTCAATCATATGGAAGGGGTGATCTCCCTGGTCTTTAAACTTGTCGCAATTCTCGGTACACAGGAGATCTCTTGCGCCCCACTTGATCATGTTCATGTGTAGAAATAGCGGCTTGTGCTCGGCCTTGTTGGTGGGATCTGGCTGGAGCATTCCTATACCATCGATCGTGCCTTGAACAAATATGGTGACTATTTCATGAGAAACTTGGTAATAATCTTGTTGAGCAGCCTTAAGAGCCGCGGGAAACGTGTCCTTGTCGCCCCATCCTAGCCAGCCATTGTTGAAAACAGTATACCAAAAGTCGGGGCCGAAGTAGTTATAGTAGGCAGCAAGAACGAGGCTCTGGACTAGGTCAGTAACGATACAAGTGCTTTGTCACGGTCTAGTCGCTATAGATGGTACATACCTTCCAGTGAGTCTTCTTGTTCCAAACCAGCTGCCCCGATTCAACACTGGTTTCGGATGCTAGTATATCTGATTCCCTGGTACTGTTAATACCGATGAGATACGGCAGTAATGGAGAACCCGTGTGTTTCCAATAGTCTGGCCATAGTATCACGCCGTAGTTTTTGTAGACAGCCGAGTCAAACAAAAAGTCGGGGTTCTTTACTGGTATCGAGTCGGCATCTATAAAAAGAATATCTTCGAATGTTGAATAAAGCATTGCAAAAACTTTCCACTGATAAGGATGAGGCAAATCGTCCAAGTTCATGTAGTCCGTGAGCCTTCTGCACACCATCCCCTCCAGTGGGAGTTCGTTACACCACGCCTCGTCCCCGTCTTCGTTGAGCCATACCTCGACTGGCAACTTGCTTCCTGATTCCCGGAGCATGCCAATCGACGTAGCCGCAAAATCGGAGTATCTGCCCCCTGCAAGGACGACGACGCCACGGCCGCCAAAGTGTCCCTTGGGATATGGTGGTAGTTTCTTTACCAGTTCCATGTGGTTTGCCCTAGTATTTTCTGCCTCTCCATTTGTAAGATTGAAGAAGCTTCCCAAGATGTCCTTGTCCGGCAATTTATCTACCAAAGGTTTAGTAATATGTGCGGGATCTGGTTTGTGTTGGTCGAATAATGGCTGCAGAGTGTCCCACAGATTAGCGAGAAACCTGCCATCTTGGGCGGGAGGCGGTTTGATGGCATATTCGTTGATTCGGCTCGGCGGGCATGGCATAGTATTGCCAGCGTACTGAGCAAATGGGTCGACGGTGTTATGGTAGAACCTGATAAATAGAAACGTGAAGCCGAGAGCAACGCCTATGGCTACCCGAGAAGCTAATTAAAGCATTTGATATTAGAATAGGGACTGTGGGACGCCAGCAGGACTTCTCACCTCTCAGCCGCCGGTGAAGGATTTTTTCGAATTTTGTCATACTGTAGAGGTTTCGAAACCATTAGACAAAGTATTCGCAGCGTGACTTTGACGAAGCTCGTCTCTATGGGCCACGAGCTTTTAAAGCATGTGGCACCATGTAAAGCTTGTAATGTTAATATTTAGCAGCGACGTCATAGTCGTGTCACTACATGAATAGGTAGAACGGAAGTCTGAAGATTACTACCGTTACTTATGAGAATTCATCTGGAATCTGGCTACTGCAAAGTCTCTGCTCATTTGCCACGTGGCAAGGGTTTCAGTCGCCTAGTCATGGTTCAGGTAAAGCCCAGGCTATCTTAGGATGCATGAATAATACATGTATCTGGCGTCATCGAGTCAAGTTAGTTGGTCCACAACTAGAGTGTAAAAAATGGGACCTGGGGTCAATACATACTGCCGGGTACCTACATGTATTTTTATTGACTTAACAGCTCTCGCGCTTGGATTGTGTCTGCCCTATCCGAGATTGTCCGACCAAAGCTTTCACTCAAGTGCTTCCCAGAAGAAGCGTCAATGGGGAGAAAGGCGCAAAAAAAAAGGCAAAAAACACTGCCGTACGTGCCTGGTCGTACCCAAACCAGAGGAGCACCATGCATGTACTGAGTGAGTCATGCATAATAAATACTATCATGCATACATAATATATACTATCATGCATAATAAATACCGTCATGCGCAATCAATACCGTCATGCGCAATCAATACTATTATGCGCAATCAATACTATTATGCGTAATAAATACTATTATGCACTATAAGTACCAAAAAATCAGAGCATTGCGTAATCTGGGAATCGAACCCAGGGCTCCCCGACGCTGCCCGGATGGCAACGGAGAATTTTACCACTAAACCAATTACGCTTTTTTGGTGCGATGCCAGCATCAAGCATAATATTCATTTTGATCCCACGAAAGTATAGCACGTAGATAAATTAGATAGCCAATGACATCAAAATCACATTCCTGGGTGTTTTCTTGCGAAACTGAAGGAATTTACCGAAATTTTCTAGCAAAAATCGAGGTGGTAGCCTATTCAGAGAGCTTTTTTGGCGGAATTAACGGATAACTTGTTCCTACTCGAATGCTTCCTGAGAGCCGTGGAAAGATGGACCAGATGTTAATAGAGACATCCTGATGCAAAGAGAGAAGAGTGCGGCTAGGTATGTGCACTTGCACATTCGGCCTGGCCGAACCCCGAGTCATGCAAAAGGTTTCGAGACGCTGTCCTGCTCAAATCCAAGCCCAAAACATCAATCTATCTGAGACAATTTGTCAATGATATAATATAGCCGCCGACTGGTTGCGATAAGCGCGAAACTCTCCCGAGACACTGCGTGTCTGGTGGGGTCAATACTCACACCGGCCATGCCATGTTACACTCTCTTTTTTAACTCTATTGACATTTTCAGTCAGAGAATTTCCATCCTCAGTCACACCTGGCTGCAGATGCTACAGAATCGAGGAATACGTGCGATGCGCGACGCCACAAACGCCGGCCATCACATGTCAGCAAATGGCACCACGATTCAACTCAACCTTACCAAACCATTTCCATTCCACTCAATACGAGCGATCAATCAACGAACCCGAAGCCCTCCGACGCGGTTGGCAAAAGCCAATCATGGTTGAGGCGCTGAACTATTGCGGTTAAAACCCCGGGTTCAACTTCCCGCCACCTCCGCCATTTCCGGCCGGTCGCATGATGGAGAGCACCAACTTGGAATAAACATACGATAAAACGCCATCGACTGGAGGCAATATTGGTGGGTTCAGCATCTCAGCCGCAAACGGCAGGTCACCATTCGAGATATAAAAACGAAATGGCATCACGTCGAAAAATGCACGTCGTTACACCCAAATCAAACGGATACCTTCCTCAACAATGTACCACAGCAGTGGCAATTACGAGGCCTTTGCTAGGCCGCTCAAACCCGAGGGTATTGACAACAAGCATGCCTGGATTGTTGGCTCTGGCCTGGCCGGACTTTCAGCCGCTGCCTTTCTGGTCCGGGATGCCCAAATGCCCGGCAAAAACATCACCATTCTCGAAGAGCTACACATTCCCGGCGGCGCCTTGGATGGCCTCAAAGTCCCCGAGAAGGGCTTCGTCATTCGCGGCGGCCGCGAAATGGAGGCGCACTTTGAGTGTCTCTGGGATCTGTTTCGCTCCGTACCATCCATCGAGGAAAAAGGAGCCAGTGTCTTGGACGAGTTCTACTGGTTAAACAAACGCGACCCCAACTACTCGTTGCAGCGCGCGACGATTCAACGCGGCCAGGACGCCCAAACCGGCAAGCTGTTCACGCTGAGTGAGGCTGCGCAGAAAGAAATGGTCGGGCTTTTCCTGGCATCTAGACAGCAAGTGGAAAACAAGAGAATCGATGAGGTATTTGGGCACGACTTTTTCCAGAGCAACTTTTGGCTGTACTGGCAAACCATGTTTGCATTCCAGACCTGGCACTCTGCGCTGGAGATGAAGCTCTATCTGCACCGATTTGTGAACCACATCCACGGCATGCCCGACTTCTCCACGCTCAAATTTACAAAGTACAACCAGTACGAGTCGCTGGTGCTGCCGCTGCACAAGTGGCTGGAGGATCAGGGCGTCCGGTTTCAATTCAACACCACGGTTCACGATGTGGATTTCGACATGACCGACCATGAGAAGAAGGCCACGTTCATCCACTGGGTGCAAGATGGCCAAAAGGGCGGCAGGGACCTTGGCGTCGACGACCTGGTCTTTATCACCATCGGCTCCCTCACGGAGAATTCCCACCTCGGAGACCACCAGACGCCCGCCACGGTGCAAGACGGCCCTGCGCCCGCATGGGATCTCTGGCGACGCATCTCGGCCAAGAGCGCCGACTTTGGTCGTCCAGAAGTGTTCTGCGGCAACGTCGCCGCGACAAAGTGGCAGTCGGCGACGGTGACGACGCTGGACCCTCGCATCCCGTCCTACATCCAAACGATTTGCAAGCGAGACCCGTTCAGCGGCAAAGTCGTGACGGGCGGCATCGTCACCGTACGAGACTCCAACTGGCTCATGAGCTGGACGGTAAACCGGCAGCCTCACTTCAAGAGCCAGCCCGAGGACCAGATCGTGGTCTGGGTCTACAGCCTGCTCACCGAAACGCCGGGCAACTACGTGAAAAAGTCGATGCAGGACTGCACCGGGGAGGAAATCACGCAGGAGTGGCTGTACCACCTGGGCGTTCCCGAGGCCGACATTGCCGCTCTTTCTGCCACGGGCGCAAAGTGCGTGCCCGTCATGATGCCCTATGTCACGTCGTTCTTCATGCCGCGGCAGGCTGGAGACCGTCCCGACGTCGTGCCCCCCGGGTCGAAGAATTTTGCTTTCATCGGCCAGTTTGCCGAGACGACGCGCGATACGATTTTCACCACCGAGTATTCCGTTCGGACGGGCATGGAGTCGGTGTACCAGCTTGCCGGCGTGGATCGCGGCGTGCCCGAGGTTTTTGCGTCAACCTACGACATTAGACACTTGTTGAATGCGTCGTGTCAGCTGAGGGATGGCAAGGAACTAGCGTCGTGGATGCCGGAAAGGATACGGAAGCTGTTGTTTGAGAAGCTGGAGAAGAACCAAATCGGCCAGCTATTGCATGATTATCACCTGATCTAGTAGCTAGGCTAGGTTGAATAGCTATTGGGTTTATGTAAATGCCATATGTGGACGATTTAGGTCTTTGTATCAATGTAACTACAACCTGTTTACTCATCACATATCCCAACATCACCATCAGAGTTGTGTGTTCTATTAGCTATCACTGCACAACTTTGCACACTCAAGATATAGTGACGGCGTCCACAACCGTGGGATCATTGCCATCGTCGTGCTCCCAGTAGAAAGACGGGAATATGAATGGTCTCGAGGTCAAGAATATCTACTGTTTATGTTTCTCCAGCTTCCTTGGCTGCAGAGGGCTGTGGGAACCGTGATAATGACCTTGAACTTGGGGACAACCTGTCGTCGGCCACGATGGATTTCAGGCAGCGCACAACCAATATTACATCTTTCTAATAGTCTCTGACAATGAAGAATGTAACGCCATCAATAATACAATACCCAGTGATTTCCGACGATAATTGGCGAACAAGGTGTTACACGGAAATCGCCTTTTGCACAGGGGCTACGGTCACGAGGCCTAGGGTAAAGTCCCTCACCAACTTCTTATAAAGAACCCTTTGGTCAACGAGGCCTTGAGGGAAAACCGAGGACCTTTGATACAAAAGACTGCTATTAGCGGAATTGAGCCAAATTGCTCCAAGCCCTCATAACGAGCCCTTGTCACACAAGGCTGTTCAACACAGTCATCTTGACCGGTATCGCCAATTGGCCTGAATGGCACGATTACATCCGTAGCAGGCTCGAATTAGCCACCTGGACCGCGATAAAGTCGTACAACGTAGCGTTTATCGTCAATGAACCTTGATGGCCTCCAGGTCTTCTGACTGAATTGTCCCAGCTAAGCTGTAGCTACATAATTGGTGGGCGGTTAAACAGGCCACTGATGAAGCTATCGAATTGAAATCTGATGTTTGCAGCCGGTCGGGTTCAATGATAACAAAGGCTCTGGCGCTGGCCTTGATAGTGGTCCAAGTAGCTAATTTAAGATTTCTGCTGATGGAATCTTGCCATTCAAGCCAATTGGCGACACCGGCAAAGACGACCGAGGGCGTTGAGGGTTCTGAAATGAAAGAAGCGGTGTTGAGTTTACAACAGCAATTTAGCGTGGTGGAAAATGACGAGATTTTAAGTGGTATATCGCTATCATGATATAGAAGCCTGTCTATGTCGCCATGACGGCGGGAAAATGAGTGGTAGGAAATACAATGCGGAAATAGTTGAATAAGTATTGTCATATATAAGATATATAAGGAGTAGTAAGGTTTATTTGGGAGATGAATAAAATGATATAGCGTTGAAGTAGCGAGGTAAGGAATACCTCACTTATTGGTAGAATATATGCTAGCACAGATGTATTAAACCTACAATACTCCTAAGAATAGCTACGGATATCTTTAAACTATAACCTGGTAGAGTGTCTGGAAGTACTGCAACGCTTTTTGTCCGTTTTGATTCAGGCATGGTGCTTCCATGATTGTTTATCAATCCCTGGTCCTCGACATTGCCCCAGCTTTGTCAGTTTTCGAGAACTCGATGCCATCGGCTGCCAGCGTCCTCTTCCGAGTCTCTGTCTACTCTTACTCCTACCTCTTTCCTCCCCCTCACCAGCTCCAACGTTGGACCTAGACCAAATGTTGCGTATCAATGGTCAACGTAACTGATCATGTCCCCTCCCAAATGTCGTTTTGATAGAAGTGCGGTAGCAACTTGTGACAAGGGCTCGGAAAGAGGGCTTGGAGCAATAGCTCAATTCAACTAATAACAGTCTTTGGTATCAAAGGTCCTTGGTTTTCCTCAAGGCCTTGAGGGACCAAAGCCGTCTATTTATACAAGAAGTCGGTGAGGACCTTCTGCCCTAGGTCCCGTGACCGTAGCCCTTGTGTAACCTGCGATTTCCGTGTAACACAACTTCAACCTCGGAAAACGGGCGATCATGGATACAAAGTCGAGAAAATTTTCAATATACAAACCCGCTTTCCATCGGGAGTCATTGATGCCTAAAATTCAAAGGTGATTTGTGCCCGGTTACTTCACAGGTCGCACTCTGTCACTTTTGAGGGTATCACAGCCTGCCCGCGATGGCCAGTATGATGAGGATGCAACTCGTCCTAGGCCGTAAGCGTCTCGTAACGCATATTGTAGTATTACTATTAGCCAATGAAGATTTCACGACAGCAGTCAGAGGGTGGAAAGTGAATGAGTGCAATGACTCACCAAAGCAAGACCCCGCGCCGGGGCTGGTAGCCTCGCATCATGGAAATGACATAACGTACAGCGTAGAGACCCAAGACGAAATGACATGTCATATGCGTAGACTACTCCAGAACTCAGACTCCGTGTTGAAATTTTTCATGATAGACTGAGGCATAACTACACCCAATAAGCCCCCGTGTCTCACCGGAAACAGCTTCACGCATTGCCTGAGCAAGGGCTCCAACGCAACATTGATGCTTTTTCCATCAAAATTTTACGACACAGAAACACCGTCTTCCAATCATTTACTTCTCCCAAAGACCCAATAGGTTTTACGACGTAGAGAGGGGTCCTAAAACAGCGTTGTTTTTTGCATGTGCTTCACTTCTTCCAAGTCCCTGCCATACAAGGATACGTTACGCAATGCCTCGCCCATGGTATATCACTCCCCCTCTCTCGTAATGGCTTCAAGAAAAGTATATATAGACCTCAAGTCAGCCATATTGTCTCTTTTGATTCTTCAGACACTCATCAAACTCAACTCTACAAGCAAAGCAAGGCGACATCATATCACCCCCCACTTACACACCCTCCAACCAAGGAACTCACACAAAATGTCCTACACCATCAAAGTACACATCTACCAGGAAAATACAAACGCGTTTTTCCACATTGTGGAAAAAACCGTGTTTAGAAATGGCACCTGGGGCGAGACCAATGGCGCGCAGATCCTGACCATGGGCGGCAGCGGTACCGCCGGCTCCCTCCGCTTCCTCGCCAACACTGGCGAGAGCTGCATCGTCACCCTTGGCGTACACAATTATAAGCCATGGGGCGACATCGTGACCAAGCTGGACCCTGGCTCTCAGACTGGTGTCGTCATCACCCCGGAGTACTACGAGACAGAATGGGGCGGCACGCAAAAGAAGGAGCGCGTCGATATGCGATGGAAGACGCTTTCTCACTATGATGTCACTCGCGATGGGCGAAAGTACAGTTTCAAGTACACCGAAATTAAGGACAAGCACCTCGAGGTCAATTTTATCATTCATTAGGGTTAGTTTAACACCACGGGCATTGCAACTGGCGCCAAGTTGCGTAAATATAATGCCTCGACTACCAAGTTAATACAACCTGCTCATTTGGATCATCTTGACTCCATGACACGCCATCAAGAGTGTTTAAGCAGTGCCATATTATGTATGTATCAGTATGTGTAAAAGCTCGCAACACGTTGATCTTGAAGTGACGTAGCTCCCATGCCGTGACGTTTGCCGCCACTAATTCTACTGCCCAAGTTGTCCCCTTCATAAGTACAGAAGCAAAGTGCGTACTAGGGAGAAAACAGGTGGAGGGTCATCTACACATAGCCCGTTGTCCAGGTAAAATGTAGAGGTTCAGGCGTTCCGCGAACAACCGCCCAACCTATGCCGGCTGCCGATGTAGGTCCCAGTCGCCAAGTATAATGCAGTGTGACACAGCGCGTGGAAGTGAGACACGTTTTGGATGGCATGGCCAGCCAACCAAACCAGCTTCGATGAAGGGCCTGGATGCCCAAGTGCCGTCGGTTATCGAGGCGATGCTACCGTGGCCCGGAGCCGACGAGACTCAATCCCATTCAGGTTTACCCAATCAAGACGATTTACTGGCGCCACCGTGAACGAAGCAAAAGAGGGAGGGCCAATCGCCTCGGATATGCAGCTCATCCACCACACCGATTCCATTATGCCTAATGCACAGGAGTCAGGACAACTCGAGAAACATGTGCTTATGCACATAAGCAATGCTCTTCCCGTGGCTTGCCTCCAGGAGTCGGTCACCCGCAAGTGGCATTCTCCCAGGCCATCATGCTGCAGAATGAAGTGCGCCTAGTTTATTGTGGCTGGCTTAGTAGCGAGCTGAAAACTACTAAGTAAGCTCAGGGTTGTACATGTACACATATAAGAAAAAGCAAGCATGAATTTACTGGTTATTTAGAATAGTGTCAAGCCGCAGCCCAATGCTGACTCTGCTCTAACAGAACCATTTACATCTACATCTGGAATTTTCGTAGTAGTCGCCAAGGCACTTTGATACCGAAAAACGTTATTAGATGAGTTGAGCTATTAAATCCAAGCCTTTTGTATTGAACCCTTGTCACGAGTACCACTCTTTCACAAAAGGCTGTAGGCCCTGCACCAGTCAAGTTGAGTCAGATGATTACCTTTGTTACGTCTTCAGAACTTCCCCTTCATGCATCTTGGTCCCTGATGTCTGTGAACTTGTGGCTAGAATATTTGAAAGCCCCTGAGCTGCTGCGCGTAGTTCCCTTGTCCACGGGATCCTCTACTTGAAAACCCAAGGCACTATTCACTGCAGTTTGCATTGTCTTTAGTCAACACCACACCGCTTTGTTTTCTAAGTAGCGATATATATACAAATTTCACTCGGAATAAATCAAGATGCCACAACTCCCATTCCTTGCGTCGTTGAACCGAGTGTGCGGTCGTGTTCTGCCTGATTCAATAGGAACGTCGTATACAGCTTATGAAAGTCTTGAACACTGTGGAAGATGTTTACAGTCGCTGGGTACTATATTTATGTGTGAATTAGCTTGCGTTGCGTCTTTTTGAGTGTATATTACTGATATGGGATTGATGTTGCTGTGCTACAGATGTGAGCATGTTAGACCTTTTTCTTCTCCTTGATAAGCGTATGTTACTGCAGGGAAACACCAACAATCTTCATAGAGCAACGGCTATGAACGTGTCTTTATAAGCCCTCTTTCTAAAACTTCCTCACTTCCCACGTCTTAAACGTTACTGGCAATTTTCTTAGTCAATGCAAACAAACAAAGGCAACAAACCTAGCTACCACCAATCACTACCTCTGAAGGCAATGACGGCCCATCCAATGCAACTCCATCACTTATTAGCTCGTTGCCACACTGTTCTTGATGGACTTGACGTCGATTGACACGAGCTTGTGAATGGCTGCGAGTGTTTATAGGCTACTTGTGCCAGAGATTCAGATCCTCTCTCTCTCTTCCTCTCTGTTTTTCACCGACTGCTATGCATTAAAGAGGTATAAAGAATCATCTTCTCGCCCGCCACTTAAATTTTAAACCATAACAACTTAGCACACCAAGGATTCATTACATTCAGGGAAGGGCTCAAGAGCAAACGCAACCAACTCTCGAAACAATGAGGTTCACTATAATCATTCTGGTGATTTAGCTTAATTCTGCGTTTCGCCTCAGCGGAAACCAACCAGCAAAGTCTAAGATAAGCACTGAGACTGTGACGCCGTCCGAGCTAATGCAGAAACTGTTTGCCCAGCGGGGACCAGAAGTGCTCCAACCATGCTTGTGAAGAAATCCAAGAAGCACTTTCTAGCCAGCACCTGCCTAGTGCTTTAGTAGCGAATATGTGAAGTCTTGCAGTCGGTGCATGTCCAGGTCCTATTTGTTTCGACCTTTTCAATCGTCGCCAAACAAAAGAGACCCTGGGGGCCGTCGATTCAGATTCACCAATCTGCCACCCTTTCCCATCCATTATTTTCTTTTGTAAACGTAATGTAAACTCTCGGTGCGCTGAGTGCAAAAAAAACCAGAGCATGTGTTCGAGATTCATAACCCTTGTAAGGCCAGACTAGTCTCACGCGATGTGGTGATAATTTACACAGAAAGAGCAATGGGTGTATGATGCAGAATACAGAGGTAACTGACTGAACACTTGGCAAAGACAAAACAACTCTATCACGATAATTAGCAGAGTTGAATCCCATGCTTTAAGTAACAATCATTTCCTTTGTGTGTGAATATCATACAAGAGGAACCCCGGTAAATACCCCGGCAAGTAAATCCGCCAGGCCTTTGTTCACACGTTCGCCACTCGTATCTATTGCTACTTCTTAGACATGTCGTTTTGCTGTGAATTAGTCTTGCGTAGACATCATATCAAAAAATTAACTATAAAAGGAGAAGAATTCCCCAACTAAATCCTAACCTGATAACCACACCACCACAACATTCTACACATTCAATCCAGACATCTATCAAATTTCTCAATTCTGCAACAGCAAACAACACATTACAACAATCTATTACATTCCAGTAAGTTCCATATTAAGCAGTGTGCTGCAGCTCTGTTTCCACTACAAACAAGGCGAGACGCAGCACGAGAGTGGTGCCAGAGCATATTTTCTTTCTGGATACTTTAGCAAGAATTTCCATTTCAGTGCTAATAGGTCGAGTATAGATTGAGCAAACAGCGACAATGAGTTGGTACGACATCACCGTGGGAGTCGGGCGGTCTGATAGTATCGACCATATCGATGAAGCCATCGAAGAATTGGTAACGGCTATGGGCTTCCTGTATGTCAGGGAATACAAGTATTCACAGTCTGCAAAGTGGTCTTATCAGGGACATCACAGCTACGGAATTTCTCCATGGGACTTTGAGAGGATTAAATCCCTTTTGGAATCCAAGGGGTTTCACCAAACGGGAATGTGGAATACTGGTAGTCATTTCCAAAACTTCTAAGGAAGAGACTATCCCCGCCTCGAAGGGTCGAATTTAGTGTAAAGATAGATGAGGTAGCTGCACAGGAGCGAGAGGTTTTTTTCCCCTTGCGGGTTTTCCTACTCGGTTGGGTGGTGGCGTGCAGGATGGAATGGGATTGATAGCAATTCGGGGTGTCAATATAAATCAGTTGCAAACAACACTGGAGCGCCTTTTACTTACCCACGGATCAATGTCCGCCACCTCCGCGAACAAAGGTTTCGTAGTAGCCATGTCATCATTTGAATTCTTTGTCCATACTTCACTTTATGACATGTTTCTGTATGACATGACAGGTCGTCTGCATCATGTGACTGTCTTTCAGATGGCCATGTTTCAAGACCATCATGGATCGTTTAGCATGCTACACGCTTCTTAATTTTAGAATCCTCCATGTTTTTGTTGTGCTGCTTTCGGACAGCTCATAATGAGTCTTGGTGTACTGACATCTGCCAGGCTGTTGCCCATGCACCCGTCTTATCTGGCTTCTTTATTGGCAAAGGTCTCACAGGAGTCGTGTCATGTTTTGAATCTTTGTTGGTTCCTCTCTCTGCTACGTTCTTCTGCATCATGGAGGAGGCCGTCTTTGTTGCGTGTTTGTCTCTGAGATGGCCTGCAAAAGGAGCCTTTGTACACTGAAAGCTCCACGCCCTTGTTCCCGCATTGATAGATTGTGCGTCTGTTTGTCCTGCAATGAATAGAATATTACATATACTTGACCTATTTCCTGAGAGATTCCAGGACGACCAGCCAGCCGCACAACTACATCGTTCCAGTTTCGTGTACATTTTCTTCCAACCCTCACTCTGTGGAATACTCCCCCTCTCGCGACACCCGACGCAAAAAATGGCAGAAGCCGCAGAGGCAAGTCTGGCGAAATCATGCTCTGTTTTGGAGGTCTTGTGTGCTAAGAAAAACTCTAGAATATGCAGGGAGTAGAGCGCCGATGTCGCGATGCTACAAAGACGGAGATGGAAGATCTTAAACTCGTCTTGGCAAATGACACCCCCCTGGACAAACGTGTGAGTGCAATACAAATCATAAGGCCCCCTCCCATTTCCATGGCAGCCGGCGAGGGAGGCACCGCTCCAAGGGGAGATGTTGCCCTTGTCTGGTGGTAGTCAGAGCAGCCTTCTCTGGGGAGCTGTGCCATACTTCAGATGGCAGAGCTAATATTTCTGGTGTAGATCCAAGCCGCAACAAGGTCGCTCCTGGATCCTAACAGTGTCACTTTCGTTGACAAGGAGCTAAATATTACGCAAACTCAAGAAGTGGAAGAAATAATCGAGAAGAAGCTTAGGCTTAGGTACTATTCTAAAGAGAAAATTTACGAGAGCTTTGCAGTTAAGTGGGGGTACTGGGGCCCCGAGGTCGCTTTCGCAATCCCATCCGAAAAGGAGCGACTCGTATGGGAACTGCAAAGTGGCACAGGTTGGACGAAGTTTCAAGGGGGGTGGAACGATGCGGACGGTTACATTTTTATTAAAGATTACTCACAAAAACCCGTCAATGAG